CATCTCTCTCTCTCTCTCTCTCTCTCTCTCTCTCTCTCTCTCTCTCTCTCTCTCTCTCTCTCTCTCTCTCTCTCTCTCTCTCTCTCTCTCTCTCTCTCTCTCTCTCTCTCTTTACTTCTCTCTTTCTCAAACCGACCAAACCAATTCATTCTCTCTCTCTCTCTCTCTCTCTCTCTCTCTCTCTCTCTCTCTCTCTCTCTCTCTCTCTCTCTCTCTCTCTCTCTCTCTCTCTCTCTCTCTCTCTCTCTCTCTCTCTCTCTCTCTCTCTCTCTCTCTCTCTCTCTCTGGCAATTTTGAAGACGGCGGCAAGACGACGACTTGGGCGGCACCAGCGCGATGGCAGAGGAGACGAGCTTGGACATGGGCGGTAGGTGCTATCGATGGAATGATGGGGAGGGTGGGATGACAAACTAGCTAGACTGTGTGCATGAGAATCACGGTACCAACCGGCGCGTGATGACGACAACAGGTTTTTACGAGGAGGACGAGCAGCAAGTGGCACCGCCACCGCCACCGGGCATGAATCGGCCCCAACAGGCCTACTCAGCTGCCCCCGCCGGTTTCTATGATCCCACTCAACAGCAGGGCCAGCAGCCCACTCAGGCACGTTCTCAAAACTGTGATGACCGCCGAACGCCAAAGGCTTGGGACCTTGTTGATTAGCCTCGCTCCTTGATTTGCGTGTCGCGGCTGCGGGACTAACGCTGAATGTCGCTTTGACTCTTTACCTTGCACCTTACCACGTGCAGCCCATGAGCTATGGTATGGCTGTGCCTGCATCCTGCTTCCTGCCTGGCCCCTGCTTTTGACACGTCTGTTCTCGCCCGCTTGTGTCTCACGTGTTGCTGGTGCGCTGCCACTGAAAACAGCCAACGCCGCAGCCCCCCGCGGCGGTGCTTACATGGCTCCGCACCAACAATCTGGACAGAGCAACTACATGCAGCCTGGCTCGTATGCTCAGGCTGCAGCACCAGCGCCCCAGCCACAACCGGCTGGTCCAGGCAACAATGCAGCAGCTCCTTTTGGTGGTTTTGGCCAGTTTCCCGGTTGGTCCCTCTGTCATCAGCCTGTACTTCGCCCCCCACCCCCTGCCTCAGCTTGTATCGTGTTCTGGCACCAGCATTCGGTTGTTTCACACGTGCTTTTATTCAACATCTCTAGGCGGCGATTTCATGACGGGTGCCGTCGGTCATATGGCTCAGCAACACTTTAGCACTGTCTCAAACCAAGTACGCTACACAACCGCGCCGCCTTTGCAATCACGTGCTCCTCCTCGTCCACCGCGCACACACGCACATAACAAAGAATCCATGTCACTGGAGCAACGATGTACCTTGTCTCACCATTGTCAACGCATGCTGTGCCTCGAACTTAGATGGCCGGCTATGTTAACGTGGGCCAGCTCTCGTACTACTTTAAGGTTCGCACCTCCTGACCCTAACCCTGACTGAAGCCAACGCTGGTGCCCGAGAAAGCGCCGCTCACAAACATACCATCGTTGATCCTGCCCGATTGGAACTCGCTCGACTTAGGTGGACACAAGCTACGTCACAAAAAAAGCGGGCCTCCTTCTCCTCCCATTCTTGCCGCGCGTAAGCTTTGTAGCCTCAACCACCGATCGCTCGACACAATGCTCGCTCTTGCTTCCCCACTCACATAGAGATGCGTTGCTTGCCCGGCTGCATAGGACTGGGACCGAGTGGGCAAGGAGGGCAAGTATGCCACCGCACGTGAAGATGTCAACGCCCCTGACCTCTATATTCCTTCAATGGCATTTGTGACCTATATGCTGGTCTTGGGCCTGGTCCTCGGTGCACAAGAGCGGTCCGTTGTTTGGCACGCCCCTGCACTCGCCCTCATGCTCAATCCTTCTTTCTTTTGCTGTTGATGGAATCGCTCGCCCACTCGCGCACCCACTCATCGCGCACCGCTTGTGTCACAAACAGCTTTACACCAGAGGCGTTTGGCGTGGTAGCTAGCAGCACCTTTGGCTGGCTGCTCTTCGAACTCTTGCTGTATCGTGGTGCCTCGTATATCATGAGTCTCAGCGATTTATCCAGCTACGAGCTTTTGGCTTACAGTAGCTACAAATATCTTCAGTAAGTGTTGCACACCTCACCCCAACATCAACTGAATTTCCGTCCACGCCTGATCATTGAATTGCGCCACCCGTGCTTCTTGATCTCCCTGTAGCATTTGCCTGGCCATCGTATTCTATCTCCTGTTGCGCATTGACATTGTTCTCTATGGCATGGCCAGCTACATGGCTGCGGCTGTCGCCTTTTTCACGGTTTGTTCACCTCTGTTGACACCTGCATGCATGTTTTCGCCCTTTCAAAGCCAATCTCATCACTTTACCGATGGTGATTCTGTCGTTTTGGAAAATCGCGCCTCGGACTCTTGCTTCGCAGTTTCGGGCCTTGAGCAATATGCCGCTGCGGAGTAGCCAATTGGCTCTTTTCTCCGTGGTGGTGGGAGTGGCACAAGGAATCTTCACCTTTTGGTTCATCCTGTCAGGTGTCTCGGGTTTCGGCAGCGTCGTGGAAGTTGAAGATTAATCCTGCAGGAGCTTGTTTGCTCGCTATCCCCACCCCTTTTTTTCGGCCTTGTTATGTTTTCAATTCATCTCTTTCTCCTACAACACTTTCGATGACGCACCAGGCTACTTCAGCACTGTGATTCTCTTTGTTCGTCTTGTTGGATTTTTCGATTCGTTGTCAAACTCAACTACATTGCTCATCACATTGTCTTATTCAAGATCTCGATGAAGTCACGTCGTGTTTGCAAAGAAGTAAGGCCTGAACGGAGTCGCATCCACACGCTTCCTGTTATCTGCGCTTGAGTGACGAATGCCCAAAAAAAAAGGGCTGTCATTGGGCCAGGCCAGTGAGCCGGTTGATGGCATCCTGTGTCTCAGTGTGCACGGGCCAGACCCGCTGTTTCCAGCGCTTGCAGCTACCCCGGTGCATGACGTGCTTCTCTCCCTCAAGCCATCGTGGACTGGAGACGCCAATGTCAGGCTCAACTTTGGGCGCCTTGGCAGCCGCGAGCGAGCCAGCCACGTCCGTCGTCGGCGCCCGTGTGTGCTGACCAAATACATCACGAATGCCCTCAGCGTCCCGTAGTGCCCCAAGAATGGGCAGCAAATGACCCTCTGTTGTGAACACGTGAGCGGTTGCATTGCCCTGGTGCAACGGATGCTCGTCATCAAAAAGCAAAAAAAGGTACTTCTGCCATCATGCCGGAGAAACAGGCATGTAATCCGTGTCAAAAAAAAAAATAATCTACGATGCAAAACCAAAGCAACACTGTTTCTGCCAAGGGCGCTCAACCCCATTCGTACCAATGTCTCGCTCAAGAAGAAGCTTTCCATTCGATCCTCTTGGGACTTGTCTTCGACATTGTGAAGAGTCGCATAGCCACAAGGTGCACGTGCATGTCTCTCCAGATCTTGCATGAGTTCAGCACCGACGCGTTGATAATATCTAGCAGCCGATCTTGGTGAGCCCAGCTTTGGTGTGATGTCACGCGCCCAGATCAAGCGACAAAGCTCCACGCAAGAGCCAGACTCACTTGCTGCCGGTGGCACGGTACAACATATACGTTGACTCAAAGAGCTCTGGGCGCAAGGGATAGATGGGAAACTCTGCCGCCTACTTCCATTAGAAAACGGAAGAAGACGCTTAGATTGTGCTTCGTTGAAAAGAAAAAAAAACGCCTTTTTTCACCCTGTACCTTGAGACGGTAATTAAAGCGCTCGGGAAGCGCCTGATAGCGGCGCCAGATGGAGAGGTAGAATGCATGATCAACCGCAGCAGCTTCGACATCCCCGGCAAGAACCTGTGGGCCGATTGAGCGATGCAGGGCAGACAAGGCGGCATTCATCAGCCATGTGGCACGTTGACAGCGTTGTCATGGTGTTGTAACTGGCGACAAAAAAGGATTTGAAATTCATATGACCACCAACCACGTGTACACGAGAACAAACGCGTCATCATGTTTCCCAGAAACCAACCTTGAGCCCGGGCAGGTAGGCCTGGAGACTGTCGATCCATGTATTCAAGACTTGACCCGAGTTCATGTCAATATTGGCGTAGATTGGCGTGTTGGCAATTTGGCTTCGCTGCAGCATGTTGGGGAAGGCAGTCTCAAAGAGCTCAAGCATTTCTCGATCGCCAAACATGGCAAACGCCTGCAGGCGCCAGTCACCAGGCATGAGCTCAGCTATTGCTAGAAGCGACCTGATCACCAGCACGTGACACCAACAACAACAACACACGACGATAGCCTGACACACCTTGAGAAGATACTCGAAAAAGCTATCCATGCCGGCGCCCAGGCCACTCATGACGTTAATCCAACGGCCAGTATGAATATCCATGGTGTTTCCAAGAAGCCCGGTCTTCGGACTGCGCCGGCTCCAGATGGCACGCAAGGCACGTTTGGCCACGCCTGCGTACACTGGATCCCCTGTCAAAGCACTGCCAGCAGACGCCCACCACCAGTCGTAGACACCCTTGAGCATGGGCCGGTTCAGATATAAAATGATGCGCACGGGCGGGGTGGTGCAGCAGAGTGGTTTGACCTACCTCAAAACGCCAAATTCCAGTGACAGAGTGCCAACGGCAGCAGTGCAAGTGTCGTTGCGCCAAAAGGCTGCAGTTGGGACACCATGACGCAAGTTGACGCGGGGATAGGGCAGGCCTGTCGGCGTGGCGTCAAAAGCTGGTAGTAGGCGAACTGCAAGGTCCCGGGCCAACCAGAGCAGTTCATCCGTGTAGTCGAGCTTGTTGGGGCGATCAACGAGGCGCATGTGTGGAAGGATGGCGCCCGTTGCGATGAGATGGGCGGAAAGCAGGCCGCCCAACACACGAATGTTGGCCTCAAAGACCTGGACAGTCACGTCGCGGTCAAAGTTTACCGTATGGATGACCCATCGCACAGCTCGTTCAAACTCAGTCCAGTTGCCTAGGACGGCAAGAGTATCAAGAGCGTCGATCAGGCCCAGACTGTAGTCGCCGAGGACGTCGTTAATGTTGATGTTGGTGCGATCACGATCGCTCCCACGTCCGGTGCAATGGATGGGATCAAGCTCATCCTGTGGGAAGGCATGGGTCATGTAATTATCGTAGGCATGCGTGAACATGCTTCTGACACCTTCACGAAACTCGCGGGGATCGAATTGGGCAGACCATGGGTCGCGCCGCATCCAGGGCATACGAGCGGGTAGATGGAGCGTGTCAGTGGGAACACAGACGAGTGCCAGCGCGAGCACGCTGCAGAGTACACCTGGGCCAAACACGTGCCCAAGTTGTAAGCCACGCATCCTGCTGGCGGGGTTGGGTTTCCGAGGACGCAACAGCGTTGACTATTTTTATTTTTTGATGTGACTTGAGCAAAGTGGACGGTGATAATTTGATCAGTGACTCCAGTTGTGTGGCTCGAACCACCGCGTTGGCCAGAATATCGGCGAGATTGAGAGGGCAAGCTGGTAAATTTGTAGGAGCACAAAGATTGGAGGCCAGCCTGGCCTTGACTTCAACGTGAAACGTGCCTACTGGCCGTGTTCCATTTCCACAAGCAGCTTGGTCTGCAGAGCTGCAAGCTGCGATGGGAGAGAAGATCAAGATTGGTCAAGGACCAGGATCAGGTCCAGGAACAGGATCAGGATGAGGCAGAGCTAACCGAGTTTGCAAGAGCTCTGGGGTTTGTAAGTCATGTGCTGTTAATACCATCTCTCAAAAACCTTGGCAATGTTTTTAGCAAGGCAATCCCAATAGCTCACCTGGTCAACTTGGTCGCGAGTCGTGTCCGTGTCAACGTCGACCTGAAGGTGCAGGACGGTCCCCACACGCACACCACGGGGCAAGCAGAGCGATGGCAGACGAGCCTCACAAAAGTCGTTTGTGTGCAAGACACAAGTGGCCCCGCCGTCGTGAAAGGCGGCGATGGTAAAGGTTGTACTGCGACTCGAATCAGGAACGGGCTTGGCGCCGGACCCGTCTCCGGATCCGGCCTGCTCGAGCTCGATATCCTGGTCCTTCTGAGCGACCTCGGCGGAGGTATTCTCCAGCTGCTCAATGATAGCCTCTGCTGTCGCTTCGACCGCTGCCTTGGAATCTGCTAGCAGCTCGGCCATCCCGCTGCGCCAACTCCAAAGACGTGCTCAGACAAACAAATGGTGGCGACGAGGGCTCAAAGTCAGACGTCAGCTCTGCCCGCCATTCGCAAGCCACTTCCCCCCCCGAGTCCAAGTCCGACAGAGCCAAGACGAGGTAGCTGAAAAGATCCAACCCCTCCTTGGAGAGAAAGTCAAACAACCCTGCCCGCAAGCGAGAGCCGTTCCAAATGAACCAGAGGCCCCTCAGCGCGACACAGCGACACAGCGACACAGCGACACAGCGACACAGCGACACAGCGACACAGCGACACAGCGACACAGCGACACAGCGACACAGCGACACAGCGACACAGCGACACAGCGACACAGCGACACAGCGACACAGCGACACAGCGACACAGCGACACAGCGACACAGCGACAGGTACAGTGGGTCCACTGAGAAGCCCAGTCGCACAGAAACCAGTTTGGTAAAATCAAAATTAAAAGAGAGAGAGAGAGAGAGAGAGAGAGAAGGTGTTGAGGTGGGACGCGACACCAGTGAAGAGGGTTTCAAAAGTGGCAGCCCGCCCCAACAAAATTGTCATCATGTCAACACACACACAGAGATAGAGAGAGATCGAGAGACAAAGCCAGAGAGAGGGACAGAGCCAGAGATACAGAGAGACATAGCAACAATACAAATCTAGAGACACGGAGAGGAACAGAGACAGATGTAGAGAGAGAAAGAGAGAGAGACGCAAAGCTCAGAACGCCTTTTTATTGCAACCGCGCGCGCATTGGTGGAGCTGTGTGTGTGCGTGTGTGAGAGGTGAGCGAGGCAAGAGGTGGGGCGAGATGGATGCTGAGGCGGCAGGGGGGGGGGGAGGGATGAAGAGGCAGAGGGAGTAGAGGGAGGGGGTTTAATGGTTGGGTGGATGAGGTGCGGAGGGCTGTAGTAGTGCAAAGTTGACCTGGCTTGTCTTGTGTACGTGGTGTAGCTCGGATTTCACTGACACTACGGCTGAGAGCAAGCAGCATGGCAGACGACGCAGAGACAGAGGTGGGCGCCAAGCTGGATCTTCAGCAGCTGGCGGCTGAGGATGGCGAGGTGGGCTTGGATCTCGCGCAGATTGCCGAGCAGCTGCGCGAAGGCGTTGAGATCAAGGACCGTCGCTATCACATGAAGTCCTACAAGTCCTGTTTTGTTGGCAGCGAGGCTGTCAAGTGTATGCTCGACAAGCAAATGGTCATCAATGAGGAAGACGCCATTCAGTACGTTTCGATGAGGCTGCCCATTGGCACCCGCCCCACGATCCCGCCCGAACTGCCCCGCGGCGGCTCTTGTCCGCTCGCTTATCGATCATGCTGGGCCCTGCTTCTAGACTTGGCAACGTCTTGGTGGAGGCGGGCGTTTTTGCGCATGTTTTGAGAGACCATGGCTTCAAGAACGAGTACCTCTTTTATCGATTCGCCGTCGATGAGGACCATGGCAAGGCCGCTCGCACCAGCGAAGGCAACCTCATGAGCTGGCGACACTTTATCACCACCCCCACGACCCAGAATGAATCGTCTGCTTCCCTGCGTCAGCCCCACCTCCGCCCAAGCAACGTTGACGGTGTCACTGCCACTCCGGCCTCCGCGCTTGCTCCGCTCGATGAACATAACATCGCACTTCTCGACAAGGTGCACCCTCCGCAGTGGTCAAACCCCAACGCCAAGCCTCTCTACGATCTAGTGGTGATTGGCGCGGGGGCTGGCGGTCTCGTCACCTCGGCCGCTGCCTCGGGCGTTGGCGCGAAAGTCGCCCTGATCGAAAAGCACCTCATGGGTACGTGTGCCCCTCACCGCTTTCGCTCACGCTCCTCTGGCATGCGCATATATACATGCGCATGCACACCTGTCAGCTGTGCGCCCGTTTCTCATCAAAGCCCGACCGTAGGTGGAGACTGCCTCAATGTGGGTTGTGTCCCGAGCAAGGCCCTGCTGAAGGCAGCCAAGACCGCGCACACTCTGCGCAAGGCCATTGATGATGAAGCAGAGCTGGGTGTTTCCTTGGAAGGTTCTGTCAAGGTCGACTTTGAAAAGGTGCGTCTTTCGCGCGCAGATCCCGCATCACCCGGGTGGTCTGCTCGTGTGTGCACTGTCATGGTACCCTCACCCGCTTGCTCGTGTGGCCTCATCAACGACTTTGATTTGGAAACTCAGGTTATGCTCCGGGTCCGTCGACTTCGTGCGGAGATTGCCGATGCGGACTCGGTGTCTCGCTTTGCCGACAAACTGGGTGTCGACGTCTTTCTGGGAGCAGGCCAGTTTGTGGATAGGAACACGGTTGTCGTCAACGGGCAGGAGCTGCGCTTCATCAAGTGTGTCATTGCCACGGGTGGCTCACCCGCGCTGCCAGACATTCCTGGCCTGCAAGCTGCCTATGCCAATCAAACACAGTCCCAGCCTGTGATCCTGACCAATGAGAACCTCTTCAACCGCACGGTGCTGCCCCCGCGCCTCGCTGTCATCGGCGCGGGCGCTATTGGTATGGAAATGGCACAAGCATTTGAGCGGTAAGTCAGGCAACCTTGTTCGTTCGGTCTGCATGTGTAAGCGTTGTCTCTCCGCACACTTATGCGGGTGCGGTTTAACACGCTGCGGTAGCTTGGGTTCCAAAGTCACGGTCTTGGCTCGATCGGGGCGCATTCTCCCCAAGGAGGACCGTGACGTAGCTGATCTGATCCAAACCTGCCTGCACAAGGAGGGTATTGACTTTCAGCTGGACGTCGCCAAATACACGAATGTGGTGGCAACCGAGGACGTGGTCACCTTGAGCTTCAGCACCCATGGTGGTGTGCAGCAGCAGCTGGAGGTAGATGCCGTCCTTGTTGCTGCGGGCCGTCGCCCCAACGTCGGGTACGTTGCTTTGGTGGTCGGTGGTCTCTGCCCACCTTGTGCGTTGAGGGCTCGTGCGCTGCAGCCCATCAGCTCACGGGTGGGATGGAAATGTGGTGCCAAATGCGCGGGTACTTCTCTCTTGTAGGTCACTCAATTGTGAGGCCGCCGATGTCAAGTATGATGCTGTCAACGGCATCCAGGTCAACGACCGGTTGCAGAGCAGCAATGATGCAATTTTCGCCGTCGGTGATGTCTGTTCTCGCTACCAGTTTACGCATGCCTCTGACTTTATGGCTCGCATGGTGGTCCGCAATACGCTCTTCTTTGGGGGTGACAAGTTCAGCAATCTCCTGATTCCGTGGAGTACCTACACCAGCCCGGAGGTGGCTCACGTCGGAGCGTACGCCGAGGACCTCGATGCTCAGGAGGTTGCTTACGACGTCTACGAGAAACGACTCGACTCCAATGATCGCTGTATCCTTGAGGGTGAAACTGAAGGCCTCATCCGCATCGTCTGCAAGCGGGGCTCGGATAAAATCATCGGGGCTACCATTGTTGGTCCCAACGCTGGCGATATGATTAGTGAGATCACGCTGGCCATGCAAGCCGAGGTGGGCTTGGGTACGTTGGCCAGCGTGATCCATCCCTACCCAACCCGTGCTGATGCCATTCGTGCTCTTGGCGACCAATATAACCGCACGCGCCTGACGCCCATGGTACGTCGGCTGCTTCGCGGCGTGGTCCGCTTCCACCGCACTGGCCGCTCAGCGTCAAAGTAGCCCCTTTTTCGCATGCACAGCGGTCGACCTGGGTTGTCGTGATAATTCATTCTTTCAAGTGGTGGGATTCCGTGCGGTAGCCCTGTCCTTGTGCACATAGCACACGACCCTTTCATTAAGCAACGACACTGGGCTGGTCATCGTATGGTCGTCTCCTTTAAAAAGACGTGGTTTTCCTCTTTACATGAATGGGAGTTGGCATGGCACATGGGCGCCACGCTTGAGTGGTATGAGTCGTCACTTGAGCAGGCTGGTGCACGCCAGCTCGACTAGTCAAGCGTGTAATGTGTGTCAAGTCGCGTTGTGTGCGCAGAATCACTGTCAATTTTAATTTCGGTCCAATTTTGCGTCTACATGAACATCAACATGCTTGGAGAGTTACTGCGTCAACATAGCACTTTCGATTTAGACACTTGTGTCAAACTTTGGCCCTCGATAGAGCAAGATGAGATATGCGATGAAGTGAAAGCCGACGGTCATGGCAATAAGGATCAGAATATTGTAGCCAAAATCAATATCTGCAACGTCATCTACGGCACGGCCAACGTCAGCAAGCACAAATGAGTCAGTAACACAAAATTGAGCAAATCGGCAAAAATTCAACGAAAATTCAATAAAAATTAAACGAAAACTTGAACGAAAACATGCATGACAAAGTAAGGGGTCAACACTTACAAAATTCAAGAACCTGGGAGCCCTCTGAAAAACATAGCTGGCCTGCCTCGGCGGCGCTGCCCGAGCACGAGGACGTGTCGAGAGAGCGATCCTCGTATTCTAGTTGCAGCAGTGCTGCAAAGCTGTACTTGATGTCTAGTGCAGCACACACAAAATGTTACGGACTGCGAGCAAAGCAGGGTGGTCGGTACTGGAGAGAAGCGCGCACAGGCGCGGAAGAGCAGACGTACAGGAGAGGTACCGCAACCACGAGATCCAGTTTGGAACTTGTTCAAAGTTGATGAAAAAGCCTGCATCATACCATACACAAGCGCGCGTCACAGGATCCCAGGCAAAAAAGCGGGGTAGACGTTTTGTTCAGGCCAAAGGGTCGCTGGGATGCCAGCAAGCCGACGTACCGCCAAAGAGGATGCTGGTCACCATGAAAATGGGTGCGATCGAGCCTGCAGGCATCGATGATGGAGGGTGAGAGGAGCAAAGTGCACACGTACTACCCCAACCGGGTCCCACACCGACCGGGTACCCAAGGACATACCGGCTTCCTGGGCGGTGGATGACAGGGCCGAGACGATATAGGCAATGCCCGAGGCTGCTTCCGTGGCCAAGAAGAGCACAAACAAAAAGCCAAAGAAGGCACCCGCGTCTGGTCGAAAATCAATCATAAAGTAGACCACAACGGAAAAGAGCAAGAGCGGGAGCAGAATGCGTGGTATCTCCACAATGACTTTGGACCCAAAGTACGCGCCCACTTGATACGAGCGCGATGCTCGTTCCTTCTGAATGATTGCCTTCTCCAGCGGAACTGCACACACAGTCAAGAGAGAGAAACGTGCAAACCCAGCGAGAGAGAGAAAGGACCACGACGGGAGAGAGTGAAAGTGAGCACACGCACATCCAAAGTATGCGTCAAGAGGACGACGTTCAGGCCGCATCCCGGCAATACCAGCAAGAAGACGGGGACAGATACAAGAAGGAGGACGTACAAACATAAATAATGCCAAAGGTACCACCGAAGCTCTGGTTGATCAGCGCCTGTAAGTGCACGCGGGGTGGTGGGGGCAAGTCAGCGTCAGCAAGCAGCGCCAGTCTTTGGGTGGGGACAGTGACCGAAGACATACAAAGAACAGGGCACCGGCCACAGTCTGCACGGAGCGTCCGCCATCGCCGCCACCCTCCATGAACCAGATAATGCCAAGCAAGATGGCAAAGAAGATAGTCTAAAAAGCAGAAGAGGCAACAAAACACACACACACGCAAGTAGTCAACCCAACAAGAGCTCCAGGCTGGAAGCACTCGGTCAGTTGCACTCGGCCAGCTGCAAAGCAAGCCGAGCCTCTAATACCCTGCATACCTGGACCATCTTGGCCATGTTAACTTGATTTTCGCGCATTGCGATTCTTGCTGCGCGACGAAGCAGCAACCCAAACTGCGTACACCCTATGCACGAGGGATGCCGGTATGAGGCCTGCTTGAAGACACAACGCGCTGTCGCGCTCCAAGCCAATCGACCTACAGCTGACGGCATAGCCGCTACGGGTGGGCTTGCTCGAGACGCCCAGCTCCGCGTCTGAGGCTGATGCTGGATGATGCTGCGCCAGTCCCACACTTGCGTCGTGTTGCCCCGAAGATTGTTGATTGTGTGGCAATGACTACCGGAGGCATGAAACGGTGAGGTGGTGATGGTGGCGTCAGGAACCCTGGGCGTGTGGGAACGCACTCGCTGGTGTTTGCGAAAGGCATCGGCCAAATACGCAATGCGCTTAGATGTGCGACTTTCCAGCTCTGCGCTGCGCGCATCCAACGAGATCAAGTCTAGGAACCAATCGGCCGGATTATAGCTCTTGGGTGACCTACGCGTGTGAGTTTGAAGTGAATGTTGTTTAGGTGAGTGCAACCACACAAGCTCCACACGCCGTGCCGCTCGAGTCCACGTACGGATATCCAAGCCGATCAAAGTAGGGTACGGCCTCTTTGGCCGAACCCATGTACAACATGTTGCCCTCGCTTAAAAGCATGAGCTGGTCCACACGTGCAACGCGGATGAGTCAAACACAAAACAACCAATGTGCCTGCCATCCCAACCACGCACAAAAGAAAAGCATCGACAAAGACAAGTCTGATGTGGGGCAAGGTGCGCTTTTCTTGGCTCACCTGATCAAGCATGTTGTAGATTTCAGAGCGGGGCTGAACGATGTCAAAGCGTCGAGGTGATTCTTGAGTGAGAAAACAGCAACAAGACAAAACATGCAGCAGATGGAAGCAATAAACAGGGACTGACCTGGTGAATGGTAGCAATGACAGTGCGACCGGCTTTGGCCAAGGTCAGAAGACTGTCCATGACGTTCTGCACGAAGTAGGATGGCGATGAAGATGATGTCAGTTGAATCGCTAGGCAGCAGGCGGCGCACCTCCCCCACCGGCTCTCGAGAAGAATTAAGAAAAGAATTCAACCATCTTAACAAGGACTGCAATATTCACGCACCTGTGCGTTGAAGGAATCAAGGCCTGTCGTCGGCTATTGGTACAGCAAGCAAGTAGTAGCGAGAGATGAATGACGGTGCAGTGACAGATATGCTGGAACACCCGGCCCGTTTGACTGTCCCAGCCTTCTCTGAGTGCCATGTGTAGGCCAGTAGCAAAGTTGCAAAGCAAGGAGCTACTGACCTCATCACAAAACACGAGGGTCGGGTTGGTCACCAACTCAGTTCTATCAAGCAGGGCGTAGTTCAAATTTCAGGGAAGTGAACCTGGCAGACCCACAGCACAATGCCAAGCACGACTCAGGCGGGGCAGGGTAGACATTCGCTTACCCAATGTTGACACGCTTCTTTTCTCCGCCGGAGACGCCACGTCGGGTCTCGCTGCCAATGATGGTGTTTTCGGCTTTTTTCAAACCCAGTTCGCGAATGACCTGTGGTGCCGAGGAAAGCCTCACATTAAAGGCCTGCTCCGTAGCATGACTGACGGGTGCGCGGAGATTAAAGGTTCGGAGCAGGAACCAACCATGTCCACACGTTCTTTCTTGTCTTCACGACTCATCTTGCCTGGCAATCGCAGATTGGCCGAGAGCATGATGGTCTCGCGGACTGTGAGCTCTATCTCCAGTGTCCAGTGGAGAAAGGTGAAATGACTAGGTGAGAAGGTGCTTGAAGCGTTTACCGGTGTTAAACAGCAAGGGAAGCGAGACGGACCAGCGAAGAAAACGTCCTCCTGCAAGACATAGGCTGAAATCCGACGAAACTCGCTGACATCGCGTTTATGCCCATTGACAAGCACCTCGCCTGATGTGTCGCCCTTGCCACGAGCATCCAAACGGCCTGCCAGAATCTGTAGCAAAGCAACAAGATACCTCGTCAAACCACGAGTCCAGAGTCTTGGTTGGCAGTCCACTCGTGGGGCCCACCAGCGATCGACCACCTACGTTCAAGAGCGTGGTTTTACCGGCCCCGGAGGAGCCAATAATGCTGAGGAGACTGGCCGGCTCTACTTGACCAGAGAGTCCCTTGATGATCTGGCGTGACTCGTCAGGGCCCTTGTGTTTCTTGGTAACCACGTCAAAGCGAATGTCCTTGAAAGTTAGTGTGAGAGGTTTGACGCGACGGGTTTCGTTGAAAACGCTTTCCTGACGATCAGCGCGGTGTAGCTTGACAACATCTGGATCCAAAGGATCTAGGCTGCACACGGGTTGAGGTCCGAACAAGCAAGTGAGTGCGACCTCATGGTGACTTTTTTTTTGAACAAGCATTGAGTTTTCAACGCAAAGGGTGGCATGTCATCACGCACTAGAGATCACCGTCGCGAGGATCTATGTCCTTTTTGCCCGATGCAAGAGCAGAGCTGGATCCAGCGGGATGAGAAGAATGGGACGATCTTGGAGCTGAGGACTGGTTGTTATTGTTTGGCGTCTCTTGAACCAGCTGGCCTCGTTCAAGGGAGCGGCCTTGAAAGAAGCGGTCGCGGCGCTCGCGCTTGAGCTCATCTCCCTTGGGATCGTTGGCACGAGTGATGGAAACATGACCCGGCTTGGGGGTGCCGGGGCTGTTGAGGGGTTGGTCCTGGTTTACACCAAAGACTCGCGAGTTGAGGCGATCGAGGTCCACCACGTATGGATTGCCACTGATTGAGCTGCGACCTGGGCCCGATGTCCGCTGCATGTCTTGGTGGCTGGTGGATAGCCCGGTGGGCCGACCGGGGCGGCTCAGGCCAGCCCGGGCGGGTGGGCCGCGGCCAGCACCCTCATCCATGCTGTCGGTTGCAAGTCTTCAAAGGCACCGGTCGGAGGGCGCAATGTATGGATGTGCACTTGGGCAGAGACGGACACCAGCAGATGTGGTGGTGGAGCGTGTCTCAAGAGCGAAAATGGCAGTCCCGCAGGCTGGCCCTCGTACATGTGGGGAGTGAATAGGGCAAGCGGTGCCTTGGCAGGCTGCTCATCGAATCTGGGTCCGGCGTTGGTAATGCCCGAGGTGGCCAGGGGGAGGGGAGGGGCACGAGAGCAGTGGTGTCGCATTCTGGGTTGCAGCCCACGAAGGGGGACCTGCAACTCACTCGCGTTCACGTTCATGAGTGTGTGATTTGGTCGGCTCCTGTGGTGACCCTCCTCCCGTTTGGAGCTTTTGGTGGTTTGGGCAAAATTTTGTTGTGAGACATGTCGGGTCCACTGAGTCTGGAAAGCAGGACAATTTGGTCTTCCAAAGCCTTGAAACCGCACGCAGCCATCTTTCAAGTGACCTTGGCAAGGATCAACACAGTGAGCAAAGAAGGGTCAGGGCAGCTGCCGACCTGCCTTCTCATCATCACATGTGACGAGTGCATGAATCTCTGACTACGAGATGATGTTTGTCGATGCTTCAGCATCAATCCCCATCATCACGATCGTGGTCAAACGCCTTCCTGGTCACGGTCTACGTCAGGATGGTGAAGAAACACGCGTGCACATTGTGCAAACCCAGAAACCTCATTGTTGTCCTTCTTCTTGCCCGTGTCCTTGCACCCTTTGGGCAAATGGCAGGGACAGTCCACAAGGGCTCCAAAACTCTTATTTTCTTTTGTTCGCAAAAGAGAGAGAGGGAGAGGAGAGAAAAATGAATTGGTTTGAAAGCGAGAGAGACCTTTGCAACCCTCATCACACAACACACACACACACACACACACAGTGTAAAACGGCTGACATGATGACAATTCAGTGCGTGCTGCGATCAGTTGGACAGTCTCTGCAACAAGTCAGTACATGATGGTGTTGAAAACGTATAAAAGTCGATGTAAAGGGACTCTTAGTGGGCAAGAGCGATGTGTACCAGATCGTAGCATCGGCGGGACCGGGGAGACCAGTGCACTTGCTGGGCGACAGCTGGACGGGTTGTATCGGGGCTGTAGACGGGTGGTCGCCGGACGGCCGTTTACTTGCCTGTGATGTTGTTGAGCTTGTACCGTTACCATGCGGATTCCCTGGTCCCCAGCGCAGCTGTTGTACGGTGGCTCTTGCCAACCCTTGCTCGATGTCCCCTCGTCAGCTTCAGAGAAAGGTACAAAGGCAGGGACGCAGCGGAAAGGATCTGCATGGCTTGGCCCACAGTTCGTGGTGAGGGGCTCAGCGCTTGCCGGGGCTACAATAGCGTGGTGGCCGCTTGGACACCTGGTTCCGCAGCATATTGGCGCCAAGAGGGCCAAGGCATGTTGGCAGTTTCGCAACTGGCGCCATCTCGTTTTCCTGGCGGCGCGCTCGCTCTCCGATACCGATCTGTGGTTCATCAGGGTTTGCTACACTAGTCAAGCTGGTGTCAGACTCGTATTTGTGTTGCGATTGGACCTCCCGCGTTTGTTGGGGGGATCCAGCAAATGAGGGTGAGGGAGGTAGGCATTCAACTGGCGCCTCTGCGTGATATCCCCCAACATGGGGCGGACCTGGCTGCGTCTCGGCTCTGCGCTGGTCTTGGTGTGCCTGTTGCACGTTCATGCCGCTGAGGCTGATGATTGCCAGACCATAGTTCAGCAGGATCATCTTCGCGCCGCTTCGTTCGACACACAAGCAAACGGATGGGTCACGACCGCAACGTGGGGCGATGAGCTGGCCAACGCAACCTTTGATGCAGCTTTGCCAGTCCAGTTGTTCCCAGATGCTGCTGTCTTTGACAACATCACTCGTCAGATTGACTTGCGCTACACCGCCACAGCTAGCTGGCAGCTGGTCTACATGGGCCCCAGCCCCGAGGTTCTGGCTCACCACTCACCCCTGGTCGTGGGCATCCGTGCACAAGTGGCTAATTCTGCTACTTGGTACCAGCTGGATCAAGTCACGCTGACATCTGGCACAGCCCTGGCCCGCCGTTTAATCGTGTCTCTCGACGCCTTTTGCGGCCATCACCTCCAATTAGGCCTCTTTGTTGCGAGCGGGCAGTGGCCTGTCGGCTGGGCCATGCCTTTAGTGGGCTCAAGATTCGACCTTCAGACGTGTCCTCGTGGCCCGCAGCCGTCCACAGAGGCTCCAGGGGCTGCCGATGCCAACTGTTCGAAACTTGACTACGTGCGTGCCATATTTGAGGAGGCTGACTTGGCCGCAGAAACTGGCTCGTTGTCCTTCGACGGTCCTTGGCACGAATTGGACCGATGGCCTCAAAGCGCCCGCGATGGCTTTGTGACCATGGGTGCTGGCACGCTCCAACTTCAAAGCTCTACAGGCACGGTTGGGGTAGCTCGCTCTTTTGATCTCACCCAAGTGCCGCAAGCTACGCTCGTTCTATGCTACGCTTGGGGCAACATCTCGACTCTGGACTCGCACATTGGTGTAGACTTGCAGCTACGCTCGGCAGATGCACCCCTTGAGACGTGGAGTCGCCTTTTGCCACCACCACTGGATGCTACCCGGGCTTGCATCAACATCGACCTTGCTGCTTTGACGGGAACTCGCGTGACCATTCACATAGCTCTGGTTGGAGCCCCAGATGCGGTTGCCTCGACTGTACACTTTGCTATTCACGACGTTATCGTCTTGGCATCATCTTGTTATGACCAAGCCACTTTGCTCGCTCTCTTTGGCTACACTCCTGAAGAAGAACAAGAGGTCCCGCGTGAAGCAACGACTGAGGAGCCGGAAACAACTCCTCCAGCCGTGGAGACAACAACCACGGCATGTACAAATCAGACTTGCCGCTGCAAGCCCGATGCTTATGAGCATGGTCGACTGAGCGCGGCAGGTTGTTATCGCTGCACTTGTTTGCCACTTCCATTCTCCAGCACACTTTCCGATGCAACAACCACTTTCAGTACGAGTACTTTCCTGCCTTCAAGCTCCGCGAACACGAGCACTACGAGCGCAACCACGTCCTCAACAGCGACAAGTACCGCATCGCTCTCGAGCACCACCTCCAGAAGCATGGCCACTTCCACTCGTAGCTCGAGCTCCAGTGCCAGGTCGACCACGACGGTTATGTCCACCACAACGGGGACTGTCTCGGATGTGACGAGCGCTGGGGCTTCCTCAACTGGGGCACGTAGTTCAAATGCGCCCTCAACAAGCTCAGCGCGCGGCAGCGACACGCCCATACCCAGTACAACTTCTTCAGCAGAAACGACGTTTGCCCCCGAACCAACTCTCCTACCAACTCCTATGCCATCGACGCTGTTCCCGACCTCAAGATCCAGCTCACACAGCATCTCTACCACTACGTCTACAGCTTTGTCCACATCCACGTCAACGTCCACGTTGACCTCTACCTCGACCTCTACCTCGACCTCTACCTTGACCTCTACCTCGACCTCTAGCTCTAGCTCTACGTCTACGTCTACCTCAACCACGACCTCCACCTCCACCTCCACCTCCACCTCTACCTCCACCTCCACCTCCACCTCCACCTCTACCTCTACCTCCACCTCTACCTCCACCTCTACCTCCACCTCGACCTCCACCTCGACCTCGACCTCGACCTCGACCTCGACCTCGACCTCGACCTCGACCTCGACCTCGACCTCGACCTCGACCTCGACCTCGACCTCGACCTCGACCTCGACCTCGACCTCGACCTCGACCTCGACCTCGACCTCGACCTCGACCTCGACCTCGACCTCCAATTTTACTTCAAACCCGCATCCTGCTAGTGCCACCAGCTCCTCAAGTTCAACTTCTAAACAAACATGGACAGAGGCTCCGGTCAAGTGTTCGTTCAACGTGGTCGAGGATGAGTTTGATGGCTCAAGTCTCAGCCATACTCCTGTTCTTGAGTCCGACGACGCAGGGAACGTCCTTTCACCTTGGGTGGCCACCACGCGCAATGGCGCTGTCTTCTCGGCGACGACCGCCTGGCTTGCACAAGGTTCGCTGTGGCTGCAGCCAACACCTCACATTCAGCCTATTGTTTCGCGCCAAATAGATCTTCGCAGAGCCTCGCAGGCCTCCGTGAAGCTCTACTATCGTGTCTTGGGCATGGGCTCGGCAGTTGTGGAACCAGTCGCCATCCAAGCTCGCACCGTCGGAGCAAGTGACTGGCAACAACTACATGTTCTGGCTTCCGATCTCTCCTTTGCTGGCAGGGCGCAAACTGCTCGCATCGGGCTGGCGCCGTTTGTGGGCAAAGTGATGGAGTGGCGCTTCACCACAACCTTTGTACCAGCCAGCCCGGCTCTTGTGCTGCGCATAGACAATTTGCAGCTAGTGATGACCACTTGCGTGTGGCCTGCCCCTGACATCCCTTCGACCGCCTCCTTCACTCCGTCCTCGACGCACGACAAGACAGCCTCACTTGCACCATCCTCTTCGACCTCGATCCGCCACACTCACACCGCAACGGATAGTGTCAGGACCACTCGAAGCATTGAAGATCTTGGTAGGACTGACACGCCTGCCCTGTTGACCACGAGGCGCCCCATCGCGGTATCGTCCACGGCAGGGACGGCGGCACCATCCACTGCTGCTCTGTTTTCGACGCCAAAAGCTGATGAAGCTGTGGGTATCTCAGCAGCCGTCGACGACGGCGAGCAGGCCACGGGCGCCTCAGTCCGTGCTCACGAGGGCTTGATGGCAGGAATGGTAGCTGTGATTGCGTTGGTCTGCGGAACTCTTGTGGCTATCGTGGCTATAGTCCGACGGCGGCGGCGGCGGCGTGAGCACGCAGCACAAGGCCACAGTCAAATTGATGTGGACAGCCTAGAGTTTGATGAAGATCCTTGGATCCAGGCAAGCCAAGCAAGCCATCCTCAAGCTGAGCTTGAGCCAATGCCATGAAGCTCAGCCCAGACTGACTTCAGGTGACCTGGGTATATGGTTGTTGTACATGGTTTTTTTTATCCCCGTGTCTTACTTGACTATGACAGGCCATCCAGTATTTTTTTTCAGGTTGTTGTTGTTGTTGTTGTTGCTGTTGATGCTTTCAAAGACCTTGATCCAGGGCTGATTTTGCGTTGTTTGGCATCGTGCGTTTAATTGAGTGTTACAAATGAGATGATTCCGAGTCCGGCGGTCAGCAAAAACGCAGAGAACATACACGTGGGAGCAAATGATTGGTCTCGCAGGGAGAGATAATAAGATAATGGAGAATGTTTTACCAGTGGTTAGGAATGTTATGTCTTGCGACAAGCGTAGTCGACGCGATAGACATGCTGGATACGTTGAATAGTGGCATTGGTGAGATCGCTCGGTCGGATCGTAAAGTGGGCTACGGTATTGGTATCGACCGTGCCTCCATTGTGCCGTGAGCGGGTCGAATCCTGATTTTGTTGCAGGTATGTTGAGTTGGCGCGATCGCGAGAGTGCGTCAGACCAGGCCACGGGCAAGTGGTGTTGGACGCCTGGGCAAAGCGAGTCCATTGATGCCAAAGCGCTTGGAGTACGGCCTCATCCTGAATGTCAGTGATGTAGGTCAAGAATGGCACCGGGGCAGGCGCAATGTTAGGAGAGCGTGTGGGGAACATGAAGGCATTCATGGGAGCCAGATGCGAGTTCCAGCGCGTCAGCAGCCGCGCCGTCGGTCGAGATTGTAGAATGTGCTGCACCGTCTCGTCTTTGGTGTGATTGGCCGCAAACGCTATCATCGAGGCCGGCATGTGCCCTAAACATGAAAAAACCAGGATGACGTCGGTACATAAGTTTATTTATGGGTGGCCGGCGGGATGGAGGAGAGGGTCTGGCAAAAGGAGGCACCCAGAGTGCGGGACAAAGTCTTGAACGTGCTCACCGCGACGCAACACCTCGGCCAGTCCGGAAAGAAAGCGGCCCACAGCACTGGGGCGCTCAAGAGCCACGAGCTCACTTGTGGGGAGGCCGTTCAGGGCGCGCAGGCGGCGGAAGATTCGGTATTCACCCCCGGGTTGGCAGGCACAGGCTGTCCTGACAAGCTGGTTGACGGAGGTCCCGCCGGCCTTGAAGACGTGAACATGACCAAAGTTCCGCTCAGCTGCGTGGGGGAAAATACAAGCAACAATCTCATGGTTGTTGGCCGGAAGCTGAGGTAGGCTGTCCGGAGGGTAAAGTTTGCCTGAGGTGTACTGCTGATGGAGGCACTCCTGCCAAGCTGTCAAGCGGTGTCGGGCGCGCTGCAGCGCCGGCTCAGTGCCAGTCGCCCACAAGCAGTTAATCTGCACGCTGACGACCAGCAGCAAGAGCGCTGATGCATGTGACCGTGGTTGTCGCTGCATCGTGCAGCCCACTGCTCAGTCCCACCAATGCATTGGGCTGGACAGCTCTGGTCATGGACGAGCCTCGTCCAGCGAGCCAGAGGAATGAATGCGGGAGGGAGAGAGAGAGAGAGAGAGGGAGAGAGAGCAATCATCGCCTCGAGTCATCCCTGCATGCATGCATATATCATCCCATCAATTCGAATAGTTCACTGACTTCGTCAACTTCGTCAACCGCATAGAACGAACGGAACGAGAAACGATGCGTGCACATCCAAATGTACACATGTAATCCGAATGTACATCGGATGTGCATGTACATCCGGATGTAACTGCCACATCAAAATCTTGTTTGTTCATTACATTTTTTTGTACGCCATGATGGTTAATCTCTCTGATCTTTCACATCTCTCTCAGCGCGGCTGGGCCCAGGTCTTTGTGACGCTGGCTGCCGCTGCCATTTCAATCTTCTATTTCTCCTTTTCTCCCTTTGAAGTTGCGGCGGGAATTTGTGCTAGCATTGCTGCTGCGGGCGCCGTCCCGCTGCTCTTTGACGCGGTGCACTACTTGATTGCCTTCTGCATCTCAGCGCCGGATGCGCGCCCTCCGTTGCGGACAGTTTGGACAAAAACGCGGCTCCAGCGCTGGAGTGGGTTGTCGATCCTCACCTTCATCGTCTTGGCGTGCGGCTTGTACTTTGCGAGCCCCAGCCCTATGAGTGCGAGCAATCTTTTTGCAGTTTTCGCGCTATCCCTTTGCAATTCGGTCTTTTCCGCCATGGTCGCGCCGCGATGTGGGCGCCTGGAGGTGGTTGATTTGGCCACCCATCCGAATACTGTGCTTTTTAGGGACTTCGGCGCAGCGTCAGCGATGTCATATTGGCATGGCTACCTTCAGCATATTGCCGGCGACCGTGCCGCTCTCGAAGAACGGTTTCGGGATTCAGATGTGGGCGGCATGCGAGTTCCCCGCAAGCTTTACATTCTGGTTCCGCAGGACTGCGAGGTCAATGCCTCAGACAACAAGTATGAGGGCCTCAAAGCCACCGAGCACTACATCTCGCCCAAACCCATCACCATAGGCGGGGTGGTTGATCGTGAAATGGGTAAGCACACCCTCTACACCCCCTCGGAGAGTGCCGAGACTGCGAGTGTGGCGTTTGCCATGGAGCTGGCGAGCCCTCTCAACACGATGAAGAATGCGCTGAAGGACGCGGCGGAAGGCTTATTGGAGCTGCAGAGTGAGGCCTTTTACCTCACCCTCAGAGGCATTCTGAAGCAGGAGGGCGTTCTTGATCAGGGCAATGATGAAGGTATGATCAAACTAGTGTGGGGCAAGAACCGCTCTGAGGTGCTGAAGAAAATGAGAGCGGAGGACCAGTATGCGATGCCATAAATGCCATTTGGCACCTGTTTTGTTGTACGGGGTTTGGTAGGGGAGGAGGCAAGCAGGGATGTACCCGCGAAAGGAAGACTCAAAAAACAGGAAAGGTAGGAAAAGCAAACAGGGGAAGTCAGCTACATAGCCCACTGGGAAAGAAATTGATTCGTCAGTCGAGATTCTCCAACATTTTGCATCAAAATAAATTGAAGTACATGAACATGACATCGTACATGTTGGGAAACTAAACATTCAACGTGTTCCTTGATCTGAAGGAGCATCTTTAACTGAAGGGGAGGCTCAGAACAACACGCTGTACGGCTTCGAGCCCGGCCTTTGCAATATTGAAGTCGGACTGTTTAAAATTGCAAAGAAGGTTGATGTTTGGGGCAAAGAAGTGGGGCAGGCTCCTAGAGCCCACCTTTTTGATCATGAAATCAAGAAGTTCCTTCGTCTTCTCTCGTACCTCTGCCCCGCCAGCGAGGCCGCCTTCTGGGCCAAAGTTGCTGCCCTTCAACTCAAAGAACGCCAGCCAGGCCATCTTAAGGTGGTAGCTCTTCAGCTTCGTGCTGCACAGCTTGCGCTTCTCAAAGGCTATGTACTTGACGATGCGGAGGCAAAGTTTACTCGAAGGATTGCGTTGGCCTCTGATATACTCCTTCTCCAACATCGATAAAGAGAGGCGCCAGCCCCATCTCCCGTCGTTGCGCGTCTTGGGAATGGCATAGATCTTCTTCTGCCAGTCCGGGATGATTGAGAGGGGCCCTGGCTCGCACGCACCGTCAACAACAACAGGAACCGCAGGTACAAGGTCTGCAGTCGTGGTGCCAGGCACGCCACCCACATTGAGGCGCAGGAGCGAGCCCGGACCATTGGCTCGGATAGCGTGCCCTTTGCGCCCCAGGTTCCTGTTGAAATTGTTGCGGTACGCCTCAGCACGTTCGCTGACGTCAGCGAGAAAGGCGTCAATAGGGGGGGGCCAATGCACGACGAAGCCCTTGCGTCGGAGCATGTCGCGGTCCCAGTCTTTCGTCGCCGCCATGACGTCAAACTCGTTAGCGCTCTTGACCTTGAGCCCTTCGTAGGCGCTGCCGGTGTAGAGCATCTCGTATTCGCCACGGAAAAGGGATGAAACGGCTCTGTCAAAGGCCTCGCGCGCCTCCCTTTTCCCATCCCTGGGGACCTGGACCTCACGCAACAGGTCCGTGTAGGTTTGCGGGCTTGATGCTGCCATCATGACAGTGGCGTGGCGGAAAAAAAAAAAAAACAGGACTGGATCGTTGAAGAACACGTAAACCGTGTGCGGAGCATCGGTTTTTAGCGTTCAAGAAGTCCCCCTGCATCGTGTGCTTGTTCATTTCCAAAAAGTCCCCTAGAAAAAGTCCCCAGAAACATGGTTGCTGGTTTGCAAACCGGACAATGCTGACAATTTTGCGCGCCGGGAGGCCAGAAAATTGGCGCGCCGGCCTCGATCTGGGCAATGGCAGCGCCAGATCCGGGCGATAAACAGGGATGGGCGAGCTGAGCATGCATGAATAGGTAACTGACATACCCTGCATGGCTCCAGTCTAAAAAAAACCAGTGTTTCTATGGCACATCGAGCACCTATGCACTCCTCTGCACCTTGCTTTGTTTTCGGCTGGCAAATGGCAGCCAGATCTGCCATAACTGCCGATGGCAGCTCACATCAACCCTAAATTTTGCTGTATCCATATTGTGCGTACTATATGGCTTTAGGAAAACCTTGGTTTGGCCAAATCGGCCCAGTATAACCGCCTGGGCACTCCTGTGCGTGAGCTGCACCTCTGTTTACCCTTGCGCTGACGGGGACCCGAGCAGTTTGCAATGAAAATGGCGGCGCAGCTGGCTGGTTTTAGGCTCATTCAAAAGGCAGCGCATGTGAAATGTATATGGCTCAGTATTGTGGCATAAAGCCGTCATCTTGATACCTTTTGGGCCGCCAACTTTTGACTGAAAAGTGTTTTGGACCTCTTAAAAAATGGCAGCCACAACACGGCTTATACAAACGGCAGCCAAACTAAACATGGCTCATTCGATGCGCCATGCTGTAAAGAGCTAGTACAAGCTGCAGATTTTGAATACTGCGCTCTCAACACCTGTTACATCTGCCATACTGGGACCATAGCATTTTTTCCTCATTGACCTTTACAAATGGCAGCGCCACACATACTTCTCGGCACTTGACGGCCTTGAAATTGATGTCATTGGAAACGGCAGTCCTGAATTGTTCTTTAAACTTGGTTTTATTCCCTCCTGCTTCACTATGTTCCTGGTTAGCACTGCCTGTTTTGCTGGCTACAAAACAGATTTCCCGACCTGTTCCGGCTTGATCTGAGCCCGGCTGTGGTCCGAATGGCATTTTTCCGACCACAAACCAAGTCCTCAAGACCTCTTTTGCTTCTTTTCAATCCCAACCAACTAGTATGTTGCCTTGCACCCTTGCGGCTCACGTTCCAAAGGCACCTGGTGCCTGGTCCCTCGTTCCGCACATCTCTCAAACCACCACCAATACGCACCAACACAAACACCCCACATTCTTGTGCGGTTGTACCTGCCGCCGAGTTGTTGCTGGTCGTCAACACAAGATTTTCGTTTGTTTTTCGTTTTTTTTTTTAACATGGCATATACCGTCTCACTTGCGTTGATGGTGCCTGCTTGACACCTCTAGCCAGCACCATGACTGTCACTGACCAGATCAAAGAGGCTATCACCAAGCTCTGCCCCCCCAACTCTCGCAAGGGTGTCAGCCGTGCTGCCATCAAGCAGTACCTAGGCGATGGCGTCCCTGCTTACCGCATCAACCAGAGCCTGAAGCACCTTGTCGAGACCGAGCGCGTGGTGCAGACCCGTGACTCCTTCCGCATCCCCGCCGTACGTTGATGGCGCTGCAGTTTTTTTGCCCGAATCCCCACATGAGATGGGGACACCGTCTCGACTTGGCAACGAAAATGTCCATCACCCGCCTGACATGAATATTTTGCCTCTGACTCTGCTGGTGCCCCTTTTGAGTAGAAGGTCAAGGCTGAGGAGAAGGCCGCTGCCAAGAAGAAGGAGACTGCTGCCAAGAAGGCCGCTACCAAGAAGACCACCACTGCTAAGAAGACCACCAAGAAGGCGGCCACCACCAAGAAGCCCACCACCACCAAGAAGGCCACGACCACCAAGAAGGCCACGACCACCAAGAAGGCCTCCACCAAGAAACCCACGACCACCAAGAAGACCGCCAGCACCAAGAAGACCACCACCAAGAAGCCCTCCGCGAAGAAGACCAAGGCCGCGGCGAGCGCTTAAGCGTCTTGTCCACGCTTCTTCATTTTGTTGTGTCTTCATTTCTTTTTGACTACTTGTTGAGTTCCAGTGTTGGATAGCTCGCGCCCTCGAGTCGAACCACCTGTCTGCGTGTTTGTGTTTGTAGTGGAACCCTCTTTTTGTATTTTTCTTTTTTTGTGAACTCGGGCAGGCCGGGAATGTCGCACGCAGCCATTGCCCGTGTCGTTCTCTGTATTACTCTTCTGTTGTTTTGCGTGCGTGCTAGTGTGGATGAAACTTTTTGAGCAGTGCTTTTGAGGCTCCTGTTGAGCGCGCCTATGTGACCAGGCGTTGGCACGTTGCTTGGTACACACCCATGTCGCTCTTTATTTCAAGGCGATGAACAAGATATTGATGCTGTCGCGGCGAGGCCGCCATGTCCAGCAATCGACAAAAAAAATGGTCACCCGTTATGTCTTTGAATGATGTATCTGATTCATGGTGAGGCAAAGTAAAGGGAAACCAGTCAGACTCTTGCTCGATTTGAATTGACGCGTAAATCGAATTACAAAGGCAAGCCAGCAGTGTAGCACTCGTGTGGACAACCGCATGATGAAACGTGACAACGCGACTGGTGTAAAGCTATTATGCACAAAGTTTGTTGCTAAAATGATACACACTCGAAAGCGTCACTCTGCCCAATCGACAGGGCTCCTGCAAAGACTTAGCCGTTAAAGAAACGACCTAGTAAAGCAAACTACATGAAGCGGCCCAGAACGCGTCGAGCCGTGAGCTGCCAAGACAATCTCGAATGCGACTTTTCTGCTCACCCAAACCTCGCTCAGCACGCGCAAAGATGAGACTGCATACCCCGCTTTGCTGCGAACGGACGATCTCGCGTTCTTCCTCGTCCAGTTTGAGCAAGTCAGCCACCAACTCGGCTGTTTCCTGCATAAACAGTTTCCCATGTTGTGAGTCAAGGCCGCCAAATCACTCTGTACGCGCATGCAAGAAGCTAAATCAGTTTGAGGCGCACCGCTGGTCGAATTCCGGACAGATGCTTTAACATGGCATCACGCAGCACCAGGTGATTCTCTTCACTAATCTGTTGCTCCTGGCGCAGCCTGTTCAGCTCTGTCTCCAGAGCATCTAGCTCATGTTGCAGTCGCTTCTTGTCGGCTGTCATCTTCATGCACAGCTCGAGGAGGGAATGTGCTTCCTCTGAGTCCGGCTCGGGATGCAAGGCCCGCAAAGCCGAGGCGAGCGCCGAGTCGGACACCAAGTCGGTTGTGTCGGCAGGCACCGACGATTCAGGAATATCGTTCGAGTTGACAACCGGTTCGGACTGGTTCCTTCCAGTGTCCTCTGCTGGCTGGTCCAAGCGAGCCAACTTGTGCTCCAACTCCTGGATGACCTCCTCATACTCTTGAATGGTTGCATCTGAAGCTTCTTGATCTCGCAACAATTGTTCGAGTTCATCTTGAACCTGTCGCAGCTCCTCACGCACATCGCTGAGTTCTTGGCGTGTGCCGGTCAGTTCCTCTTCGAGCAATGCGATCCGCGCATCTGCCTCTTTGGTTGTCTGAAGCGGTGGCTCAGCGACAGCGACAGTTGCAGCGGCATTCGAGGCCTGGCTCAACTGCTCTTCAAAAACGTCCCGCTCGTGCCGCGCCGTTTTCAAGTCAGCTTCGAGGTCAGCAACCCGTGTTGCGGCCGCCCTGTTAGCATCTGCTATCGCCTGAGCTGATGCAGCCTCTTGATCTTGAAGGCGACTGATGGTGGCAGTCAGCTCATTCTGCACAGTTGCATGCTCATCCTGTAGCGAGGAGTTTTGCTGTCGCTGCTCTTCAAGCTGCTGCTCGACGGCTTGAAGCTGAGTTTGTGCCTCCAACAAGGCCTTCCGAGTACGCTCCATTTCTTGTGCATGCTTAGTGGTACTTTCTTGACTCGTCGCACGCTCTGCAGTCAGCTCTTCCAGTTCTTGCAGCAGTTCATCCCGTTCCTGCTCCACGGCCTCAAGCTCGGCCGACAACGCATCCAGGCGCTGCCGCGACTCGCCAGCAACGTCCGTTTCGTGCTGTGCATGTTGCTTCAGTGCTTGTATTGCTTCATCCCGCTCCCGCTTGAGGGTTGTCAGCTCGGCTCGCAAAGCATGAAGGTTCTTTTCGGCGGCTTTTGCAGTCACTTGCGCCGCCGCAAGCTGCTCGTTACTCTGAGACAACTCCAACGCCAGTTCCTCGCGCTCTTCATTCGAGGCATCCAGCTCGTCCTCGACACCTGCTAATCGGGCCTGCAACGTGTTCAATTTGGTTGCAAGCTGAGCTCTTTCAGCCTCCATTGATGCCAAATTAGCCTGGGCTTCGGCGTCGACGTGTGCTTGTGCCTCAACCTGAGCGGCGGTGCGCTGTGTTTCCTCTTCATCATGAGCTCGGAGCTTGGCTCGTGCCGTCTTCAATTCAGCGGCAAAGCCCTGTGCTTTACTTTTCAGCTTTTCGTAGTTGCTGCGCAAAGCCTCATGTTGCTCCTGGAGCTCGTTGAAGCGAGCTCGTGTAGCGTCGAGCAGTTCTTCATCCTTGGCCTCGACCAGAGCTTGCTGCTGCTGTTCAGACTCATACGCTTCGATCTTGGATTGGCATGCATGGATTTCAGTTTCCTGTTGCTTGACCTTCAAGCCCACGTGCTGTAGCTCTTCCTCTAATGCAGCCACATGTGTTTGGGCTTCTTCTGCTCGAGCCTCACTAGCTTGCCTTGATAGTTCCTCCTTGAGTAGTAGCGCTTGCGCAGTCTCAGCGGCTTGCTGAGCTGCTTCCACTTGAGACTGAGCCTGCTGTTCCCGATCAGATAGGTGGTCAAGTTCCTCTGTGAGCGTGGCCACTTGAGCTTCAAGTTGCTTGGCATCGAGCTGACTGGCTTCACTTGCAGCCCGTGCCGAGTCAAGTTCCTCTGTGAGCGTGGCCACTTGAGCCTCGAGTTGCTTGGCATCGAGCTGACTGGCTTCACTTGCAGCCCGTGCCGAGTCAAGCTCTGCGCGAAGAGAAGTCAGGTCTAACTCGAGCTCCTCCACTTTCGCACGCTGCTCCTGGTCACGAGCTGCATATTGCTGCGTCATCGTGTCAAGCTTGACTTGAGCAGCACTCGCGCGTTCCGCTGCAGCTTGGTGGGACTCTTGCGCAGCCTCGAGCTGTTGCTGAAGCTCATTCACACTTGACTTATTCTCGACTAGTTCAGGATCAGCTGACTGCTGCATTGCGCGCAAAGTGATTAACTCCTCTTCCAACGCTTGTCGCGCCCGCATGGCCTTGGCATCATCATCTTGTCGCCGAGCCTCCTGAGCGTCCAGCTCGCGAAGGCGTACGCGTGCTGCCTTGAGCTCGGAAGCAAAGCTTTGTGCTTTACTCTTTAGCTTGGCATAGTTGACTTGAAGTTGCTCGTGCTCTGCACTCAGCTCCGTGTTTCTGGCAGTTAAGTCTTCAGAGTTGGTTGCCGGGGCTTTGACTTCTGCCAATTGTTGGCGCAGTGCGGTCAAGTCAAATGAAGCTTGCTCAACCTGCTCCTGAAGGTCTTTGCACCTGGAGCGCTCATCTTCCAAATCGGCTTGTGTGCGGTCTACTTCGGCCTGGTACGCTTGGCTTTCACGTGCTCGCATTTCGAGCAAAGCCATATAATGCCCGAGATGACCGTTTCGAGCCGCAACCTCATCTTGTAGACGCTGGCAGTTCTCGAGAAGGTGTGCCTTTTCAGCGCGCAGTACCTCAAGTAACGGATCCGCGTCAGCTTGCTCTGTTGCCGATGCCGATGACGAGGTGCGGTGAGCCGTCACCTCGTCATGCAATCGCAAGCAGGCTTCTCGAACAGAGCGATGAGAACAGCGCAAAGAGGCCATCTGGGCGTGTGCAGTTGTTTGGGCGTGGGCCAAATCGGCAAGGGCCGAGGCTGCAATCTTAACACTTGTCTTGCTGACCGGATTGGCCAAAGCGGTGCTTCTGGTCGCGTGTAAGCCAGTCAGATAAGCAACGAATTCGTCTTGATCGATCTGACCGTCTTGATCGGGGTCCATCTTCTGGAAAAGCTCTTGCCATCCACTTTGATCCACCCCAAATGCGGCACGCAGCTCCTGGTGCTCCTTCAACATCTTTTTGACCTAGGCCAAGTCCAGAATCGAAACAGGGTGAGTAGAAAGCAGACGTAATTTGACACGCAAAGGCAAGAGCCAAGCTAGCGCAAACTTGTAAAACCTTGAAATTTCGACTCTGCGATCAATCTCACCTCATTGTGACTGAGTTGCCCATCAGCATTGACATCAGCAGCGTTGAACAGCGACCGCGCTTGCTCCACCAACTAAATCGCATTTGCGGTCTCAGGTGAGCACACGGATGATAATTGTTACACGTTGCACGACAATTGGGCTTACCGAGGAAATATCAAGAGACGCATCGTTCTCATAAGCTTGCGAGGTTGTCACAGCCGAGTCAAGGTTTTGAGAATCAAGTCGTACAAGTAGCTGATCTCGCTCATTTTCAAGGGCTGCGACACGTGCCTCCCAGGCACTGACTGCACGATCATGGTCCCGGGCATTGGTCCTCGCAGCCTTGAGCTCCGTTGCAAACGCTTGTGCCTTATGTTTAAGCTTGTCAAACTTGGCTTGCAAAACGCTGAGTTCAGAATTTGTTGACTTGGGCGATTCTCCAGACTGCGTCGACGTCTCAAGAACGCGAAACTGCTCAGCTTCCTTCTGTAATTGCGCGATTTGGGCCCGCGCCTCTTCCAGCTCGGGCTGAGACGAAGCGCCTGATCCTCCTTGGCTTCGTTCTGCAGCTGCTTGATCTGCTCCTGAGCCTCCTTGGCCTCGCTCTGCAGCTGCTCGATCTGGGCCCGCGCCTCTTCCAGCTCGGCCTGAAAAGAAGCGCCTTCCTCCTTGGCCTCGTTCTGCAGCTGTTCGAGCCTCTCGTTCTCCTGCGCCTGCCCTTCGCCTCGTTCTGCAGCTGCTCGATCTGCTCCTGAGCCTCCTTGGCCTCGCTCTGCAGCTGCTCGATCTGGGCCCGCGCCTCTTCCAGCTCGGCCTGAGACGAAGCGCCTTCCTCCTTCGCCTCGTTCTGCAGCTGTTTGATCTGCTCCTGAGCCTCCTTGGCCTCGCTCTGCAGCTGCTCGATCTGCTCCTGAGCCTCCTTGGCCTCGCTCTGCAGCTGCTCGATCTGGGCCCGCGCCTCTTCCAGCTCGGCCTGAAAAGAAGCTCCTTCCTCCTTCGCCTCGTTCTGCAGCTGTTCGATCTGGGCCCGCGCCCCCTTCGCCTCGTTCTGCAGCTGCTCGATCTGCTCCTGAGCCCCCTTCGCCTCGTTCTGCAGCTGCTCGATCTGCTCCTGAGCCTCCTTGGCCTCGCTCTGCAGCTGCTCGATCTGGGCCCGCGCCTCTTCCAGCTCGGCCTGAGACGAAGCGCCTTCCTCCTTCGCCTCGTTCTGCAGCTGTTTGATCTGCTCCTGAGCCCCCTTCGCCTCGTTCTGCAGCTGCTCGATCTGCTCCTGAGCCTCCTTGGCCTCGCTCTGCAGCTGCTCGATCTGGGCCCGCGCCTCTTCCAGCTCGGCCTGAGACGAAGCGCCTTCCTCCTTCGCCTCGTTCTGCAGCTGTTTGATCTGCTCCTGAGCCTCCTTGGCCTCGCTCTGCAGCTGCTCGATCTGCTCCTGAGCCTCCTTGGCCTCGCTCTGCAGCTGCTCGATCTGGGCCCGCGCCTCTTCCAGCTCGGCCTGAAAAGAAGCTCCTTCCTCCTTCGCCTCGTTCTGCAGCTGTTCGATCTGGGCCCGCGCCCCCTTCGCCTCGTTCTGCAGCTGCTCGATCTGCTCCTGAGCCCCCTTCGCCTCGTTCTGCAGCTGCTCGATCTGCTCCTGAGCCTCCTTGGCCTCGCTCTGCAGCTGCTCGATCTGGGCCCGCGCCTCTTCCAGCTCGGCCTGAGACGAAGCGCCTTCCTCCTTCGCCTCGTTCTGCAGCTGTTTGATCTGCTCCTGAGCCCCCTTCGCCTCGTTCTGCAGCTGCTCGATCTGCTCCTGAGCCTCCTTGGCCTCGCTCTGCAGCTGCTCGATCTGGGCCCGCGCCTCTTCCAGCTCGGCCTGAGACGAAGCGCCTTCCTCCTTGGCTTCGTTCTGCAGCTGTTCGATCTGCTCCTTCGCCTCCTTCGCCTCGTTCTGCAGCTGCTCGATCTGCTCCTGAGCCTCCTTGGCCTCGCTCTGCAGCTGCTCGATCTGGGCCCGCACCTCTTCCAGCTCGGCCTGAGAAGAAGCGCCTTCCTCCTTTGCAGCTGTTCGATCTGGGCCCGCGCCGCTTCCAGCTCGGCCTGAGAAGAAGCGCCTTCCTCCTTCGCCTCGCTCTGCAGCTGCTCGATCTGCTCCTGAGCCCCCTTGGCCTCGCTCTGCAGCTGCTCGATCTGCTCCTGAGCCTCCTTGGCCTCGCTCTGCAGCTGCTCGATCTGGGCCCGCGCCTCTTCCAGCTCGGCCTGAGACGAAGCCCCTTCCTCCTTCGCCTCGTTCTGCAGCTGCTCGATCTGCTCCTGAGCCTCCTTGGCCTCGTTCTGCAGCTGTTTGATCTGCTCCTGAGCCTCCTTGGCCTCGCTCTGCAGCTGCTCGATCTGCTCCTGAGCCTCCTTGGCCTCGCTCTGCAGCTGTTCGATCTGGGCCCGCGCCTCTTCCAGCTCGGCCTGAGAAGAAGCGCCTTCCTCCTTCGCCTCGTTCTGCAGCTGTTCAATCTGCTCCTGGGCGTTGCTTAGATCGGCGCGTAGCTCGGCACTCTGGCCTTCAGCCTCTTTCTGTGCTTCGCGAGCGACTGCCAGTTCTTCTTCCTTGATTGCCAATGCATGAGCAACTTCGCCATCTATGCAGCACACCAAACAAAACACAAGTGACTGACACAGCGTCTCTACCTAAGGGGCCTCGGGTGTGTGGGGCGTACCGTCCTGTTGAACCTCTTCAAGCTGCGACCGCAAGCTGATGATCGTAATGTCCATTTCTTTGAGGCGGGTGCAGAGATCATCCTCTCGCGCGCTAGCGGTCGACAAAACTGTGGGTTAATATTTCAAATGCCATGATGCTCGAGCTTATTCGATGCTGTACATACTTGCTGGCTTCCAGTTGAGCTTTCAAACTGTCATGGGTGGCTTCTTGTGTCTGTGCATCGCGCAGACTCTGATTCTCATCTCGAAACTCGTGCAGCTCAGCCATAAGTTCTTCAACACGCGCTTCCAAGGCTTTCGCATTGCTCTCAGTCACTGCGCGTTCTTCGGCTGATTCTGCATGCAGGGAATGCAAACTTGATTGGAGCTCGCGAATCGTAAGGTCACGGCCCTCCAATTCCGCTTCGAGTTGTTTAACCTGAGCTCGTAATTGGTCAAGTTCCTGGCTCAGATCATCGTTTTTGGCGTTTTTGCCCCCCTTGCCCTTCTTCAACTCTTGGTTCTCATCCTTGTACTTGCGAACGAGCTGCTTCAGTTTGCCATTGGTTGTTTGACCCTCTTGCAACGCCATCTCCTTTTGTCCAAGGTCATCTTGTAGTTCAGCCAGCTGCTGCATACATGTTTCAAGCTGCCGTTCGCGCTCCTGTAGGACTTCGCTCTGATCCTGGGCCGGCTGGCGTGCGGCGACAAAGGCGAGTTCATGTCAGCAAACAAATGTTCGAGACTGCTGAAATAGCAAACTAGACAGTTTGCTTGAGCAGTTTGTTGTACCTGCGTTTGTAAGCCGAGGGCCTCTACTTGGGATCGCAAAACTTGCATCATCTCGTCCTTGTCAGCTAGTTGATTTTCGTAGGTTTGTGTCAAGGAGCGGATTGTCTCTTGATCGATGCGGCGAGCTGCGCGCCGGGACATGGCAGCATACGATGAGAAAAAAAAAAAAACGGGTTCAACAACAGGCCATCCAAGCTGGCGCGAGCTGCTCAGCAGTTCCGACCTTCTTTGAGCTCTTCCAATTCGCGCTTGATGGTCTGCGTGCAAGGACACGTGGCGCATTTAAGCAAATTTGTCACGGTTGGCAGCTAGATGGTTGTGGAACAGAACAATTTATTTTTACCTTGATGCTGTCATTTTGGCCGGTATCAGTCTGCTGAACCTTTTTTTTGAGGCTGGCAAACATGCCACTCTTAGCCTGAGTGCAAGTGACACGTGCGTCAGCGCCAATTTTGTAAGCAGGTCATTTTCACAGGTGAGTGGTGCGCGCTGGATCGCGTCAAAGTGGATGGCCAAGAATGGTCCGGCCCAGGAGCAAAGCGAAGAAAGCAAAAGCGTGGGGTGGCACAAACGTACGGTCTGTTGTTTTTTTTTGGTATGAGTGCGACGTAGTTTTTCAAAGGCCGTTTTAAACTCGCGGTAATCAATGTTACCATTGCCATCGTCATCGAGCTCCTTGAGAACGAGTTTGAGCTGTGGTGCGGGCAGAGGGTGGCCCAGGCGCTCCAAAGCTGCAGCAAAGGATTTGCCATTGATGGTTCCATTGCCGTCATCCAGTTCGCGAAAAAGATCAAGCACGCGCAGCTGGTCATTTTTCATAACCTACAGGGGCCAAGTGAGCAGCGATTGATGGGACGCACATCGGGCTGGGGGTCGAGCAACGATCAAGGCAGCTGGCGAGAGAGTATGCACAAACCCCATTCATGGACTCGATCCACTCGCTCACGACCTCATCGCTCCCTGGAGCGTCGGCCATGATGCCAGTTCAAGACAATTTGCGAGCAAGAGCTTCACGCTTGTCCGAACACGTGAATTGACCATGTGCACACGGCCACAAAATCGGCCAAGTCAGCAGTGATTAAAGATTGATTCTGGTACGTTAATCCAGCAAATCAGTTCAGCCAATCCAGCCAGCTCCCAGCCATGAAAGAGAGGCTCTACATTCAATCAAAGCACCTCCGGCCACTGGCCCAGAGAGACAGGGAGAGACAGGCAGGGAGTGGGAGACAGGGCGGGAGAGGGAGAGAGGGTCAAAACCCCCGTGCGTCAATGTGTGTGTGTGAACGAAAACGAGAGAGCGCCAGAGTCGAAAAAGAGAGAGAGAGAGAGAGAAGTGCGATATGGCGCGGTATTTTCTGACATTATCCATACTATGACATTTATCACACTATGCATCAAAGTAAGTGTGATATGTAACACAGTTACCTTTGTAAGGGGTGGGGGGGGGGGTATTTGAACGTTGATTTTGAATTTCGTGTTATTTTGTTGATGTTGGTGGCTTTTTGCGGCAAAGGCGCTGAGTGAGCTCTCTCTGCACTGGGGCGGTTGCTTCTGGGTGGCGGCCGGGCGGTGGTGCTGGCGGGCACGGTGACTCTTTGGGGAACAAGTGGTTGAAGGTGTTGTTGATGTTGTAGCGAGGTAGAACCTTGGTGACGTTCAAGTCAATTTGCAGTGTGCTTGTTATCCGCGAGCATTGGCTTGGCGATCAAGACGAGGTTCAGCCTGTCGTGGTGGTGGCAGGGCCGTTCGCCCCACTATTGGGCGGTACCCAATGTGGGTGAGAGGGAGAGCTGCTTAGTTCAAGGGGTTCCTTTTTTCTTCTGTGGCGTGGTGCGGCGCGAGCCTGGCTAGGCTTCAGCAATCATGGTATGCACCCATCTCGTTGTATACGCGAGGTCACCTGCGGTGACTGCAAACGAGCACAGCGCCTGCAGGGGCTGCTCGGTTGACAAGGCGTCTCTGCATCTTGCTTCTGTTTGCAGGCTGCAGCGGCTGAGAATGTGACCACGCCCCTGCACAAGGCCGCCCTCAAGGGCTTGGTGCCGGCAGCCAAAATCATGTGTGAGCGTGGCGCGGCGATAGACGCCGAAGATGAGGTAGGCTTGATTGGGTTGCATTCGTGTCGCCCCACGACCTGCTCCACACCAATCACATCATGATCATCGCGCACGCGGGCGGGCGTGTGTGCGGGCGTGCTTGTCTGTGAGTCTCGGGTCCGCACTCAGCAGCTGGTTTGTTTATCTGCTTGGGCAGGCGGGTTACACTGCTTTGCATATTGCCGCCTTTCAAGGATACGAGGCCTTTGTGCGATTGCTATTGGATTTCGGGGCTGACGTCGACTATCAAGACGAGGTATCAATGGCCTAGCTGCTACCTGGCCACCTGCACTTGCCCTTCTCTAGGCAAAGGTGTGGCATCTAGCTCATGCACATTGCATTTATTTCGTAGTTGGGCGAGGGGTATACGCCCTTGCAGCTTGCGGCACAAGAGGGGCACACCGCATGCTTGAAGCTGTTGTTGGAGCGCGGTGCCGACGTTAACATTCAAAATGAGGTTTGTTTGATTTGCATTCGGCTTCTTTTGGTTCTGTCCTACACGTGGCTTGCTTTCTATGGTAGCCCTGCCTGATGGCACCTCAATCTTGTTGCTCTTTTTACCCTGGAAAGACCGGGGACTCAGCCCTCCATCTAGCTGTGCGCAATGAGCACCCCGAGATCGCTTCCTTGCTTCTTCAGCACGGGGCCAATCCTTCTCTGGCCGACGACGTGAGAATTTGATTTTGGTCGCGCCTGGCAAATAGAAAGCAGGCAATAGAAAGGATAGGCGGACTTTGCCTCGTATGATTGCCTCTTGACACTTGTTATTTTCCCACGTGCGTTGACCGGCAATGCAGGAAGGCAACACACCTGTGATGGAAGCTCGGGGTACACCCCTGCAAGGACTGCTAAGTGATACGCAAGATGCATCGGCACGTCGCCAAATACCAGCATCACCATCAGCCGTCACACCGACCAAGGATGATGATGTGGAGACGCTCAAGGCAAAGCTGCATCGTAGTCGGCAAATCTCTGAAATTGCTCAACGTGAGGTGCTGGCTTTGCGTAAACGCGCTCAAGCGGCCGAGTCTGCGCTAATGAAGAGTCAAGCTCAAGTAGACCAGCTTCGTCGCCAACTTAAACTGGTGATGCGTGAGAGTTCTAGCAGCGGAGCGCCCTCCCCGAACAAAACTTCTTGAAGCGAACTGCGCTGCCGCTGCGACGATGCCCCGAAAACTTAAAAAAACAGCAACTAATGAAAATACAAAAATTCAACACAGCCGATTGTGCGCTCTTGCATGAATTGGGCTGGGATGTTCATTGTACTGTGCTAATCGAAGCTATTAATGTCTCCTTCCTCTTTTGCCCTGTCGTGGGTGGTGTCAAATGGTCAGTGTTTTTGCAGCGAGAACCTGGGATTCTATTCGTGTCGATTGGAGTTGGGACACCGCGCAGCAGTGCCCGAGTCATCCTCATGGCTCCAGCATAAACTAACAGGGGGAAAGATCAACGACTGGCTATCAAATCTACAGAATGGTACACGAGCCCTCTGGAAAGGCACTGAGCCCACCCAACATGAGCAGCGCACGATCTCGTTCATACTGCAAATACTTGAGAAGGGAAAAAGGCTGGGTAGCCGCCACCAGAGGCAGGTCAGCTGTGGCGGGCGAGCCAACAGGGCATGACGCAGCCATGGGTGCTGCGACCATCAACGGCCCGGGTCCAGCTGCTGAGTCTTCTAAACACTTGTGACTGCGAAGTTGTGCGCACTCGGCTTGCGCCTGGCTGGCGCGTTGGGCCTGGGCATCACGATCCTCTTGAGTAGCGCGCAGAGCTTGCTCAAGCTCGAGTACTCGCGACTGCAGAGTAGCGCTCTCACGTTTGAGAGCCTGGCATTCACAGTTCATGTCGTCCAGTTGCTGGCGCAATTTTGTCTGAGGGATACGCAATAAGCCCGGCAAGACCCGTGAATCACAAGGACAAGCGCACGGCGATAGAGCTCTTAAGTTGTGACAAGTCAACGTACCACTAGACTGGGCATGGTTTCCGGCTCTTCGCTGATATCCGACGCCTCCTCGCTAAAACAGACGGGGCTACAGAATCGATACACTCATCAGGTATCGTCCACGGCCACAGCTGTGTTCATCATCCATTGAACAGGGTCACACACCTGCTGCACTCTTTGGCAAGGCGAGCAGCACGCTCACGAGCAAGGTCTGACGATCGGCGCCAATGTGAAATGAGATCGCGCCAAGCCCGAGCACGCCCAAGTCCCATCAGTGGCAACGTACCAGACTCCAGCTCGCGAATGCGCGCCAACAAACCCTGCAATCACCCCATGGCAATGGCACTGGGTGTGAGTCAGGGACAAGATGTGGGGCACAGTCTGCAGGTCTGCTCAAGTGGGGCAGCTGAGGTTAGTCACGTCGACTCACGGCAGTTGACTCGGAGAGTGCAGGGGATGGGGGAGGCTCAAGAGCATCATCCAGTGGAGGCGAGCGGCTGGCGGAGCGCGTGGAGTGGAGAACACGGCGCGGCTGGCATGCGCAAGCAAGGTGGTGGGTGTGAGGGGCTCGTTGTACGAACAACTCGTACAAGACTTTGAATGACGCAGCGCGGATAACCACTGCTGCGATGCCATGCCATGATGCTTACAATGGGTTGGGTCACGTGAACTCGACGCAAGGCGTCAAAGATGCGCTTGAACTCGGCATATTCAATCTCGCCGTTGCTGTTGTAGTCCAAGGTCTCGATAATGACGCGCAGGTGCTCGGGTTGCACTTGATGACCGAGGCGCATGAGGGCACTGTCAAAGTCTTTGCAGCGGATCTTGTCGTGGCCATTATCAAGTTCGCGAAAGAGGTCCAGCAGGCGGAGGTTGTGGTCCATTTGATACTGATCAGTGACACGGTGGTCATTTGGGTGAGCGGCTGGGCTTCAACGCACAAAAGACTGGGAGGTCAGTCACGATGCCGTCACAAACTCACCTCATACATGTGACGGACCCAATCGCCCAGGATTTGCTCACGGTCGACGACCGTGGCCGTGGAGGCTGAGACCATGGTGCGTGATCGGGATCTCGATGCGGATGAGAGGCGGCCTTTGGGAAGCCAGGAGGCAGCCAAGGCAGCAGCGGCAGCAGGCGTTGAAGCGGAGGAGTAGCACATGCAGCTGGCAAAGCAAACTGGAAGGAGAGCTCGTGTGGTAAAATGTCGTTGAAAGGTGCGCGCTTTGCCCGGGTCGTTGTTCAGCAGTCATTCCGGCAGTGGCGTTGATCCGATGCAACTCAAGGTGCTATGCTCGTGTGGGATCGTGAAGGGCATCATGCAAGGTCACCCAAAGCACCAGTGGTTTGGTGCTTTGGAATCACAAGCGAGTTGGATATCCCGTCCCCATCATCACATCACACACGAGGCAATGTGTGTGTGTGTGTGGGGGGGCGATGCAAGCGCCAGCCCTCTGCTGACAAGTTGCCAGGCACGAACGCGGGGGTTGCTGTTTGAGGGTGTGAGGGAAGGCCAGTCAAGCTGCCATTCATGGGTTTGTGGCAACACTGCACAACTGAGGAGATCAAACGCGTACGGGCAGGTCGTGGCTGCCATCACAGCACCGGCTTTGAGCTGCCATTTGGACCAGATCCAGCCGAGCGGTCGCCCCATCGTCCTCTCTGCTCGTGTCACCTTAGCTACGTATGTGGGTTTTAGCAGGCGTAACCCGTCAGCCGCTTGCGTCGGTGTCACCCCCTTTCGCGCCCTTGATGTAAGATGATGTTGTGATGCAAATTTGTCAGATATTATTCAAAGTGAACAAAAGTGTGATAATGATGGTACGACGTCTTTTGGCGGGTTACCAAATTTGGACTCGAAATGGATTAAATTTTTTTTTTCGGTGTTGTTGTCAAGTTTCGCGCACACTGACTCGCACCGACGCGAGGGGCCTGATTTTGTGATTCAAAGGGGTTGTTTGCGGCGGTTGGTGCCGGCTCATTGTACGGCTGAGGTGGCTTTTGTTTTTCCTTTTTGCATCCGTCGAGCATGGAGGCGCTGCTCAAGCAAGCGCGGGCATCCGGTCAGTTGAATCTGGCCAATCGACAGCTGGAGGCCGTGCCGGATCAGGTGTGGCGCATCAACCTTGACGCTCCAGCGCAGGCGGGTGCCGTGTCCTTTGACAGTGAGGATCGATGGTGGGAGCAAGTCGGCTTGGCTCGCCTTATTCTGAGCTGTAATCAACTCACTACGCTCCCGGAGCAGCTCGAGCTCCTTCCCGACCTCACGCTGCTTGACGCGCATGACAACAAAATCACTGTCATCTCCGAGCGGCTCGGCCAGCTCGCACAGCTCAAGGCTTTGAACTTGGGCCAGAATTGCCTTGAGAACCTGCCGCAATCCCTCTATCATTTGCCGGCGCTCCAAAGTTTGAAGCTGGACAACAATGCCCTCCGTAGCCTCGCCCCCGCACTCAGACAGCTGAGCGAGCTGCGTGAACTGGTGCGAATGCCATTCCTCTTGCCCAACATACTTGCTGTCGCATGCCATGTGCCACCACATCCTGCTCTTCCCTCGGCCTGGTTGGCCTCCATGTCTTGCTTTGCTCAAACCTAGCTGATGGGGTGCTTGTAGGACGCGAGTCACAACCGCCTGGTTGAGCTCCCCGAGAGCCTGTGCGACTTGCCGCATCTAGCTCGACTTCGCCTGGGCCACAATCAGCTGGAGAGCCTACCGGCCCCTTTCGGTCAGCTTGAGGCTCTTCAAGAGCTGGATATCGTGCATAATCGCTTGACTAGCTTGCCTACCAAACTGGGTAGCTTGAGCCACATTACCCGTCTCGATGTGCGCTACAACGCCCTGCAACGCCTGCCGAGCCTGGCCAGTATGACCCAACTCAAGGAACTGCTAGTTGGATACAATCAAATTCACACACTCGGTGATTTGGGTGCCCTTCTACCCGCTGGTCTCGTCCTTTTGGATGTTCGGGACAACAAGATTGCCGATATCCCGGCCACGATTGCTGCTCTTCGGCAGCTCGAGCGCCTCGAGTTGTCCAATAATGACATTAGCTCGCTGCCCCCAGAGCTAGGTCTTGTGCGTTCCATCAAGGCCATCTCTTTGGATGGTAACCCGCTACGCTCGCTGCGGCGTGATATTGTACGCCGAGGCACTCTTGCCATCCTTGAACACCTCCGGTTCGTACTCAATGCCAACGAGAGACAGCACACACACACACGCATGTTGGGAAAGCTTTTTTTTTTTTTTTTTTTTTTTTTTTTTTTTTTTTTTTTTTTTGCCTCGTTGAATCTTCACTCTTATCTCATCATGTGCCACGCTGGGAACTTTGATTTGGCGTTCCTTGATGCAGGTCGCGCTTACCAGAAACTGCCGAGGTGGAGCCCGAAGCACAGCAATATGCGGAACAGGTTGCACAGCGCGAGCGTCAGACTGACTTGGCACAAACCGGAGCCCTTAATCTCTCCAATCAGGGACTCGATCACGTACCCAGTGACATCTTTCAGGAAGCCGTTGAACAAGGCACGTGCTTGCTGCATTCTTGGACGAGCCTCAGCTTCCTTTGCGGTTCTATTTATCGAGTCTGTGCGAGAGACTAGGAGGACAAGCTAGACACGATGCTGGGTCAACAGCTCTCCCCTGACAGGACCATGGTGTGGTATTTTAGGTGTGGCTCGATTGAGTCTGCAGAAGAACAAGCTGCTTCATCTTCCAGCGCAAGTCGACCAGCTCAGCAGCACATTGACGCACCTTGATCTTGGGTTCAATCGTCTCAGCACGCTCTCCAGCGCCATCGGGCTTTTGCCTCGACTTGTGTCGCTCGAGCTTGAAGGCAATGCCCTCACCTCGTTGCCAGAAGAGTTGGCCCTCTTGAGTGAGCTTCAAGATCTGGGTTTGGGTCACAATCGCTTTACAGCTCTGCCCGATGTGGTGCGCCACCTGCGTGCTCTTCAGAACCTCATGCTCAACGACAATCAAGTGTCCACCGTCGATCCAGACGTCTTGTTGGCCTGTCCCATGTTGCGTTGTGTTGATCTGCACAACAATGCCATCCAGCAAGTCCCTCCTCGCTTGGGGCTGCTCAACCTTCACACGCTCAAACTCGAAGGTACGCCACTCAGTGTTGCGCAGCAGCAGGCACGTGTTTCTTTGTCCTCCCCCTACAACTCTTTCGTCGCTTGACTTGTGCGGTTGTCGGACTGCACCACCGCAGGCAATCTGTTTCGCATGCCCCGTCAGACCATTCTTGACAAGGGCACTGGCGCCGTCCTCGAGTATCTCAAGAGTCGCATCACTGCATAAAGCCAGGCACACCAATGTTTGAGTGTCTTTGAGAAAGAAATCGACCGACAACAGTACGAACCACACTTGCAACTATTCATGTCAATTCAATCATGAGCTGGACGCCAGGTTCAGCAGAGTCCTCGGATCCCCTCGCCAGCAGTCACGAGTCAAAGCAAACATCACAGGCACGCAACTAATGCTTGGGTCACTCCCACTTATTATTCATCAACACCGTCATCCTGAGGACGGCGATTGCCGGACAGCATGCGAATCCGACGCTGTCGAATCTCTCGCAGTTCGTCGGCTGGGGGTGTCATGGGGGTGCTTGGCTCACTGTCGGCGTCAGGCAGAGAGGGCGCACTTTGCGCGCTGAGCACCGATGAGGCTTGCAATGAGGCGCTGGACGCTGGCGCTGGTGCAGAGGCTGGCTCGGTCTCCTCGGTAGCCACAGCAGCTGTATCGTCTGCTGCATCGTCGTTCACACGGGCATTCATGTCTGGAGACATGGCTTCAGGTCGGGTCATACTCGAGGCAGGCACGTATTGCGGCGTCCTAAGTGTTGGAATTCAAGGGGCAAGGCCGTTGGCATCAACAAACAGGACGATTGACCCTGGCAGAAAGCGCGTGAGCGAGAAGAGTACCCTGATACTCACGGTGGAAAAACACCCTCTATCTGTGAGAAGCGAGCCACGAGCCTATCCACGTCCCGGCGCAGGCGACGCAAATACTTGATGCGGAGCTCCACCTACTCATAGGACCGCAGACCATGCCCACAGCATCAAAATAAGGTTGTCCGACACCAACCCACAGCAACAGCATCACGGGAGCACAAAGAGGAAAAGGAAAATGGAGAACAAGGCGAATGTACGCATCGGCCTCTGCAGAGGCATGCTCAAGAAAACATTAAAAGGAAAAAAAAGCAAAAAAAAAAAAAAAAAAGCCTTTGACAGCGAGCCACCCCTCTTTTCCTGAGCAAAAGAGTAACTGGATGGGCAAGATGTACCCAAATCAAGCACGGTAAATACCACACCTGTTCTCGCTCAGCACCTTCAAGTGCCCGCAGATCATCCTCGGAAAGAGTGGCAAGATGATCTTCCTCCTCTTCTGCTTCTGAGGTCGACGGATGTTGAAAGTGAAATGGCACAAAACCCGGCGGCACTGCGGGACCAGCGCGCAAATTGTCAAGTGAGTCTTATGAGTCAGCAAGCCAACTCGAGCACCAAAATGTGTGACTAAACATCGTTGGGAACCTACGTGGCATTGGTGGTGCCATAAATGGCAACGGCATGCCTAGAACACACATGTTTCGATGAAGATGAATGAGGTCGCATTTAAGACACGCATTGCGTGGCTGAGAACGTCCAATCGGCCCAAACGTACCAAACGGGGGTGGCGGCGGCATGCCATGCAACCAATCTGGCGGAGCATGCCCCGATGCCGGCCCCTCGGCAGCATCTTGCCCTGGGGCAGATGAGGGGGTCATGGGTGGGGGGAAAACAAAGGGAGGTGGGTGGGGAAAGGCCGGGCCAGGGGCGCCCGGCTGGGGCATGGGCGGGGCACCCGTTGCAGGCGCCTGGGCTGGGGCGTGCGGTGGGCCCGGGGGATATTCACGATTGGCATTGTTATTATTGACAGGCGCGGCTGGGGGATTGCGACGGGCAGCAGCAGCTTGTTGCTGCTGTTGTGCTGTTCCAGGCAACAAAGAGCAGCCATAAGCTTCGGGGTTGTGTTGCATGTGCTGCAACCGGTGAGTTGCATGCGAAGCAAGTGCCGTACCAGCGTCTAAAGCCAAGATGTCGGCCCGACAAGTCGGGCAGGACTGGTTTTGTTGCAACCAAGAGCGCAGGCAATTGAGATGAAAGATGTGGCCACAAGGTAGCCTGCCGAGCACAACGTACGTACGGTCACAGTGAGAGGGCACAAGCAACGATCGTTGCGAGCGCCGGGCCCACGGCAAAATCGTGGGAGTGCAGGTGCAAACAGGATGGCCGACGGGTGCTGGATCAACTATGACACATACTTTTTACCAACGTCCATATCTTCGCGGCAGATTGTGCAAAGGTTATCACTCGCCAATTCTTCCGGCGTCGCATTGGGGTAGCTATGGCCACCGAAATGGTTCACATATTCAGTCCAATGAGCACCCAACCATCGAGAAAAAAGAAAGAATGAATGAAAGAAAGAATGAAAGAAAGAAAGAAAAGGGCGCACCGAGCTTCGAGGTTGGCGGTAGCCCGTCGCGCTCGAATGAGATCGTGGCAACGCTTCAAGAAAGATCTAGGTCCACAAGAGCGTGAGCAGCCGAGGGTTGATTGTGAAGCTCCTGAAGCAGCCAGGCGCATGGCAAAACGAGGTACCAATTTAAAATACAATGGACGCACCGGAAGGTCATGAAAACATCACGGATAATATGCAAGGGCAATGCGTAAAAGTTGACCAGCATGATGAAAAACAAGACATAGGTGATTAGCTTGACCAGATCTGCAGGGGCCAATGGGGAGCGGGGCGAATCAGCGCAGAAACAAACGCGCAGGGTGAGATGACAACTCATTCATTAACAAGCAAAATAGGTCAAAAGGCGCGAGGCTGCACATACCCGTGAGAAGGTCGAGGTAGGCCATGTAGATGGGCCGTGCCTCCCAGGGCTCGTCGTGCTGTAGGTCGATCACAAAGAGGATGTACTTGCAAAAGGTCGTCAAGATTGTGACAAGTTGGATCAGGTACTAGGGGACAAGGCAGGCAAGTGGCATCATTGAGTTGATGCACCACAATTTGGCGGACACTGGCCGATCGCGGTGCTCACTTCAAAGCCAAAGAGCAACTGCATGGAGAGGCCGTAGTTGACGACCGAGTAAAAGGCGTAGTAGACAAAGGCCGCGTCAGCGGCCGTCAAAAAGATCGTGACGCTGATCATGCGAGTGTGGAACATCCAAGTCAAGCGCGGGGTTTGTTGCATCTAACCAGTTTTCAGACCAAAATGCCAGCGTTTCACGGCCAGAGTGAAGAGGTCGTGCTGGCGAAGACGCGCCACACAGCAGGAGCGCGAATGTCGCAAGGTGGTGGGCGACAGGAAGACAAAAAAACCACTCTGAGAAAATCCCAGGGCAAGGTCGACACTGCCAGCAGCGACACGTACAAATTCCACACGATACTGCGTCAGCCAGTGAAACGTCTTGAAGGTGAGGAGGAGGACAAAGAGCGAGACGAAGCGAATGTTGAATTCATCTCGGAAGATGGTCATGGCGAGTAGAATCTCCGTGAAGGTAAACCAGCCGCGCTCATACAGCCGCTATGGCCCGGGAGAGGGGAGCAGAGCAGGGAATGAGCAGCCGTGGGCGAGCAGGCAGGAAAAACTCGGATCATCTTGCACTGCATAAAAGCTGGCTCACCTCCACTTCGATGGGGCGCAGTGCTCCAAAGAACATGTACTGGAAAGCTCGCACAACCGCAAGGACAAGCAGGACCATGAAGGCATAGATGGTCTAAGGGGCCAGCAGGATGCCGGGGCCAGAGAGTGCAAGCGGATCATGGTGAAAACTGAGGCAGCAGCTTGAAGAGAGTTGAAAGTGGCCATGGTCTTCGACATACCAGCATGCTCAAGTTTGAGTTGTACAGCGCCACCATAGCAGGATAGTAGTGCTTGTGCTCCAAAAAGCTAAAATATACAGCACCGGCCGCTGCGCCACCCGCCAGGGCGAGATAGGGTAACACACGGACCATGATTCACGTGCTGAAAGTCTCGGCTCGCCGCCACCCAAGATGCTTCCCGAGGCGCTGAACAACGAGCAGCAATGCCAGGCACCACCAAGGCAAACGGCCCCTGACACAGGTCAATGCACAGTATGCTTCCCGCTTGACGCGCCGTGCAGCAGCCAAGCACTCTGCCTGTACTGCCGCGATGGCCAGCGGCAGCGGGGCCTCCAAATGCAGTGAACCAACACACACACACACACACAGCGTTCAAAACAAACGAGAAACACGATAACGAAAATGAAGAAACCCAGTGACGTGTCGAGAAAGACACAGAGAGAGAGTGAGAAACAGAGAGAGAGAGAAAGAGACAGGGACAACGAGAGAAAGAGACAACGAGAGAAAGAGAGAGAGAGAAAGGAAAAGGAGTTGGGAGGAGAGTTGGGAGAAGGGGGTTTGTTTCCGGTTCGAGGGTTGAGAGAGGTTTGAGACACGCTACATGCGGATATGCATCCAGATACATGGATATGCCTGTGGCCGAAGCTTGGGAAGAGGAAGAGACAGAAGCGGTATCTCGGGTTGCAAAGCTGGAGTGGTTCATCCCGATCATGGAACAAGCCCTCGAGAAAGGGGTTATTTAATTTGTACGGTTTGAAGAGTCAAACAACAGCAAAGCCAGTCTTGGCGACTTGCCAGGCAAGGAGAAGAAGAAGGAGATGTCGAGAAGGAGGAAGAGGAATGCTCAGTGGGTAGTCGTATGGTGGCCAGTTCAGCTAAAGCGCTTGGAAAAATTGCGACCGGAGACGCGCAGCGTCCGATGCCAAAGATGCTAGCTGATCGATCTCGAACTAGTCCAGGCGGAGAAGTAGCTTCAAGAAAGTCGTTTAGATTTATCAAAACAATCGGTAGTGCGAGTCGGCCGTCAGACGGACAGCTCAGAGATGTCGCTCTCCATACGCTCAAGCTGAGAGGCGCTGTTGTTGGCATTGAACCTGGATGGGAGCGAGAAGGATGATCCAAAGGGTCCAAAAAAACCAAATGAGAGGGCAAACCTTGCAAAACACACTCATCAAGAAATCACAGTAAGAGCACACACACGCGAGCCAGCGATACAAAGAGGGTGCGAGCACACACACGTGAGCCAGCGATACAAAGAGGGTACGGAGAGGCCTGCAGAAAAAAAAAAAAGGATTTGGAAGCATGCAGCGAGGCACGGAAATAGTGTAACGCACCCCATGCCGCGGGCTTGTAGATGCACAGCGTAACTTGCTCGCTGCTTAGCCAACATGACGCCAACGTCGCGGGGCACTTGATTGCCTGCATTTCGGATCCAGACGTGCGTATAAGCGCAGCGCATGAAGCTATGACAACTACATTCAATGCCTCAGATGTCCTTTCTCCTTCCGGTTCGATCCCCAAACAAACCTTGTGCCAGCTTTTCGTTTGCTTGTCGGAGCTCGCGAAGGATGGTAGCAAACGTCGGCCGTTGATTTGGTTCGAATTTCCAGCAACTAGTAAATCAGTCAAAGGTGAGTGCTGGTTGTCATTGCTGGGGCCACGACATGAGTGCGCTAGAGTGAAGGAATCTTGGAGTGACCTGACATACAGATTGCAAAGTGTCAGAAGAACAGAAGCACATGTCAAGGGTAACTTTAGCCGTCGATGACCCGTGACTGCCGTCACCACTTCTCGGGCTGACAGCCCCAGCCACGGTAGCTCTCCCTAGGCAAAGCGAACACATTGGCGGCTGTTTGAGCAAGGGTGACCTGAATGCGCGCCTTCATCTGATCCCGCCTTGATCATTTGGGTGTCACTTACTCCCGAGGCCAATTCATACACCAGGACACCAAAGGCATAGACGTCAGAGGCGGAGGAGAACGTATTGGTTTGCAGAGTTTCGGGTGCCATCCAGCGTACGGGCAGCCGGCGCTGCTTGCTTAAGGTACTACGACACACCAAGCACTTAAGTTGCCTGACCATGGTTCATACTCACTCATGGCAGGCTCTCAAGCGCCTGACTTGATAGATCGTGTGTCAGGGCACTCTCTATTCCGGTATGTACGTATTGCAAGCGAGACATACTGGTAGGTCTCGCTGGAGCGCAAGCGTGCGTGGCCCATATCGGCAATCTTGATGGTATTACCCGAGCCAAGCAAGACGTTGCGGCAAGCCAGGTCGCGGTGGACAAAGCCCATTGCAGAAAGATAGTTCATGCCATCAGCAATCTGCATAGTCCAAAAGACGTGTTCTGGAGCACGCACTTCAATGTCGTCAGCACGACAGCGGCGTATGACACAGTGTAAGTCGCCATACTGCATCATCTCTGTCGCATGCAACAGGGGGGCGTGCTGCAGAACCACACCCAAGAGCCTATCGAGCACACACGCAAGCACCAGGCATGACTGTGAGACGAACTAAGAGCCGCTTGGTAGGAGGCAAGATCGCCTGGCTAGAACCCGATCTCAAGACACATTTTTACCGGAGCACGTTGGGGTGATGAAAATGGGACAGCACAAAAGCCTCATGCAAGAACTCGGCGCGCTCCTCCTGTACATCAACCCATCCCGCGTTGTGATGAGATGTTCAAGAGCGCCAATCCAAGGGGTAAAGGGCGGTTCATCTGCGTATGCACGTGTGCAGAACATGGCCTTCATACCTCGGTGGCATCTTTGCGTACGCTCTTAAGGGCCACATCCGTGGGTGGTCGCCCGCGAAGAATGGCCCTAAAAACGTCTCCAAACTGGCCCTCACCAATTTTAAAGCTGATGCAATGCAGAGAGCGGTGCGCATAAGAAGAGGCAAAAAAAGGAGGGCAGGGGGAGAAAGTCAATGATTTGGTGAGACCAAGATCAAGGCAAAAGTCAAAGCAAGATGGACAACAAGGCCAGGCCGTGGACATTGTCGCGATCGCACCGGTGGGTCAGCTCTTGCGGCTTGAGCTCAAACGCCCGCAGATGACGTCGAATTTTTTCAGCAGCGGCGTCATGAAGGTTGGTAGGTATCGACCATGAAGCACGAGTCCCGCGTAGTGAGGGTGTGTTGGACCCCACCGCAATGGTCTCATCATCAACCAGCTCGTAGGGTTCATTTAGGGGGTCACACTCGGCCTGTTCTTTGCCATGCCCAGTGTTCAGGTCCAAGATGCGACAGCTGCCATGTCCCATGTCGTCAGGCTCCTCGAGGTCGTGCATCATGCTGGCTACATTGCTGTGGTCTGCAGTGCTCGGAGAAACATTGTTTGCATGGGGTCTCCATTGACCAGCAGGCAAAGCGTCAACGGGTTGGTAATAGATATGACCGTCCTCCTCGGACAGCTGCAGGTGGCTGTCCAGCACCAGCAGATCATCCAACTACGGGCAGTCGGGCAGCCGCAGCAGCAAGGGCCCGGGCAACCGCACATTGTTGCGTAAGCAAATTCATGCTTGGCAAAAGCAAACGTGACAGGCAAGAGGCATCAAGCCATGCCATGGGAACGCACCTGATGTAAAATCATGGTGATTGACGGCCGTGCAAGGCTGTCCCCTTGAAGACACATGTCGATGAGGTCTTTCAGGGCCGCGGGGTATTCCTATGGGGGGGAAACCCGGGGACCTTTTGTGAAGCCCAAGACGAGCCGTGCGAGTGGGCACTGATGCAACTCATAAATGAATAAAATCAAGCAAAAAGACGTGTGACGGCTTACGTGTTGATTGTCGAACCAAAGTGAGCGCGCTAGGATGGCACGAATATAGTCCGCAGTGGTGGCAGAGCTGGCAGGGGGCAGGCCGGTCAAAACGTAGGTGGCCGTAGCGGCCCAGGAAAAGGCGTGACCTCGCTTCACAACGGCCGAACCGCCGATGCATTTGAAGGGCCAGGCGGCAGATATGATTTCTCGAGGGTCGGCGAACCATTCTGGGGCCAAGTATCGCGGATTGGCCCAAGCATGCAGTGTTTTTAACAAATTCAAGCGATCATCCAAGAGCTCATCGGCCGTCACAAGCTCGTTGATGGTTTTACTCTGCTGCAGCTGCGTGAGTGAGAGGCAATGCTCCAAGCCTGTGAGGATGGGGCCAAAGCGCTCACTCATGGCAATAGTGGCTGGCTGCACCAGGGGAAGGCCGCAGCAGGAGAGTTCGAGATAGTGAAGGCCTGAAGCTATGCCTTGGAGAATGGCCACGCGTTGACCCATGCGCATGCGCTTGGCGACGGGCGTTTTGATAAAGGTCACCAACGGCGTTGTGGCGGGATCGTGCAGCGTAAAAAAGAGAGTGGGCCCTGTTTCCTTGTCGATGATGGGCGTTTGCGCGCCATCCTCGAAGCGAATGCCTCGACGGTCCCATTTGAGAAGCTGCTGCACGTGTCGATGACCTTGTCTCTGAAGGGCGCGAGCCACAGCCAGCATGTGGGTGGCCTCCTTTGTAGGCTGGGTGGCAATCACGCTGACGGCCCGAATATCACCAAACGCCCCGAAAGATCCTTTCCAGGCCTGTCGCGTCTTCGTCTTCCAGATGAAGCCCTCCATCTCAAAGGATGCCAGAGGCAGTTGTCCGAACACTCCCGGTTCCTAGTTCGAGCCGGGGCAGCAGGGGAAACGTTGAGAGATGAAGTGACGGGCCATGGAGCCTACCGCGGCGCGTGCTTGGGCAAGAGACGAACAACCAGAGCGCATGGATATGATGCGGTGGCCCGAAGGAACGTACTGTTCGACGACGGCTACCTTGAGTTGGAACCATGGTGCCACGTCGCGAAGAGAGGCGCTACAAGACAGAGCAACGGAGAGAACCACCGGTATTGAGAAAGCCAGAGGCAAAGGTTGGTCCCCGGGATGCCTTTACATTTGAAGCGGTGCAAGCCAATGGAACGCACCCGCTCATGTTGTCCCGGCGGAGCAGCGGCGGGCAGGCGGCGAGTCAAAGCTCGGCGTGAGCAGCAAAAAAAATAAAAGACGCAGAGAGTGATCACGAGGCCGCCAATGACGGTGAAGAGGATAGTGTAGAAGAGTACGTTGTCAGAAAGGGATGGGTTTGCGTCGGCCGTGCCGTTGACGTCCAGGGTGGTCAGCTCGGGAGTTGATGTCATCGTGGGGAGGGTGGCATCTTGAGCTATCACTTGATGGGGCCCGATCACGACCAGCAATGCCACCCCAGGTCTAGCAATAGCATTGAGGGCGTGGGTAGCTGGAGGGTGCGCAAAAACGAGCATGAGGTGGAGTATGTGTGTTGAGTGCGGGGAGGGTCAGGAGGGGCGGGGTCAGGAGGGGCTTGGCAGCGCACCTCGCACGGTGCGGCAACCAGAACCTGGACAATCGTGCTGGGCCATAGGGAGGGGCACAGGGGTCCCAATTGTCACAAGGAAAAGGTTCTGCTCAAGGGCTTAAAGCCCGAGGCGCCATGGCCAATACCAAGGGGACCTGCACAGCCCTAAGTTGAGGCCCCGAGCCAACCAAGTCGAGTGTCGCGTTGGTGTCAGGGGCGTCCGGTTCGTCAGCAGAGCAGCTATAGCTCCCGAACATACATACCTAATGCAACCTGACCAGAATGTTGGCCCACACCCGTCGTATACACGCGTCAAACACGGCACCAATCAAGCGCCACCCCAGTGAAAAAACAAGTCAATCAGGCAGGGACCGAGCCACGGGGACAGCGGCACAGGGCAGAGAGAGGGAGAGAGAGAGAGAGGAGGGGGCACAAGAACAGGTGCTTCTTCTTAACCACAACAAAAATTTCTGTGTGTGTATGTGTGTGTGTGTGTGTGTGTGTGTGTGCATCGAAAATCAAGTGATTTGATTCGAACGTCAAAAATGAAAAAAAGTGAGTGTGAAAGAGATTTGGTGCGTGTACAGGTGCAGCGCTCGGGAGAAAGGAGAGGTGTTTTGATGAGGGAGGGTGTTTTGATGAGGAGGATGGCTTGCTCGTGTGGCAGGCTAGTCACTTGGCTCCTTAAAAAGACGACACGGCGGTGTTTGCACATGACTAGAATCGATTTGTCTGTTGTAGACTTTTGGGCAAAAAGAACGCTACAGGAATACAAAAATGGGGGTCAACACCTGGGTCAATCGACCAGCCGGCCGTCAGTACAACGGTGGTGAACCAGGGGTGGGGCGCCATGTCCCTTCCAAGGAAAAGCAAATGAGGCAAGGTGATGTAGGAAGGATTGGGCTGTGCGTGTAGGGCACCTTCACGCGGCAAGGGGTGGCACGACTAATTGGTGGCGATCATGCCAGCTGCAATTTCCTGAGGCTGCGGGCCATTCAGAAAAGACGATCAAGGGTATGAGGACAACGGGCAGCCAAGGGAGTACGGGTGTTGGATAAGACGGGTGAGCAAAAGTGCGTACCGCGCCAATCTGCATAAATTCGAGCCAATCTGCTTGCGACGAGGGAATAAGTCCCATGCCCGAACACTTCCATGCCCCCAACGCCACGTACACCAAAGTCACGGCGGTATACGCCAGTTTGTGCACCAAAAAATTGTCCTCGGCCGAGTCCTCAAAACGTTTAAACTCTGCACGGTCCAGCCAGCAGCATTGTCAGGTTGGGAGCCAGGCAAACCACCGCACTCAAAAGCACGATCCATGGTTCGACAAACGCCATTGGACAAAAACGGGCAGCAAGTCTGAACACAATGCGAACCGTTGTTAATGCTGAACAGGGAGCGGATGGGGTTGTACATGAGGTAGCCCAGAAAGCCAAATGTCCAAATGGTGATGGAAGAACCCATCATGTACATCATAAACAACGTCATGGGTAATTGATAGACCTGCTTCTCGACCACCTTCCAAGCCAGCTATACGATAGGTCCACAACATCCGCACGCCCAGCCGCGCAAGTGTTGACATTAGAGTGCTAAAACCAGTTGGGCTGGCAAGGGGCGGGACACGGGGGCACAAACCTTGTGCTTGAGTGCATGGCGCTGTGCGGCGCTCTCACCCGCACCGTCAGCATCCTGACTCCGCCAAAGAAACAAGCATTCGAGCGGTTGTGAGTATGATTCACACGCACGTCACCGTCCAAAGCGACTCAGCGAAAGGCAGGTCCTATTCAAATCTTTTTTCCCCGTGCGACCAGATCCTCTCCCAAGTTTGGAGGCACAACTGGACTTTGCCTCGCCAGTGCCTCAGCAAGGTATGCACGATACCTCCGACGACACGAGCCACGTGCATAGAGACGACATACCTTGGCAATGGGACCCGCAGGCAGACCGACTGGTTGCAGCTTGTCGTCCGTCAACCTGTCACGAGTCGAGCCAAAGTGAGGTGAGGTGGCACTCATATTTTCCATCATATTGCAGGTGCCCAGGAGGTCCCGACGTGGCGCCTTGTCCCCAATATCTGGTCTTTTCCCCAATGCCACCCGCGCTGCCATATCACACAGATCACAGACACGGATACAGAGAGAGAGAGAGAGACAGAGGGAGACACACACACACACAGACAACGCGTAACGTACGCGACGGTGGCGATTGAGGCGTAATCCAGCTGCCAGCGCTCCATCGTGCCCGTCTTCAGCTATCTATAGAAAAATACGCTTAAAATAGCCGATGGGTAGGTGAAACACGTCAAGTGAACGTGTTTGTGTATCTGACGTTGACGACGAGTTGAGCGACGCCTCAAAGTTGAAATTCTCTTGCTCTCTCTCTCTCTCATATATCACCCGCGCTCGACTCGCTCACCGCGACCGACCCCCTCCCTGGACGACTTGGCCGCCCTGATTAACTTGACCGACGGTTCGGCCCGGTTGGATCGTATCTTGGACTGAGCTGATTCCGTCCGAGCAAGCTGGTGACGGGCAGTCAACGGTGCATTCTGTAGGTTCTTCTCGCCTTTGTTGCTGCACTTGACAGCGGATCGCTCTGGTTGCTATATCAGCTGCCTTTGTGTCAAACCGTGAGCGTGTGGGACCTCGGCGCGCTTGCTGGTCATTTCTCACTGCCTGTGCTGGCTTGGCTCATTCAACTTTACCATTGACAACATTGCCTGCCCCTCGCTTGGCTTGCGCCTTGTCTTTGGTCACGTAGATGGTCGGTGCAGTCATGACGGCGTGAGCCGGGACAATACACGAGCTCTGCGGTCCTGTCGTTGAAAATTTGACCGATTGAGCGCTCAAATCGTTCTTGCAGACGGCATACGCCGCTTCAACATCTCAGGCGTTCTCGGGCCTACCCATACCCTTTTCGGTCCGAGTTGACATTTGGCATTAGCTTTTGGTGACAGTGTTGCCCCGCCAGCAACCGGGGTGCACCCTGTACCATGGCCTCGCCCAATTTGTCACAGAAAGCCAATGATCTACCCGCCTTGAGCAATGACGGGGACAACGAAGCGGCTGCCCGCCACCTCCAGTCTCGCCTTTTGGAGGCTCAGCCGCACCGCTCTAGCGGCCGTGGGGGCTTCAAGCTAGCCAAACCCGCGCACCACGCCAGTACTGGACGCCAAAATGGCACTGGTCGTACCGCGGGCCGCAGCCTCCGCCTGGCTCCCCTGGATGACGGCAAGCTGCGGTCAGATGTTCAATTCAGCCAGCACAAGCCCCTGCCACCCTCGGCTGGAGATGGTGCCAAAATTGCGGCCCCGTCTGACTTGGGATATGCCGGTGACAACCATATTGCCGCCCTCGCGGACGCCTCAATGGACGACATTCTGGCTTACGTGCAGGCCCATCCAGACATTGGATTTGTCTACGCGCTGCCGCGTGCCCCGCAGGAATCGGTGGAGCGCAGCATGTATGACCTGCGTGTTGTGCCCGCTGCTGACATTTATCATGTCTTTCCCTACTTCACCATCTCCCCTGATGGCGTCACTTGCGTGCAAGCCACCACCTCGGAGTTTCACTCGTTACCCCGTTTCATCAAAGACGTGGCGCTGACCAAACGCCTCAAGCAGATGCCCCTTGTTTACCAATTCCGACAGTGGAAGGCCTTTACCACCTGGCGCAAGGCCATCACTGGGGCCCGCCGACATGCTCGTGGTGAATTTTTGCAGCGCCATCTTTACCTCCTCTCCACCTTCTTGCAGCCGGCTCTCCTTCGCGTTCGGGCCATGTGCCTGGACATTGTTGAAGCCCGCTTGGCTGTCATTCGGGAAACCGAAGCCCCGACAATTTCCGAGTTTGTGGCTCAGCAACACAAACAAGTCACGGCCGTCGCCGAGCGCCTCCGGACGTTCCGTGATGACATTGCCGCTGTGGCGCTCGAAGCTTGCCAACGAGTTCTTGTGGAAGCTGGCTACACAGGTACTAGCAGCTGCCGGGGTCTCTGGCACCATTCACTCGTCCGACACATGTTCAGCCGCGCACCCACATCTTTACTCACCTGTGTTGTACCTCTAGACGATCGCGACATGTCATATACGGAGCAAGGACAAAAACAGGCGCTCTGCGTTCGCTTGGCGCGCTTCCTGCGCCTCATTGACAAGCTGGTGGCTAGTGCCATGCAAGAGCTGGCTGTGGAATCAATTGTTTTCCTCAGCGATCATGCTACCCGCATCCGCCGCGTTGCACTCGAGCAGGGCCAGGCAGCCTACGACGAAGCTGTCCAGGCGGCTAAAGAACAGGCCGCCCACCAGGCCGCGGAGGCCACCGCCGCCAAACAAAAGAAGAGCAAGGGCAAGCCTGTGGAGCCCGTCGAAGTCGCCCCTGCCATTCCCGGTCAAGACGGAGTCCCCTTGCCCCCGGGCCTGGTCCAGGTCACGGATGGCTATGTCGTGTTGCGTCGCGTCAAGGCCGATGCTCCTGCCTCCACCTCCACTTCTACCTCCACTTCCAACAGCAAAAACGCGAACAATGCCAAGGCTGATCGCCAAGGCCCTCGTGCCATGTTCAAGGTCAGCAATCAGATGCCCTGCTGTTGGATTGCTCAGCCCAGAGTGGCCCAGCCTTTGCCTGGTCCAGTCTTAATTCTTGCCTCAAATCGGGCTGGATCTGCGCCCCACACCCTCAAACCTTGCTGTGCTTGTGTTTGAATTTTATGCAAACTGCAACCTCACACGGTACGATTCAAATCCTCTCTTCACGTAGGTTGCACTTGAGCTTGACACGGACGGGTTGACCTTTGCCCCGGATGGTGATGACATAAAGGGGGCGCTCCGCCAGTTGCTCGACCGTTTCTCGCGCGCTGTGTGCGGTGTCGAAGCCGTGGCTCGTCACCGTGACTTTGTGAGCATCAACGAGTGGGCCCAGATGCTCCCCGAACAAGCGGAGGACGAGACACAGGCCCTCGAGAGCATGCTCAAGGGTGATCGTCACATGTATGCCAGCTTTGATGCTCTGCTTGCGGCTGTCGACTTTGGCTTCGCGGCTGCCGGCGAGTATCGTGCCTCGTTGCAGGACATCCAGGAGCGCTTTGCCGAGAGCACAGCCGTCGACCTCGACTGGCTTCGCACCACCGATCATGACCTGGCGTACTTCACCGCGGCCTTGGAAAAGTACACCAAGATGGTCACCGCCGGCGCAGCGGTTGCGCCCCTGATGCAGATGGGTGTCCTGGCTGTGGACGGCACCTCGCTTCGTGACACCTTCCTGCCTGTACCCCGCACGCGCCTCGACGTGCTGAATAATCGCCTACCCGTCATTGCCGCCAAGCGCAACAAGAAGCTCATGGAGGAGATCCACCAAGCGCTTCACCGTCTTGAGTCCTCCCCTGCGCAAACCCTCGAATACGTGGACACAATCTCCTTCCTCGATGGCGTTCAAGATCTCCTTGTTCGTCTCGAGGTGGATATTAAAACCGTCTCGGACATGTTTGACCTTGTGCATCGCTACGAAATTCCCGCGCCCCCTGAGGCTCTAGCCGAGTTTGAAACCGCCAAGGCTAACATTATTCGCCTTCGCGAAGCAGTGCGCGAGGGCCTGGATACGCGCTCCAAGCGCGTCGAGGAGTTCTGTGTCGTCTTGGATAAGGACATCTCCCTGCTGGGCGAGCGCGTCCTTGAAGTGCACCAACAGTCCCTGGACGAGCGCATCCTCGATGCCAAGGCGGAGCTGTCCGAAATCTTGCAGGTCACTCAGCAGCTTCACGATCAAATGGAGGCCTTGCAAGCACAGGCAGCACAGTACAAGAGTTACCAAAAGCAATTTCGCGTTGAGGTCACCAAATTCACCGCGCTTGAGGAAACACACGCCGAGGTGCGCTCCCGCAAGGCCCTGTGGGATACCGTGCAAGAATGGCAAGAACTCGAGGCAGCATGGGCCGATGCCAGCTTTCTGGCCATGGATCCGGAGGAAGTGACCAATACGGTGACGCGCGTCGCCAAGAGTGCCTTCCAGCTCAACAAGACACTGCCGCCCAACGACGTGGTACCACAACTCCAACTGAGCATTGATCACATGAAAGCCAAGCTTCCTGTCATCAACGACCTGCGTAACCCGGCCCTCATGCCTCGGCACTGGGAACGCATCAACGAGATTGTCGGCACACCCCTTCCACAAGACGAGTCCCTCACCCTTGGTCTGCTCAACGAGCTCGAGGTTTGGCAACACGCGGAGGCCTTGGGCGAGGTATCAGCCGCTGCATCCTCCGAGGCCTCGCTTGAGCTCATGCTCAAAAAGGTCGAGGACGCCTGGAAGTCGACGGACCTGCCCGTTGTGCCCTTCCGTGATAGCAAGGACGTGTTTATCCTCGGTGGCCTGGATGACATCCAGGTGCTCCTCGACGACTCCACCGTCAACATGGCAACCATTGCCGGCTCGCGCTACGTAGGCCCCATCAAGCCCCGCGTTGATGAGTGGCAGAGCTCATTGCAACTCTTTGCTCAAACGCTGGAGGAATGGCTTGTCTGCCAGCGTTCTTGGCTCTACCTTGAGAGCATCTTCAGTGCCCCCGATATCCAGCGCCAGCTGCCTGCCGAGGCTAAAATGTTTCAGGAAGTGGACAAATCCTTCAAGGAGGCTATGCGAAAAACCGCGGCGCTGCCCAACGCCATCCGTGCTGGTTGCACCCCGGGTTTTCTGGCCATGTTTCAGCGCAACAATCAGCTGCTCGATGAGATTCAAAAGTGTCTTGAAGACTACCTCGAGAGCAAGCGCATGGTCTTCAGCCGCTTCTTCTTCCTCTCCAACGATGAGCTATTGGAAATTTTGTCGCAGACCAAGAACCCTCAGGCCGTGCAGCCCCACATGCGCAAGTGCTTCGATGCGATTCAAAAGCTCGAGTTTGGTCAACCGGGTAAAACGGCCAATGACATCTTGGCCATGATCTCACCCGAGGGTGAGCGCGTGGGCTTTGATAAGGGCCTCAAGGCCCGCGGCAATGTCGAGGTTTGGCTCTGCAGCGTTGAGGAAGCCATGGTCAAGTCGCTCTATAAGGCGACCAAGGAAGCCATTGTGGACTACAGTAAGCGCCCGCGCCCTGAATGGGTGGGAGCGCATCCAAGCCAGGTGGTCATCAGCGTATCACAGGTAAGATTTCCCCAAGTTCCTTTCAAAAAGCCGTGTCCGAGTCTTGCTCACGGTGGCAGCCTCATCGCGCGTCGTTGCGTTGCCCCGCTGCTTAGATTATGTGGTGCCAGGCCGTCATAGAGGCCATTCGTGCCGCGAACCCGGCCGAAGCACTCAAAGCATATGAAGGGACATGTATTGCTCAGCTGGCCGAACTGGCCTCAATGGCGCGCCAAAGCATCCCGAAGCTGTTTCGCAAGGTTTTGGGTGCTCTCATCACCATCGATGTGCATGCTCGCGACAACGTCACAGCCCTATGCGAGGCCGGCGTAACCTCCGTCGACGTATGTAACCCGCTCACGCACAACCGCGGTGAGCTGCACTGCATTCTCACACACGACATGCTTGACAGGACTTTGAATGGGCGCGGCAGCTACGCTACTACTGGGAAGACGACGTGGACGATCTGGTCGTGCGCATGTCCAACTCGCGCTACGTCTATGCTTATGAATATCTCGGCGCAAGCATGCGCCTGGTCATTACACCCTTGACCGACCGCTGCTACCTGTGCTTGATGGGTGCACTTCAATTGGACTTGGGCGGTGCCCCTGCTGGCCCCGCCGGTACGGGCAAAACCGAGACGACCAAGGACATGGCCAAGGTTCGATGCTGCTTCTCTTTATTCTTGGCTGGTCTCTCGTGGCCTTCTTTGCTTTCTGGACATATCACACCTAGTTCTCGCTCACTTGGCATGTCATGGACGCGCTCGCATGCGGACTTTATCTTATTCTTTTCTTGGCTAGGCGGTGGGCACGCAGTGTGTGGTCTTCAACTGCTCAGAGGGCCTGGATTACAAGATGATGGGCAAATTTTTCAGCGGTCTGGCACAATCGGGGGCCTGGTGCTGCTTTGACGAGTTTAATCGTATCGATATTGAGGTCAGATTTGACGGTCATTCTCATTTTTTTTTTTTTTTTTTGCCTGTTGATGCCATTCGCTACCCCATGGCAAATGTTTCAGCTTTGCTGGTAAATGCCCCACCTCTCATTTGATCGGGGTTTTAACTCTTTGGACAGGTATTGTCGGTGATTGCTCAGCAATTGCTGACTATTCGCAACGCCAAAGCCGCCAAGCTTGCACGCTTCATGTTTGAGGGTCGCGAGATCCGTCTCATCCCCAAGTGTGCCGCCTTCATCACCATGAACCCGGGCTATGCTGGTCGTACCGAGCTGCCCGACAACCTTAAGGTCAGCCTCAACAGCGGCTGGGGCTGCCGTCGACTTTGTGTCTCTCACCCAATCAAGGCTGCCTCTCTCACATGACTCATGACTCTACCCCTTGATGATTTGAACGTCTCTGCCCACTTGCAGGCTCTCTTCCGTCCGTTTGCCATGATGGTACCCGATTACGGCCTGATTGCGGAGGTGATTCTCTTTTCCGAGGGCTTCGAAGACCCGCGCAATTTGGCTCGCAAGATGACCCAAATGTACAAGCTGTGCTCCGAGCAACTTTCCCAGCAAGACCACTATGACTTTGGTATGCGAGCCGTCAAGTCCGTGCTGGTTATGGCCGGTGCGCTCAAGCGCTCGCGGGTTGGACAAAGCGAAGCAACCGTTTTGTTGACAGCCCTGCGTGATTCCAATCTACCCAAGTTCTTGGCCGAGGATGTGGCTCTGTTCAAGGCCATTTTGTCCGATCTGTTTCCCGGGGTGGAACTTCCCGAGCACGATTATGGCCGCTTGCAAGAAGTCATCGAGGGTTGCATTGTTTCGCGAGGCCTTCAGAAGGAGGAGTCGCAGGTCCGCAAAATCATCCAGCTATACGAGACCATGGTGGTGCGTCATGGTGTGATGCTGGTTGGCCCCACTGGTGGTGGCAAAACCACAAGCTACCAGGTCCTGGCAGATACGCTGACGCAGCTGCACGAGGCCGGCGTCGAGCACGCCGACTATCAACCCGTGCACACCTATGTTCTCAACCCCAAAGCTATCTCCATGGGTGAGCTGTACGGTGAAGTGGACCCGGCTACCACCGAGTGGCACGATGGTCTCATGGCCACGCTTGTGCGTCAATGTGTGGCCGAAACCAACAGCGATCACCGCTGGATCGTCTGCGACGGCCCCGTCGATGCCCTGTGGATCGAAAACATGAACACGGTGCTCGATGACAACAAGATGCTTTGCCTGGCCAATTCAGAGCGCATCAAGCTTACCCCACACATGCACATGCTCTTCGAGGTGCAAGACCTGGCCGTCGCTTCCCCGGCCACCGTCTCGCGCTGTGGCATGGTCTACGTTGATCCCTTGGAACTGGGCTGGCGCCCCTTCTTTGGCACCTGGCTCGTGTCTCTGCCACCAGCCGTGTACCCGGTGCTGCGCGAGCTCCTGCGTGAACTCTTCGAGGAACACGTCGATCCCGTGCTACATGAGGTGCACAAGCATCTCAAGCAAGTTATGCCGCAGGTCACGGCTGGCAAGGTGGCCTCACTGTGTTACCTTTTGCAGTCGTTGCTGCTTGAGCATGAGGCCCTGTTCCCTGCGCCAGGAGTATCTGAAGCGGCAGAGGCCGCGCCAGAAGTGCCCGAGGCTCAGCGCGCCACTATTGTCAACCTCTTCTTCTTTGCACTTGTTTGGGCTTTGGGTGGGAACCTGGTTGACAAGGACCTGGATGCCTTTGACTCGATTGCACGAGAACAGTTTGAGGGCGTGCGAGAGCTGCGTGTTCCCAACGCGGGGAGCGTGTACGACTACTATGTGGCATCACACGAGGGCCACGCCATGCTCGAGAACTGGGATAAGCAAGTGCCCGCGTTCACGTACCGCGACGACGTGCCGTTTTTCGAAATGCTGGTCCCTACCAGCACGACAGTCAAGTTTGCCACCTTCATGCGCCTGTACACGCGCCTGGACCGTTCCGTCCTCTTCACTGGTACGACAGGCGTGGGCAAGTCCGTTGTAGCTCAGAGCTTCTTAGACTCGGCAGAGCGTGGGGGTCAGGTGGTTCCGGTCATGGTCAACTTTTCGGCGCAAACAACGAGCAAGCGCACGCAGGCTCTCATTGAGAGCAAGCTGGAGAAGAAGCGCAAGACGCTTCTGGGAGCCCCTGCAGGCAAGAAGATTCTCATCTTTGTGGACGATGTCAATATGCCCAAGCTGGAAACGTACGGTGCCTCGCCGCCCCTCGAGCTGCTGCGCCAGTTTCAAGACTTTCGCGGGTTTTATGACCGTGAAAAGCTTTTTTGGAAGGACATTCAGGATGTCACGCTGATCGCTGGCTGCGCTCCTCCTGGAGGCGGGCGCAATCCCATTACCCCTCGCCTGCTGCGCCACTTTGCCATGCTGAGCATTCCATCACCAGACGAAAAGACGCTCAAGAGTATTTTCACGCAAATTGCCAGTGGTTTCTTTACCACGGCCGGCTTCAGCAAGCCCATTATTCGTGCTGCTGAAAACATTGTGAATGCGGCTGTCGGCATCTATCACCGCATGAGCACCGACCTCCTGCCCACGCCAGCCAAATCGCACTACGTTTTCAATTTGCGTGATCTTTCCAAGTGCATGCAGGGCATTCTGCAAGCTGACCCCTCCAGCTTCCGTGAAGTGGATCACATCTTTGACCTTTTCTGCCACGAGACGATGCGTGTCTTCCACGATCGCCTCATCAATGCCGAGGACAAGACCTATTTTGTGCAGATCCTTGCCGAGATGAGCTCAAAGCACTTTAGCAAGGTACGTTGATCCAACGTTGTAAACTGTTGCGATTCGGGGATGGGATATGCGGAGTGTTGAGGGCGGAAGTGTTGGAATTTCAAAAGGGGGCGGGGGGGGGTATCAAGTTGTCGTTACACCTGCGTTCAAAACCCTCGTTGACGCGCGCTTGCCTGGCTGTGTCTCTTCTCTTCCTCTTTGCTCACCTGTGGGAATGAATGTGCACGTGTGTGTGGCAGTCTATCGATGTCGAGGAGATGGAGCAGAATCCACCCCTCTTTGGCGATTTTATGAAGATTGGAGCACCAAAGGAGGACCGCGCCTATGAGGCGCTTGATAAGACCAAGGTAGGCTGCCCCGACCAGTTTTCGACCTCATGTGCTTGCCTGTGATCCCTGGCACTCATTTGAGCGCTTTCTTTGGGGGTCGGGGGCACATTTATTCAGGTGGCCAAGGTGCTTGAGGAGTACCTTGATGACTTCAATCTGAGCTCGTCCAAAGAGATGAAGCTGGTCTTTTTTGGCGATGCCATCCAACATGTGACGCGCATCGCACGCATCCTACGCCAGCCACGTGGCAACGCACTGCTTGTGGGTGTGGGCGGAACCGGCAAGCAATCGCTCACACGCATGGCGTGTCACATGTCCGGCTTCAAGTGCTTCCAGATTGAGATCACTCGAGGCTATGGCTACAATGAGTTTAGGGAAGATCTCAAGCAGCTCTACGAGCTTGCGGGTTCGAAGGGCCAGGACACCGTCTTTCTCTTCACCGATACCCAAATTGTGGTGGAAGAGTTTTTGGAAGACATCAACAACATGCTCAACTCTGGTGAGGTGCCCAACTTGATCGAGAACGATGAGATGGAGAAGTTCTTGCAGCCAGTCCGACCTTTGGCGCGCGCCGCGGGCATTTCCGAGTCCCGTGATGCCGTGTACCAGTACTTTATCAACCGCGTCCGTGATAAGCTGCACATTGTGTTGGGCATGAGCCCCGTGGGTGACGCCTTCCGATCGCGCTGCCGCATGTTTCCCTCCATCGTCAATTGCTGCACCATCGACTGGTTCACCGAGTGGCCCCGCGAGGCCCTTCTCGGCGTGTCTCGTCGCTTCTTTGAGTTTGTGGACCTCGGCGAAGAGGAGCTGAAGAACAAGGTTTCTCAAATGTGCGTCGAGATTCACACAAGCGTACGCGACATGGCCGAACGCTTCTACGAAGAGCTGCGTCGCAAGTATTATACCACGCCGACGAGTTACCTCGAGCTCATCAACTTGTACACCAGCATGTTGGACACCAAGAAGCGAGAGCTAGTGCTGCAACGCGACCGCTTCCAAACGGGCTTGGACAAGCTTGGGGAGACCAACGAACTGGTCGACAACATGCAGAAGCAGCTTACCATGCTCGAGCCCGTGCTGAAGGAAAAGTCCGAGGCAACCTCCAAGCTCATGGAGAAGCTGAAGGTGGACCAGGCCGCAGCCGATGAGGTCCGCAGTGTCGTCCAGGCGGAGGAAGCTGTGGCAAAGGAAAAGGCCAACAAGACCGAGGCCATTAAGGCGGATGCCCAAGCCGACTTGGACGAAGCCCTGCCTGCACTTGACGCGGCAGTCAAGGCTTTGGAGGCCTTGGAGAAGAAGGACGTGCAGGAGGTCAAGGTTTTCACCACTCCTCCGCCCCTGGTCCAGGTTGTGATGGAGTCGGTGTGCATCCTTTTCGGTCGTAAGGCTGACTGGAAGACGGCCAAGGGCCTGCTGGGTGAGAGCGATATTCTGAACCAGATGCGCACCTTTGACAAGGATGGGATCACGGACAAGACAATCAAGAAGCTCAAGCCTTACATTGAGAACGAGGACTTTGTGCCAGAGAAGGTTGAAAAGGTCTCCAAGGCATGTACATCCATGTGCATGTGGGTGCGCGCCATGGATCTTTACGCCCGCGTCTATCGCACAGTCGAGCCCAAACGGCAGAAGCTGGCCGAGGCGCAGGCCGCCCTGGACGAGACCATGGCCGCACTGCGTGAGAAGCAGGGCCGTCTCGCTGAGGTTGAGGGTCAGATTGCAGAGCTGCAACGCACCTACAAGGAGAGCGTCGATGCTAAGCAAGACTTGGAACGACAAAAGGCTCAGACGGCGGGCCGCCTCGAGCGCGCCGACAAGCTCACCATGGCCCTTGGTAGTGAACAGGTCCGTTGGGCTGAGACGGTCAAGATGTACGACCAGCAAGTGCATGACGTGGTTGGCAACGTATTTCTTGCCGCGGCCTGCGTGGCCTACTTTGGGGCGTTTACGTCCACATACCGTACGGAGCTGGTGGAGAAGTGGGTGGCCCAGTGCCAAGCGCTGGGTATTCCCGTGTCCGAGGGCTTTCAGCTCGCCGACGTTTTGTCCACGCCGTACCAAATTCGCGAGTGGAACACTGCAGGCTTGCCGCGCGATCAATTATCCACCGAAAACGCCGTCCTTGTGACCTGTGGGCGGCGTTGGCCCTTGATGATTGACCCCCAGGATCAAGCAAACCGCTGGATCCGCCAGATGGAGGCTCGCAACGGGTTGCAGATCATCAAGCTGACAGACCCCAACTTTTTGCGCACGCTAGAAAACGCCATTCGGATTGGCCAACCTGTGCTGCTGGAGGAGGTCGGAGAGACGCTGGATCCTTCCTTGGAGCCCGTGCTGCTGAAGCAGACGTTCAAGCAGGGCGGCCGCACTCTGATTCGCCTGGGCGACAGCGATGTCGACTACGACAAGAACTTTCGCTTCTACATGACGAGCAAGATGGCCAACCCGCACTACTTGCCCGAGATTTGCATCAAGGTCACGATCATCAACTTTACGGTCACGCGCCTGGGTCTTGAAGACCAGCTGCTGGCAGACGTTGTGCGACTGGAGCGACCTGACCTGGAAGAGAAGCGCACAAAGCTGATTGTGCAAATCAACAATGACCGCAATCAGCTCAAGCTCATTGAGGATGAGATCTTGAAGCTTCTCTTCAACTCGGAAGGTAACATTCTGGACAACGAGCGCCTGATTGATACTTTGCAAAACTCCAAGGTGACCTCGACCGCCATTGGCGAGCGATTGGAACAGGCAGAGCGCACCGAAGCCAGCATCACCGAGGCACGCGAGCGCTACCGCCCGGTGGCTCTGCGTGGCTCGGTCCTGTTCTTTGTAATTGCTGATATGTCGAGCATTGACCCGATGTATCAATACTCTCTCGAATACTTCAAGCAGCTCTTTGTGCAATGCATCACCGACAGCGAGAAGAACCCGGAGTTGGAAAAGCGGCTGATCAACATTATCGACTACGCCACCCTCAACATCTTTACAAACATTTCCCGCGGTCTTTTTGAGCGCCATAAGCTGATGTTCAGCTTTATGCTCTGCATCGAAGTTCTCAAGACCGCCGGCACTGTGACTGTGCACGAGTGGGATTACTTCTTGCGGGGCGCCATGGTTTCAGAGCGCGAGCGGCCTGCGGCGCCCGCCGTGGACTGGCTGGCGCCTGCCGTGTGGACGGCGCTGTGCGATCTTGAACATGAGTTTCCAGAGCGCTTTGCCGGCATTACGACAGATGCGGGCGCCGCCCCTCTGACCGTCACTCTGGGTGACGTGACGGTGCGGCCAAGCCCTGCGGGGGCGTTTGCAAAGGACGTGACTTGCCGCGTGGACTGGAACGTTCACCTCACGAGCTTTGAAAAGCTCCTGCTCATCAAGACGCTGGCCATGGACCGGGTAACGGAGGGCGTGGCGGCCTTTGTTACAACCGAGTTTGGCAACGCTTTCGTCGAGAGCCCGCCAGTGGAAATGGCAACCCTCTACCGTGACATGACGGCGACGGTCCCGCTTATCTTCGTGCTCTCCGTGGGATCGGATCCCATGGCGTCATTCTTGCGCTTTGCCAAGGAGCGCAACTACACTGATCGCGTTCACGCCATTTCCCTGGGCCAAGGCCAGGGCCCCGTTGCAGAAAAACTGATTGAGAAGGCGGTCACCAGCGGCGATTGGGTCTTCTTACAGAATTGCCACCTGGCCCAATCCTGGATGACCCGCATGGAGATGGTCATCAAGAATTTGGCCGATCCCAAAGCCAGCGTGCACGAAGACTTTCGGCTGTTCCTCAGCTCGGCGCCATGCACGTTCTTTCCCGTGAGTGTGCTGCAAAACAGCGTCAAGGTGACCAACGAACCACCCAAGGGCTTACGCGCCAATCTGCGGCGCGCCTTTGCGGGCATTCAGCGCGACTTTTTCGAGGAACATGTGCTGGGGCAAGATTGGCGTAAGCTTATCTTTGGACTGTGTTTCTTCCACGCCATCATCCAGGAGCGGAAGAAGTTTGGTCCGCTGGGTTGGAACATTCGCTACGAGTTCAACGCGTCGGACCGTGAGTGTGCCCTGGAAAATCTGCGCATTTTCCTTGCCGACGGGCACGTGCCCTGGAACGCCCTGTTCTTTATCACCAGCGACATCACGTACGGCGGTCGCGTCACGGATCGCTGGGATGAGCGGTGCTTGTCGACCATCTTGAAGCGCTTCTTCCGCCCGAACGCGTTGGATGCAGACTACAAGTACTCAGAGTCGGGCGTGTATTTTGCGCCTGCGGTGGACACGCTGGAGGAGGTGCAGGCGTACATTGACCGGCTGCCATTTAGCGATCCCCCGGAAATTTTTGGCATGCACGACAACGCCAACATTGCCTTTCAGTCGCAGGATGCCAACGTGATGTTGCGCACCATTTTGGACGTGCAGCCGCGCATGTCCACAAGTGGCGCAGGCCACACGCCAGACGACGTCGTGTATGAGTTGGCCGAAAGCATTGAAGCCAAGCTGCCGTCAGCACTGCTGGATCTGGATGAGGCCAAGGAGGGCACTTTCAACCTGGATCCGCAGGGCCGCGTCAAATCCTTGAGCACGGTGCTGCGCCAAGAAGTGGATCGCTTCAACCGATTGCTCCAGGTCCTTTGGCCATGCTTGCGTGACGTCAAGCGCGCCATCAAGGGCTTTGTGGTCATGAGTGCGGAGCTAGAGGAGGTCTACAAGAGCTTTTTGAAAAACGAAGTGCCCGCGATGTGGGAGAATGCGGCATATCCGTCACTCAAGCCTCTGGGCGCGTGGGTGCGCGATCTGTGTTTGCGTCTGGAGTTTGTTTCGCATTGGCTGACCAAGGGCAAGCCAAAGTCGTTCTGGCTTTCAGGCTTTTTCTTCCCTCAGGTCAGTGATCGGTCCCTCGAAAAAAGGTGGCGGGCCCCGTGTCCTTGTGCGTCGTTTCTGATTGGTTTCCTAGACTCATATATCGCAAATTGGTACTTGTTGTGTCTGAATGGGTGACTGCAGGGGTTCTTGACTGGCACGCTGCAAACGCACGCGCGAAAATACAATCTGCCCATCGATACCCTGAGCTTCCAGTTCAAGGTGCATAATGAACAGTACATTCACCAAGACAGCCCCGGCGAAGAAGCAGCAGCACAGGCTGTCGAGGACGGCGTGCTGGTGCATGGGGTGTTTATGGATGGTGAGTGGTCTTCCGCAAGCCCACCTTTGATTTGTTCTTGTCATGTCGTGCCGGACTTTGAGCCTGTCTTGATAACTCACGCCACTGCTGCTTGTTCCCGCTTGACCTTCGGAGTAGCGTTCCGCTGGGACGACGATGCAGGATGCGTAGCAGACTCATTGCCGGGACAAATGAAGGCCTACTTGCCCCTCATGCACATGGTGCCAGCCCAGAACTTCACGCCGCCAGCGGAGGACTACATTGCACCGCTGTACAAGACATCTGTGCGCGCGGGTGTGCTCTCAACGACGGGCCACTCTACCAACTTTGTTGTGGCTGTGCACCTACCCGCCAAGCAGTCACGCGACTACTGGGTTTCCAAGGGTGCAGCCTTGCTTTGCCAGCCCGAATGAGCGTATGCCAAGCCTGGCCGACTGCATACTGTAGCTGTGATGATGTGTTTTGTTGTTTGTTTTTTTTGGTGCTTGTATTTGCGACGGTCATCAAGTGTTGCACACGGAGCTTGAGTGAGGCGATGGTGAGGTGAGGGTTGTTGCTGGCCCTTAAATAAGCCTCTTGTCTTTGTTGTTCGATCACGAGCACACGTGCGCGCGCGCCCGTGGCGCTAGGTTTTGACCTCTTGGGTCGCATCAGCTTGTCAATGGGCCTTACTTCAGGCCTCTTGTTATGTTTGGGTCGATTGTGTGACTTGTACTCCAGACACTTTGGCTGGATGAATCAATAATGGAACTTTGGTTGGCACGTTTGCATGTTTTCATCCAAAGCTACGAAACGGAAAACAGGGGCGGGCTTTGGGACATCTGAAAACGGGTGTCATGGGCATCAATTATTATGCACGTTAAGGTTTCACACAGGGTGCATAAAGTAAAAAACACCTCCTGAACAATGACAGCCAGAGACGAGACACGCACGCGGGCGAGGAGCGCCGACGCCTGAGCTCCAAGAAATACAGAAGAAAAAAGACAAGGTAGGAGGGTGGTCGCTTGACCAGCAATACGACCCCGTTCAAAAAAAGAAAAAAGAGAGGAAAGAAAGACACCCCCCGACGAAACCCATACCAACCCTTTTGACACGCCATTCGCACGCGTCACCGAGAAAGGATGAGAAGTCAAGAAAAAGGAAAAAACCGCAAGAACCAGTGCCCAGACAAAAGGAGCAAGGGAACGAACGGTGTGGCCCGATATCTCAAGATCAAAAGGGCTCACCAACACAGCGAGCAAACCGGCTGCACGCTGAAGTATTCTGAGTTAAAACCCGATTTGAGAGGGCGCACAGAGAAAGGAAGAAGCGAATGGAGACGGGGGATGATGGCCCGATTAGAAGGAGAGGGTCCCTCAGACAGTCACAATGAGATGGCCCTTCTGATCGCGGTTGGAAAAGTTGTTGTTGCGAGTGCACATGTAATCGTACGTGCCAGCACGGAAACGAAACACGCCACCCACGTACGACGCATCTGCGTTATCGAGAAGGTTGTTGAGGTTCTGGTTGTTGTTGGCGATGGACGTGCTGTCACCGTCAGCGTTGTATGAGGTGTAAAAGCCGGCCGTGGCCATGCGCAGAGCCCAATCGCGCTTGACCTCAGCCCAGGTGCGCGTCTCCTCGTCCGAGTCCAGCTCGTACGTGAGGCGGTAGATGGTATCACGGTTACCGTGGGCGGGGACAAAGGCGTCGATGGCATCAATCATGTTGCCAAACAGGGTGTTGTTCTCCCAAGGGACGGGGAAGCTGGTCTTGAACTGGTCGCCCGAGAGCATTTGCACAAAGTTGTGACGGTCGGTACCGCCTCGACCCTCACCTGCATCGCCAGCCTGGCCATCACCGGCCGGGTTGGCGTTGTTGTGGGTGTTGGAGCCGGCCCACTGGATGTGGATCAGATCATCCTCTGTCACGTGGAGCTGATTGGGGACAAAATCGTACTCCACCGAGGGGAAGGTCTGAACAATATTGCCGCGCTTACCACGCACATTGAGGTTGTAGAGGGTGCGCTCGCCAAAGAAAAAGTCATCGGTCGTGTCAACGGTCGAGCGGAGGCGGTCGCGCAGGGCGGACGACTCGACGCGAGGCACAAGGCGGAAGACGTGGGAGCGGTCCTGGAAGGTGCGACCAAATTGGGCCGTGTTGATGGCGAGGCGGAGGGCCGTGTTCTTGGCGCCAATGTCCACGTTGGGGTTCTGCTTGACGGGGGAGACGATGCCAGCACCGTCGTTGTTGTTGAAGGTGCTGTTGACCTTCCAGGCATCGTAGTCATCCGTGCTAATGTTGTAGCGAAGGCGGAGGACGCAGCGGTGGTCAACGCCAGCGTTGGCATCGAGGCTACCATCCAGGGTGAGGTAGGGCAGAGTCCAGTTGTAGGTGTTGGGCTGGCCAAAGCGACCGTTGCCGAGGTGGTTGACGCGGGACCAGGGGGCTTGAATGCACTCTGGGGCGGGCACGCCGTGCGGGGCCGCCATGACCCAGCGGCCCGAGTTGGCGGTGCAAGTCGCAAAAGTGTTGTAGCGCACGCAATTGGGGCAGGCTGCCGTGTTACGGCACAGGCCCTTGCCCTTGACGTTTTGTGACTCGGTCTGGAAGAAGGGGCACAGGTCAAGGCGATCCGTCATGATGACAATATCAACCCAGGGGCTAGGATGCCAATAGGGCCAGTAGTCGCGTTCCTCGGGGCACTCGTAGCCACGGCGATTGTCGTTGGGATTTTGGCGGGTGAAGACGGCCGAGCTGTAGCCGGCATTGTTGTTGCGGAGATTTTGATCGGCCGTGAAGAGCCCGCGGTTGCGCTCGCGGCGATAACACTCGTCGTACCACTCCCATGTCTCGTGCAGGCCGCGATCCGCGCGGACATCGCCATTGAAGCGGTTCTGGCGCTGGCCAACCGTCTCAGCCGTGTTGGCAAATTGGTCGTACTCTTGACGGTTGGTTGTCACACCATCGCGAGGCCACATGCCGTTGTTAGGATCGGTACCATAGATGCAGTTGTATTCATCGTTGATCTGACCATCCACCCAAACGCCGCCAAAGTCCTCGCAGTCGGTGCGGCTGATGACTGGGGATTTCCGGCATGGGAACTGCAGGCTGGGAGTACACGTCGGGTTGTTTTCGTTGGGAATGAGGCATTCCTTTTCGCAATCCGAGGCGGCACCCGTGCGACCACCCTCGGAAATGTCGGCATCTTCCGGGTCGTCCGGAATGCACATGTACTGCAGAATGAGGTTGCAGTTCAGCTTGTGCGGATCGTCGTGTTCGTTACCACCGCAACCGTGTTGGTTGGTCCACTCAACTGTGAGAATGGAGCGACCGACCGCCGCAGAGTCATAGGGAGTTTCCCAAGCCTTGGGGTGGCTCATAAAGTACTGAAAGTCATACTGCTTGTCTTCATTGTTTCCAAAGGCCGTGTCATCGCTGTCGCCCTTGTTGTAGCCACCGCGGTTGTTGTTCTGTTGATGCAGGCAGGGCAAAAAGGTCAGCGCCGTGAGAGAGCGCGGCCATTGTGCCGCAGCTTTGGGTCACAGACCCGCGGGAAAATCAAACGTCTCACGAGGGGACTGGCCCTGACGGACAGACCTGTGAATCGAACATGCGGTTTCCATTGGCACGGTTGGCTGATCGCTCTTCAAGACGATTGTTGGAGCCGCGCGGGTTGTGCATGTACCTGGAGAGGCATCACCAATTGACATGAGAAAAGCCCCGGCAAAGAGACCCGAGACCAGGAAAACACACACATATACATGCACAAGATCAAGAACGACAACGCGAGCCGAGTCGTTGGCAGAGAAAGAGGCAGCAAAGGCGTTGAGAAGCGTGCGACGCAGACCAACACCCATCAGACCGCTCTCCTCGAACAACACATGACCAGGGAAGAAGCAGCGCTGCTGGCACACAAGCCCCAAACTCACGGAGACCCCGACACACACGGCGCCAATGTCCCCACACACAGGGACCAAATGGCAGGGCACACAGACAACTGCACAGCGACGTGCAACCCGAAACAGAAGAGCAAGAGCCCAAGATACCCGGAGGCCGAAGCCAGATGACCCAAGGGATCAAGTCGGCCAGTCAGCGCCACGGCAGGCACACCTTTGACACTTACACATCAGCGTTGACGAGGGCAAGGGCAGCAAGGATGGCAACCAGTGCCATCGCCACCTTCTGAACCATGGTTGATGGTGCTGTTGGTCGTTGGAGTCTGCTGCTGCTGCTTGACCACTGCTACCGCTTTGGGTTCCAACAAGTTCGAACTTGTTGGAACAAAGGAAAAAGTCACAAAGAGAGAGAGAGAGAGAGAGAGAGAGAGGTAAGGGGAAAGACAAAGGACAAAAGACAAAAAGACAAAAGAAAGGTGAGGTAAACAAAGAAAACAAAAAGACAAAAGATGGCGTCACTGTTCTGGCTTGTTGACATAAGGGGATACGCTACGTCTGGCTTTTTCTGCTTGTTTGTTGGGAGGCGTTTGCTCGAGCACATACCAACAAAATGTCCGAAGCAGGAACAAAATCTACGACCAGAGGGCAAAGACAAAAGAGGGCGGTCAAGAATGTCAGAAATCAGCAGGTTCAAATCTCCAAGTCAGGTCGAGTCCAATACAAACATGAGTTTTTGGTTCCAAAACAATTCAGATTTGCAAGCTGAGCAAACGAGCGTTTTTTCCCCTTGGCCGCTTGCCCTCTACCTTCTTTTGTCTCCGCTCGACAAAAGTAAACAAGAAAGAAAAGGTTTCTTTTGTTCCTCATCCTCTCTCCCTCTCTCTCTCTTACCAATTCATTCTCTCTCTCTCTCTGTCTCTCTCTGTCTCTCTCTGTCTCTCTCTCTCTCTGTCTCTCTCTCCGTCTCTCTCTGTCTCTCTCTTCTCTGTCTCTCTTTCTCTCTCTGCATTTCCCATTGTTGGCCTTGCATTACGCATTGCTACTGTTAGAGTCTCTGGACCTCGCTGGCGAGGTCACCAAGGGCGAGCGAGCCAGTCAGCCGGCTAGCTCTCGATCGACGACGACTCATCCCCTTGTAGCAGCACGCTCGAGGGTGGCATCCTCTCCGAGTTCAGCTCGGGGCTTTGTCAACTCACTCGTTCCGTGATTCTTCTTTGGTGCGCTGGTCGCCCAAGGGAGCCGTCACACCTTTCAATATGGCCCGCCATTTCATGACCTGCGCGGCCCTCCTGGTCGCTGCCGTCAAGTAGGTTGTTGGCCTTGATGCTGCTGCGTTGATGAATTGTTATGGTTGTTGTTGTTTGGTGCTCTGCCCTTGGACCCTGACTCAACGTATCGCTCATGACTGCGAATTGCCTCCCGTCAGTGCGGACATGTATCTCCAGAACATGCGCGGCAGCAACAATCGTCTGGATGAGGCTCGTCGTGATCGCAACAACGCTAACCGGTGCGTCCTTGCCAGAGTACTCGCATGCACACATGTACAAACGAAGCTCCCTTGGACACGATGCTCAGATGCATTTGGCCATAGCTGAGCTGAGCAGCCCGCACAACGCGCGCCCGCGCCCCCACCGGCTGTCTGAGTCTTGTTTTACTCACCCATTGAACCGTCTTTTTCTTTTTTCTCTCCTCTCTTGAACCGATCCTCAGACTGTTTGACTCGCAGAACAACAACCGCGGTGGCTACAACGTTGGCTCACTCTACTACTACGTGGGAGAGAGCATGCCCCTGGAATGGACCAACCAGCACGCATGTGGCAACGAATGGAACCACTGTGAAATTGTGATCCAGTATATGTGCAATGACAACGTCCGTGATGGTGTCACCACCGCTACCATCCCAGTGCAGCCCTCCAACTGTCTGAACAACGATTGTAACACAGATGTACGATTTGGTATGCATGAGGATTACGATTATTACACCAACTGCCGCTACCGCTTCCGTAACAAGGGTCTCTTTACCTCGGATCGCAACCTCAACGGCCAAACTGCCATTTACACGCGCCAAAACAATAACGGAGCCCGCCGTGGTTACGAATGTCCCGAAGAGCGCGACCACTACCCCTACTGGCATCCCACCCCTTGGATCGATCTTGCCATCCTGACAAACAACGTCTCAAAGTGCGACTACTATCGTGCCGAGTCGGAGAACGTCTTGGGTCGTCACTTTTGCTCTCTCCCCGACTCGTGGTACCATCACATGGTCAGCCAGGGAGGCAACGGTCGCTCGGGCTTTATTCCCAACACTGAGGCCCTGTGCCTTGCGCTCAACAACGAAGACACCCCCATGGTAACTTTCCTCAAGGCTGAAATTAGTGCCGAACACGAAGCTCTCCAAGCCGCCGCCCGTGCCGAGTTTTTGGCCTGTGAAACCGCTTTTGCTGATTGTGGCTCAACCAACAACCCTGCGACTTGCGTCGCGGCTCTCCCCATCATCACCGAGGATGAGCTGGATGAGACTTGCCCGCCTTGCCCGGATGGCGAGCGACTGCACCCCGATGACCCTTGCGGCTCGTGCATCCCCGCCTCGTGCTATGATAGCCTGCAGGCCATCAACTTCACGGCCTACCCCGAGTCGGGCTGTCCCGATGGCTTTCAGCGCGATGAGTTTAATACCCTCAAATGCATCCGCACCCTGGGCTGTGACATTGACCAAACGTCGTATGCCACTCGCGCTCAGACCGACGCCTGCCGAACCGAGGCTCTGGATGGCGTCCACCTCGTGTCAGACGGCGTCTGTGTTCAACGCGACGTTCTCGCCGTCGAGTGTCTCGAGCAGTCCCTGCCCACCGCCTCGTGGACCCAGGCTCAGTCGCACGCCCAGGCCTTCCCCGACGTGGGCATCACCGCCCCCCGCTGCCTGGCTAACCCCTGGTCGCGCGTGAACCACCTTGGTAACGGCATGGGCGGCTTTACCAACGGCTTCAACTTCACCATGCCCGACAACGTCAACGAGCGCTGTGCCATGCGTGTTCGCTATAATATCACCACTGGCGACTACAACGGCGCCGATCCTCACAACTCGTCTGAAGTCAACAGCTCGCTCAACAAGAACAACGGCAATAACCCCTCCAAGGTCAACATCCGCGCCTCGTATAACATTGACCTCGTCGATTCCGAGGTCCCCTACGAGAATCAGCGCGGCTACTATCTGGAGCAGAACCCCCAGGTGCAGATTTTTGACTACTACAAGTTTTTGCAATTTTGCCCCTCGGCCGACCTCGCTGTGCCCAACGATCCCACTCGCTGCTACACCAGCACCGCCCAGACTGCGACGCAGCAGGCCCAGGGCGTATACTGCCCCTACCCCTACCACACGCTGAGCCCCCAGCACGGCGCAGCTGGTGACATTGAGTGCCGCGACCCGGATACGCTCGCCCGCACCAATCCCTCAAACAACGACGATGACTTTGAGCTCCAGCTGGCCATCAACACGGCCCAGTTTGGTCGCACGTTCCAGGACCGATCCCACCGCTTTGCCATTCGCCCGCGCGACAACGAACTCACGGAGAAGTGCAATCTCATCCACTCCCTCAACGTTCGCGGCAAGCGTGGCAACATTGTGCAGACCTTCCCCGGCACCGAATACGACTTTACGCCCAACCGCCTGCACGCCGCCAACGGCGACTGCATTCACTTCCAATGGACCGGCTCGAACACAAACCCCAACAATAACGACGGGCAGGGCCGACAGGGCACCGATCGCTCCAACATTGCACTGCAAGAGTATGTGCGCGGTGATGGCGGTCGTGGTGTGGAGGGCTACGGTGGCTTTGGCCTCAACGGCGCCACTTGGACGACGAAGCGCATGGAACCTGGCCTCGAAGGCTACGTCTGGAACGGCGCTCCAACCATGGGCGATGTGCAGTGCCCCTCCACCTACCCCTTTAGCCACCCCTCCAGCACCACCATGTGCTTTAAGTATGGTACTGGTACCGGTGATGTCTGCCACTCCATGCCTCGTGGCTCTACCGTCTCGGAAGATGGCGAGGTGACGCTCAATGAGTGCCCCGTCCTGTACTCGACCGACCCCGTGGATGAGACTCGCTGCATGGTCACTTCGTGCGTCAACGGCGGCTCCAACACGATGATTGCTCGTGTTACCAACTGGCGTCTCTTTGAGGCGTCGGCCAACCCTACCAACTTGGCGTCATTGCTCACCACCATTGGCATGTCCGACGTTCGTCTCGACCTGCCCTCAGTCTCATCGATGGAGCAGATTGGAACACCCGAAGGCGAGCTCCGCGGCCTCTGGGGCACTTCTCACCCCGAGCATCTGGATAACGTCACCGCTTGGGGCTTTATGGGCATGACCTACGATCAGCTCGTGAACCTCGCTACCTTGCAAAACGTTCAGCTGGGTGGTGAAATGTCCGAGTTGGACGATGCCGGTACCTACTATAACATGGAGCCTCACAAGATCAATGGCGCTGGCACCTACAACTACATGTGCACGCGCAACAACAACTTTAGCAACCGCTCCCAAAAGGGCCGCATCATTGTCTCGGATGGCCCCGTCGCCACGGAGCCCATTGACGAGCAGGGCGGTGCCATCACTCTCAGTCTCTCTGAGCGCTACCAGGGCGCGGCTTCCACGCAGCAAAAGGAAATTGGCATGGCCGATGTCTGGCTCCAAGCGCCCGCGGGCTCGCTCGAGTCGCGCACCGAAGTCAGCATGCGCGTCTGGGCCTCTGTGGGCACTGTTGGTCTGGATAATGGCGCCTCGGATGTCGTGGAGCTTGGTCCCTCCAATCTGGCGGCCATGCGCCGCTTTTCAGGTGTCTTCCTGACACCCACTGATGGTGCCACTCGTCGTCGCGCCGCCGTGTCGGGTGAATTCTGGGTCGACTTTGCCATCATTAACGCCACCGCCGTGCAGGTGGACATTACCAACGATGGCTTGGCTTACTGGCGTCTGGTCAAGGAGTTTTCAGGTGAAAATCCTTCCGTCACCGTGGCTTTCAGCACCGCTGACGATGGCGAGTTGGGTCGCCTAACCACGCGCGTTAATGGCAACAACGCTATTTCCGCTGTCTGGACCTCAATCTCCTCCGCTGACATGCTCAAGGTTGAGGCTGGCGAGGTGTGGGTGACTCTCGTCATTGATGGCGTGACCTACTCTGGTCTGCCCGAGGTTGATGAATCTACGGGCCTGCCCATGACTGTGCGCGTTCCCGTGAGCCCGTCTTTGAGCTACGGCAAGGTTTACTTTTGGCCGGCTTCGGAGCCCGCTGCTCGTGCGTGCGTGGTCAACGGCAGCTCTTCCACCTCGTGCAACCTTCTTCGCCAGGAGATCGACGCCTCCATTTCGGATGGTGAGGCTCTGTTCACGGTGGGCGCGTCGCAAACTCAACCCGCTGGTGGCTTTTATCAAGTCAGCCAGGGCAGCAACTTGGCCCTCATTGTGGGTGTCACCATCTCGTGCTTCATTGTGGCCGTGGCCATTGTGGGCGGTGCCGTGTACTTCCGCAAGCACCCTGACCAGTGGAGCGGATTTAAGGCCTGGGGTCCTCGCAAGTACAAGGCCCTGCGTCGCTCGCTGGCCTCTTCCGTCTAAAGCGCTGATTGCAGAGTGCTGGCGCCTGCGCTGCGCTCACGCGTGTACGGGGCTAGCACTCGAACACTGCTGACTGTTTTTGCGCTGTCAGAACACCTTTTTCTTGTCTCTTCTTTTTTTTTTCCCCCTCAGAATGATAAGCTCAGCCCACTTTTTTTTTGCCAGTTGTTATGTTTTGGGTGGGAGTAAACTCGGTGTGCCTTGCTGGTCGAGGTCTTCCCCGTTTGCGTTGGAGCTTGTACCTCTCAATTTATGTGTATTTTCTGGGATTGCGGTCTCGTAGTGACATCAATTTAAAAGAAGCAAAGTAGCATCAGCATCTTCACTACACAAAAAGAATGGAAATGCGAAACTGGGGACAGAAGCCTTGAATTTGATACACCACGTGCCTTTGAGCTAAACGGCAGCGTGTGTGAGCAATCAGCAAGTCGAGTGCGGGACTCACGGGTTGATCAGAAGACGAGGCCTGAGCATACTGATCGATAGCAGCCCAGCAAGATGATGATGATGATGGTGAGGATCAAGGCCAAATCAAGGATCCGACACAATCAACCAAATCCCATCGCCATCATCTGCAACTTCCTCATCAACAGCTGCACAAACCACAGAGACTTCACATTATACCTGTACATGAGGATCAAGTTTTCTTCATTTGTGAACTTGCTTGCTTCATCTTCCAACGCGAAGAAATGGCGCTCTCGCAGCCGCTCTGGCTGACCCTGCTGATGGCAATGGTGGCGCTGGCTGCCGGAGCCAGAGCGGAGGACGTTCCCACTCTGAGCACGCTTGATGGCAATGTTACCCTGGCCTTGGAGAGTGGCAAGGTGTGATCGGAGTCGTGCCGTGCCTGCTGTGTGACCGCGAATGTCATCGAGGCTCACCCACGGCAGCTGCGCGCATGAATTGCGATGGTCTGTCGCCATGCAGGTGTGCGTCAGGAGGCCGCTCTAGCACGCCAAAATATGATCAACTCGACCACTTTTGCCGCACTTGAGAATCGCGTGACCCAGCTCGAAGGTGATTCGGTCACGCAGACCGAACTGGCGGAGGACCTCGACCAGGTTTTGGTGGATGTCTCAGAGCTCCTGGACGAGGAGCTCGCCTACGTGTACGGCAACTTGTCCCTCATCAACTCATCCTTTGCCAATACCTCCTTCAACGCCAATAGCAACGCCATCCTCAGGTCAGACCTAGTCTGCTTGCTTGATCTCACCGCCACCATTCCTGGCATGCTGATGTCGGCCTCACTTCCAACCTTTGCGGCATGGCCTGCATTTGTTCTTGCAACGACCCAAGCTGCTTCTCTCAGGGCCTGGTCTACGATGGCGAGTTAGACCGTTGCGTGCCCACGTTTTTGCACCAAGGCTGCCACACCGGCGGCCCCAACCTTGCAAACACCGCCGCATCCGACTGCAGCGGCACTGGCTTTGACGACACCTGCACGGTGCGTGTTCTCGCAGTACTCTTTTGCATCAAGGTCGCAACTGCTCTCACCATCGCAAATCTACGCGCACAGATTACTTGTGTGCCGGGCTTTTCGGCCGGCACCACAATCGTGTACAGGTGCAACGCGCTGGCCGAGTGGGTCCCAACCACAGACCAGGCCCTGGCTTGTGTGGACATTGACGAGTGTGCGTCAGAGAATGCCTGTCCAGCACAGGCCACTTGCATCAACCTTCCCGGATCCTATGAATGTCGGTGCCCAGGCGGCTTTACCGTTGCTCCAACCGAGCAGAGTTGTTACGGCCTGTACCTCGAGTTTCTCGAACAGCCCGAGATGGTGCAGTTCCAGTTCACCGGCAACTGTCAAAAGCTTCAGCGCACAATTTCCAACACCATCCCCACCAATGCCGTGGCTGTTTTGGCCTCGCTCACATTCTACAATAGCCAACAAAACGACCACTGCGTCTACTCGCTGGGTCGCGACAACAATGTTGCGTGCTACAACTATGACAATGAGATTTACACAGTTGATGGCTACTTTGGGGACATCTTGCAAACGCAGAATGGTGATGCGGGTGGGGCCCAGCATCACGGCTATTCTGCTGGTACAACCATCATTCCCCTCAATGGACGTACCATCAAGGCATTGGTCGGCGGCATGTCCCGAGGATACAACTACCTCGCCGTGTACATCTATGGTTATCTCACGGGAGCTGCGCGCTCGACCCTCCTGGACGTGGGCGACATCCAGACCCTGAAGCGGCAATCTTCATCCGCCGAGCGCTTTGATTTCACACTCGATACCACGAACCTACCGCTCACCAACATTTCTGGTCTTCTGACCACGACCACCACCTATGTTTCGACTCAAGACGACCAATATGTTGTCGCATTCGGGCGTGCAAATGATCAATCCGGTGGCTTTACAGGCACTAACCCCTCCTCGTCTGCAACCCAGTTTTGGGGCGACGTGGTACAGACGCACGATGGTGATTGCTTCCGAGGCCACTGACACCTACGGCAAGAGCAAATTCATGGTCCGTTGATGAATTTGACCAAGAGCCTAGTCCTGATGGCCTGCAGCGAGAAATAGGGTGCCATGACCTGTGGGAGCTGGGCTTGCCTGATGATCCACCAGGCCACAAATGTGACTTGGACCTTCACTCCTCATTATGTTTTTTTTCTTCTTCTTTGTTAGATGACGGGTACGCTGGACGACGGAACCACAAACGTCAATGCTGGCTCAGGCTTTAACAATAACGGGGAGATGTACTTGTCCATGGCCGTCTTCGGTTACATCCCAGCGGTCCCTTACACCAACATTGTTTATTTGGACAGGTCCAAGTCGCGCAAACTCACCTTTGCGCCCACACAGCGTACGGTGCAAACCGGAATATCTGCCCCAACAGAGTCGGGTAGGTGGTCCCACTACGCGCTTGCTCAAACGAATTTTTAGCTCTGATCCTCGACCACCGCCCCAGCCCCTGTGCAGAATAAAGATAATATATCATGTGTAAATGAGCAAACGGGCTCTGTTTGCACTCATGTTGCTTTGCCCCACTTGACCTCCCCAATGATGACGCGCAGGCGTGCCAGCGGATGCCATCGCTTTGATCACGACCATACACACATTTGAACCGACCGACAGCTCAGACCACGTCGTCCACACCTTTGGGCGCGATGTGCGTGCCTGTTGAACGGAAACCTGCTACCTCACACGGGACAAGGGTCTTCTTGGCCCTTGCTGATAGCCTCGCATCACGGTATTCCCATTTTTCGACTCACCCCTCCCAACTGCTGGTCTGGTTTTTCTGCTCGCCACGTGTGACAGGCCACGCACACGATCAACGCCTGGGGAATCAACATTTATAATTTTGGAAGCCGTTTCAATGACGTCCAAATTACGCATGACGTACGACGCTCCTCCTGATGACCCTCGAAGAGTACTTAATGGAAGGGATCGGAAGAAGTGGGACATGTGATGGTCATCGACCAGCCCAGACGCTTTCCACACGGCGATGCACTCACGCGCCACACGCCTGGCTATGACAGGGTGGCTCTGGTGCCGATTCAGCCTACGGCATCTGGCACGGTACTCAAATCATCCCCCTCAAGCCAGATGGCACCTTTGATGCCGTCATGTGTGATGGCGAGTCTACGCCGGGCAAAGCACACGACATCACGATTGTCGTCGTGGGCTATATTGCCAGTCTGTAAATGCTGCAAACAAATGCCATTTGTTTGCCACTCATATTTTCTCGTGTTTGTCGGGGGCCTCGGTGCTCGGCCTTTCTGCTTCGAGGTGGCATGTACATGGACTCTACTTCGCTTGTGCGTGTTGGCTCATTCCCCTTGCCGCATCGCGTAATTAAAGACAAGGTCTTTCAAATTTGGTGTTTGATGTAGCAGACGGCCACTTTTATCCACAGTTTAAGTCATGTAGCAAACTCATTTCGCCCAAGGCCTGGGCCTCAAGAGTCTGTCAGAGAAGCAAGCAAAGCCGATCGCAGGTTCGCGGCTGAATGACAGTCGTGGCATGAGCATGACACGACATGCTCGCATCTGGCACGGAAGGCTTTGGCTGCGCAAATTCTCACCTTCAGCATTGGAGCGCTGTATTGCAGCCAACCGGGCATCCCGTATTGCTTGTCGATCCATCGGTTGTGAGGGCCTGCAGAAACGCCAATCCAAGCGTCGCGGAAGATGAGAGGCATTGGCTGGCTGCGCGTAGTAGGGCAACCGCGCTGCTTGCCAGGGGCTCTTGTATGCATGCACATCACACCTTGAACCTGCTGGAAACGTGCCTCTGACCACAAAGACGGTGTAGCCTGCAAAGCAGGATTCAAGACAAGCTGATGAGTGGGCGGGTGAAGGCCTACCGTGCGTTGGATGAACACAGGGCATTCAGGCCGACATACCATCCTGTTCCAACTGTTGCAAGTAAAGGCCCAGGTAGGTGTCCGACATGGGTTCTGGCTGCTCAAGTGTAGAGTCGAGATTCCACCACTGCGTTTCCCAGTCAAAGTGCGTACGCGACCACAAGGTCATGCCGATCCACTTTAGATCGCGAGACCAGGGACAAGCAAGTGTGCATCTCGATGAAAGAAGGCCATTCTGCGCACCTGGCCCGAAAGGCGGCGTAGGGTCAGCCAGTGGCTGTCAAAGTTGCAGATGAAACCCTGCTCTTGCCTGCATGATGTTGGCGACAGCTGGTCAGCCTTGCTCACACAATTTTTGTTACAAAACAATGATACAATGCAGTGCGATGGAGGGGAATTTGTAGACTCACTCGGGTTGGCGGACTGCTTCGACGGCCCGCTGGCTCTGGCGTGGGATGAGCTCAAGGCTCCAAACTTGGAGCGCTCGCTCAATCGTCATAGAGCTGAAAAAACCAGAGTCATCGCAGTTTTGCGACCCCTGTCAAGCAGATCAACCACTCGGGTGATGAGCTTTGTGTAGGGGGTCCGCCCACCATCTGTGCGCGCGTTGGTACATGGTGGAGGAAGGCGGTAGAGCAGTGCAGGTCTCACGCTAAAGGAGTTTAAAAGATCCCGTGAATCAAGCCCAGCCTCCGCGTAGCGACTGCGTTCTTCCTCGTCTAGCTGACAGGCAATTTCACCCAGATCACTGGCAGAAAAGAAGGAGCCTTGGAGCAGCGAGTTCTAATACGGCGCAGCGTGAGCATGGACAGCGCAAAGCGAGATCTCAGCTCGGAAGACATGACGTGTCTGCGGCTTACCAGAGCATGCTGCGCGCATAATGCGCTCTCCTGTCGCTCGTGGTACACCATGCTACGACTTCCACAATCCCATTCACAGCCACCCGTCACCCGTCACCCGTCACCACCACCACTGCGGCCTTTTCGTGGCCAGCCCTGAGTGCTCAGCCTGGAGCTCGTTTGATTCAAAGACAGGCAGCCAGCACGACAGCGACACCACAGGCAACTACATCAACACCGACGCGCTCTTCACAAACTCACCACTACTCAACCTTGCACACTATACTAATCCCAAAAGTCTCTTCACAAACCAAAGCAAACGCTCTGTTAAAAGCAGCCAGCTCGCAGCCAGATATTTTGTCTGACATCTCGGTGTCATCCTTATCTGACATATTTATCTGACATATCACACGACACACTCACACACACAACACCGTTTGAACTGATGCAAGTGACCATTTTACAACTGCTAGCTGCTGCTGCTGCTTCGCTTCGACGGTGAGGTGCCAATAGGGCAGTCGGGTCTCCAGGCGGGGTCTTGGAAGGGGAAGGGTGATGAGATACTGTGCTGTGGTTTGTTGCAAATGCGGTGTGGGGATGGGAGATGAATGGTCAGCCATCTGTGCTGTTGATGCGGGGTGGGGTGGGATTTCGAGTCCTGACTGTCGGGAGGATTTGCTCAACGCGAGTGAGCACGGGCCACGTGCGCAAGGTTCCAACCAAACAACTCCCCGCGCGGGATCAGCGATTTAGCCGCAGCCTTCAAGATGGAACGATCGTTGAGGCTGCCTTTCGACTGAATGCTCTGCCTCATGCCGTGCCACGTGTCTTTTTTTTTCAAAACCTTCTCGACTGACTTGCAGAACGTTACCTCCCTCTGACCAGAAAGTCACCATGCCTGCCTCGGGTGACATCGTGACCATCAGCTTTGCTGACCTTCAGAGTGATGCCGACCTGAGCGCTCAAAGTAGGTGGTCCCCCACACATGGCCTAAGGTACCTTGTTCAGAGCCTTAAGCGGGAGTGCCAACCCTTTCGCGCTCTCACCCGCCTCTGCGCGTGCTGGTGTGCTTCAATCGACCATCTGTCAGTTGAAACGGGCTACGGAGAGGATGGCCTGGGTATCGTTGCAGTGACAGGGGTGCCAGAGTTGGCTAACCTTCGCCGCCGTGCCTTGCAGCAAGCCCACAAGCTCGGTCAACTGACCAAGGAACAGCTGGCCCAGTACGAGGTGCCCCCGTTCTTCCAACGCGGCTGGTCCTGCGGTCAGGAGAAGATGAAGGATGGCAAGCCCGACTTCAACAAGGGCTCCTTCTACTTCAACCCCGTGCGCGATAGCTTTGAAGACGTGCCTACCGAAAAGATTGAGAAATACCCCACCTTCTATGGCAACAACGTCTGGCCCGCAGACACTCTAGGCGCAGCTTTTGCGGACGACGTCCTTGCCTGTGCTCGCCTCATGATCAAGGTGGGTAGCCTTGTTGGTAAGCATTGCGACGCTTTTGTTCAACGCCGTCTGCCCAAGGCCGACTCCGTCGTACAGACCACTGTTGAAACTTCCGAGCACCACGCCGCCCGTCTCCTGCATTACTTTGCCACCAAAGCCCCGACCCCTGCGAGCTCCGCCCCCGCTGACGACAGCGATGACAGCTGGTGTGGTTGGCACAATGACCATTGCACCCTGACTGGCCTCCTCCCAGCCCTCTACATTGACGCCGCCTCCGGCGAACCCGTGGCCAACCCTGACCCCAAGGCTGGCCTCTATATCAAAAATCGCAAGGGTGATGTTGTCAAAGCAGCCCCACCAGCAGATGCCCTCCTCTTTCAGATTGGCGAGACGGCCCAGATCATGAGCGGCGGCTTGCTCAAGGCCACACCACACATGGTTCAGGCCGTGAACGTTCCCAATGTTGCTCGCTGCACCCTCGCCGTCTTCATGGAACCTGGACACGACTATACCATGAACATGCCTCAGGGCAGTGACCAAGCGATGGCACTGGCCTGCCCGAACCTACCCCCGGGTGTGCCCCCGCTTGCAAAGCGGTGGGAGTCAGCCATCTCGTTTGGAGATTTTGGCAACCGCACCTTTGCCGAATACTACAAAGACTAGACGACCACATGCTCCGCCGCTGCCAGACACGTGACTTTGGCACCTGATCATTCGATGGTGAAGAAGCTGGCGTTGCCCCTGTTCTGCAACACACGTCTGCTGCCACATTGCTAGTGTCTTTTTAGTTTTTGTTTTGTTTCTGTTTCTCCATCATGCGAAGCGAGGTGGTGCGGATAAATTTAGCTCTTGGCGCCGCTGACGGGCTGATGAGTGTGAAGATGTGACCTATGCTTCAATCATCGCAAGTTTGTTTTTTTTTTCTTGCAGTGTGGCACGCTTTGCAATCGAAGAAGCTTGATCATCCAAATTTTCATAGCATCGGAGGTTTGAAGGTTTAATTTGGTCTCTCAGAGTAATTGGTGCAAGGTATGCGTGCCCGCCGATGGCACCATCCCACCTTTTTTTCCATTAAGGCCGAGTGGCCACCACCAAAAGGTCAGTTAAAATGTAAAAAGGTTTGTACTGGTCACCTTCGCACAGATACGGTGCGCGTGAGATGGATTTGACCGTGAAACCTGCCGGTGTAAGTACTAAATTGATCAGCTTGCTGGCCTCGGCCTCGTATGTCGAGTCGCGAATTCCAAGGTTTTCTGTTGGCATGGTCCAGCCAGCTGTTGGTGGTGTTGCCGCAGACGAAGCAAAGCGAATGAGAACGACAGGGAGGAGCTGGCATGCAAAGCCTTCCAACTGTTTCCCTGCCCCCCGGATGGTGGCGCTCTCATCGACTTGTAAGCGAGGATCTTGATGGCGGAACGAAGCGGACCACTAACAGCCTCCATCGACGAAGGGACGGTAAGGAAGGGCCAGCGCCAACAGCAGCTGGCCTCCGGGTCGTAGTTTCTTGTACATATCCTGAAGCAACGTCTTGGGGCGGTCGCATCTATGGGATAATCATAACACGGTCAATGGCGCAGGATGACATGAAACCGCATATGACCGTGTGCAGCTGTGCCTACCGATCAAGCACGTTCAGGCATGCGATGACATCATAGAGCTGATCGCCCGCCATCCAGCTGGCCTCATCGTGAACGCGCAGATAGCCTCGACGACTGAGTCGCCATCGCATCACCCTGTTGGTCTCGGTCGTCTCCACCTGGTCGAAGAGCGGTCGAAGCTGTTCCGTGACGCCTAGGTAATCCGCCCAGATATCCGTGACACAGTATGAATGTTGAGCCCCTGTGCGACATCAAAGGCGCTGGCCAGCAGACAGCCCACGAAGCACATCTCATCAAACCTACCGCCATCTCCCGCCCCAATATCCAGCAGGGCACCACCTGCTCAAGTCCGTTCAGGGTACATAGGGGTTGAATTCGTTAGCGCAAGCATTGGACAATTTCGTCACGAAGAGACGAAGAGCAAGCGACAGCAGAAACGTGTGCACTGCTGCACAGGTTTCACAACAGGTGTGCGTACTTTGGCCCTCCTCTCGCCCCAACAATTGAGCAAATTGCGCCGTCGATGCAATGAACATATGCCCTGTGCAATGATCAGCATCCCGCAGTTGAGTATATATACTTCGGGCGGATCGTCTTGATGATGGTAGCTCGAGCTCACCGCGATCGAGAAGGCCATTCAGAGTTGTGGTGCTGACAAATGGCTTGAGCAGCACTGTGCTGCACCCATCCATCAGAGTAGGCCAGACGGCAGCAAAGCGCTGGTCACACTGCTGGAGGAAGGCTTCTGTCCCCGTATCACGCTCCAGCTCCACGACCAGCGATCGATGCTCGGGCGCCAAGTCCCGGTGGTAGAAGATGTAGTCAAAAGAAAATGGTTTCTGCAGAGTGTCCGACGCGCCGCCCACTGCCATGATGAAGGACAGCAGTACGAGCCAAAGCCCACGCCGAGTCGGAACGGACATGGACCAGCAGGGGGCGATTTTTGAACTGGTCCCCTCTCTTCCACACCGCCTTACCCGCTGTGCCCATGCTCCCACGCGCAAGACACCAGCCCATCCCATTCCTGTGCGATAGGACTTTACCGGTGTGGCGCTCATGGCTGCTAGCTGCCGTTGCCATTGACGCCGCCGTATAAACTTGGCATAGTCCGGAACCGCCTCCTCTGCCATCTTCGTCAACCCTTGAAAGACTAAAAAAAACTGAACTTCCAGTGTGTGTGCTCATGTTAATTTTTGATGATTTTGATGTAATTTTCGCACATTTTCTGACCGTTTTGAAGTACGCCCGGATGGGAACAGATGCCGTGCCTTGCTGACGTTGGCAATGGGACCAGCTGGCTATTGAAAGGGCACTTCTCTTCTTTTCACAAAGGCAGACGAGCCGTTGTTGGTCTTGATTCACATGTCAATTCAATTCAACTGGTGGGTACTGAAAGCTTGTCAAGAACCTTAATTTGATAATATGATAGGTGGAGGAGTGAAATGCTTAAAGGGAAGTCTCTTAGTTTGTATGTCGTCTGTCAGTCTCGAAGGCACACACAAGAACGCAATAACAGTCGCGCCGAGGGCGGGTTTACAAAGGCGTACTCATCTCTAGCACAATTTCGGCAAAGCTCGGTCGTAACTCGGGCTCTTGGGCCCAGCACAATGTCATGGTCGAGCGCCACGACGCTGGCCAACTCTCATCCATGGGCAATCGATGCCCATCGGCCAAACAGGCTGCGAGGTTGGACAAGTAGGGCCCTCGAAACGTGACACCCTCCGCTGCCTCACGATGGGCAAGCAGATCCGGAATACGATGCGCACTCATCTCCCACATCAGCACCGCAAAGCTCCACACATCAGCAAAGCGATCATACGTTTTGCTACCCTCCAAGACCTCGGGTGCCGCATAGAGAGGCGTGCCCACCATCACAGTCTTATCCAATGAGGCGTTGGGCGTGCTGATGGGACTGGAGCTCGTTGAGAAGTCACGCCCTGAGGTCGATGCAAATTTCTGCTGATATCTCTGAAAGCAATACTTCATGCTGCCAAAGTCATTCACCTTGCCACGCCAGTCTCGTGTTACCAACACATTGCCTGCAACAAAACAAACCCGGACGAAGCAGCGCGATGAAAAAAACAAAACCCAAAAACAAAACAAAAACAAGCGGCACAAGGTACGACCCCGTGCGCTTGCATCACTTGGCAGGCTACCATCACTAGTGTAGCCACAAGAAGCGACGAACCGGGCTTTAAGTCGCGATGCATGCTCTTCATCTCCTCGTGAACATAACGCATGCCGCGTGCCACGTCGAGTGCAAGTGAGCAGCGGCGTGGCCAATCAAAGAGCTCTGGTGTCTCACGACACAGACGATCCAGAGAACCGAGTTCAACAAATTCAAGGACCAGGGCTGGCCGGTCATCCATGTAGGCAAATCCAAAAAAGTGCACCAGGCAGGGATGCGAGGCCCGCATGACAAAGTCAACCTCACGCTGAAACATGGCACGTTCATCAGTCTGCATCGGACCGACGCGTGCCTTAGCCACCTTGACAGCGACCACAAAGCTGTTCCATTGGCCTTGATAGACATCACCAAAGGCCCCCTCATAGCCCACGTCAATCCGCCGTCCAAGGATAATGTCCTCTGCGTCGATATGCCACCCCTGCTTGAGGGCAATGACGTCATCCTCTGCATCAGCCAGTAGTCGCTCGCGCAGCTCCAGTTCCTCGCGCATGCCGAACAGCCAGTGAATGGCGCGCCAGATGCCGTAGCCCAAAGCAACGGCCAGCATTAGGGTGAAGACAACAAAGAGGGCAATGCCCAGGCTCGTGTCAAAGATTGAAGCCGGGCGCTCCTGAAGAAGGCACAAGCCATTATCATGTCTGACATAGCCCGGGCTACAGGTACACGTGTCTGTCAATCACAAAAACCAGACACGCTCTCAGTGAGATGATGCCCTTGATGCACTTGGCAAGGGGTGTGCTGACTGCGTGTGGGCGAAAATCAGCCGGGATCAAGCAAAATCAACGTACAGCCAAGCATCGGTTGCTGTAAGTATGTCGTCTGGGAACGCGGCTGAGCGTAGTGAAAGGCTTGCAGAATCACCTTCACCTAAGGTGAGCTCGAGCAACAGGAGCGATGCTGAGGTGCTTATGATACGCACAATATACCAAAGAACAAGCAAAAGACAAAAGACCAAAACAAACAAACAAACAAACCCGGAAGCAAAGTTGAGTAGGCATGCAGATGGCTGGTACGTACCTCGTGAAGACATAAGAGCGGCAGATCATGGAGCTGCACAACAGCAAAAGGCTTGTTATCCACACTGTTGTCCGTCAGCATAATCTCAACCGATTGCAAGGCAGCTTGCATAAAGCTCACGTTGTTCAACCACGCGTTTTTTGAGAGATCTAGGATGTTGAGGACCAGAGCACAGCCCGTGATAAAGTCTGCGAGGCCCTCGTCTGCAGCTTGCTCAGACAGATCATTGGCGATGATAGCTGTCAAATTGGGCATAGATCGGCAAATATCGCCGCTTTTCAACAACGAGCGCGTTGAACTCAGATCCACAAACTGCAGCTGTTTTGAGCCCATTAAAAAGTCCGTGTCCACCTCAAGCTCGCGATTGCCAGAGAGGTTGAGAAAGAAGAGCTGAGGAAAATGATTCAAGCTGACAGCTGGAAGACTGGTGATAGAATTGTTGCTGACATCGACCTTGGAGATGGTCAAGGGCAATGGCGGTGCTTCGGTGAGTTGCAGCCCGGACAGGCTGAGGAATTGCAGGTTGCTTGCTATTAGGGAGCCACGCAGTCGTACGGCGCGATCCGAAGCTAACAGGAAGGAGAGCAAGCTTGAACAAGACGCAAGCCAGTTCAAGTCAAAGTCTCCACCACGGTTCCATTGGATGGAAAGTGTGGTCAGCTGTGACGCGGTGTTGAATGTGCTCGCTTCGAGGTCCATGACGGGGTTGTTTCGATAAAGCAGCGTCTCTAAGCGACTCAGGGCTTGGACTAGCGAGGCTGGCATAGCAGTCAGCTGGTTGTTCATGGCGGCGAGGGTGGTGAGGTTGAAGCAACGCTCCAGGCCCACGCCGTCAAGTGTCTGTAGCGCATTGTCATCGATCCAAAGTTCGATCAGACGGCAGGGCTGCGGGGTGGGCGGTACAGCTGTTAGCGCGTTGTGACTGAGGATCAGCTCGCGAAGCTCGCTACTCTTTGCAAACAGCGCCGAGTCGATGCTTGCCAGCGCGTTGGAGGATCCATTCAACATTTGTAGAGCTGGTAAATTCAGAGCAACCAGTTCCGTCACAGCGTTCAGGGCAAAGGCAAGGGTGCTCAAGCGTGGGAGGCTTGGCAACGCGAGAGTGGTGAGCACATTGGCCGTCAGGTCCAGCTCACGCAAAGCGGTGAGTTGTGCCAGCTCTGGCAGGGACTGTAGCGCCATGTTCGCAAGCGATAGCCGCTCAAGACGAGTCAAGCTACGTAGCAGCCCAGCCTCGCGCACCACATTGGCATTCGTGCCGTCTAGGTACAATGTAAGTAACTGGTGGCAGTTGCTTAGGTCAGCCGTCGTGAGTGAAGGGAGTGGCCGATTCAGACCCAGATCAAGGCTTGTCAATGACGCCCCGTTAACACAGACGGGGCTGCTGACGGATTTGATGGCATTGACACGACAGCTTGCGGTTTGGAGCGTAGGGTGTAGCGGCCCGAGGGTGGAGAGTCGATTGTTGTTCAGGAACACATGCTTCAAGTTCGCCCCCAAACTGGGCCAATCCGTCAGGCGGTTGTGTCCTAGGTCCACGAAAGTCAGCTGCGTCATCGAGCTCAAGAATGAGCCAGGCAGCGTGGTCAGACGGTTATTGGCCAGCGTCAAATTCACCAGGGCGGGCGCAGCACGTAAGGCGGAAGCGGACACCGAGACAATGTTGTTACTGCTGAGGTTGAGCTCGATCAGGCTTGGCGCCTGGATCAGCAGGTCCGTGTCCAGCGATGGCAGAGCACATTGCAACAGGCGCAGACTGCGTAGGTTGGGAGCAGAGAGTCGCAGTTTGGTGGCAGCGAGCAGGCTGTCTTCGATATGAAGTTCAACCAGGTTGGGCAATTGAGCCAAGAGATCTGGCAGATGGCGGTTGTCCACGGTCGAGAGGTTGTGGAGCGTGAGGTGAGTCACAGCTTCAGAAATGTAGGCGGGCAGTACAAAATCACTCTGCACCACGGTGACATTGGGCAAGGCTGTCCACAGGGACGCCCAGTCACTGCTTTTGCTAAAATCAACACGGTACAAATTGAGGCGACTGGCTTTGCGTGATGTGAAGTTGCCGAGCGTTACAGCTGCCGAGAGGGGCGCGGTACTCGTCCCGACAAAAGCGATTGCTTCAACGCAGTTATCAAAATACTGCTGGGTAGCCGAGTCTTGGGCCGTACTCGCATGGCCAGCACCGTCGTCCGTGAGCGGTTGGAGACTCTCCGTGTCGAGCGTGCACGCCATGCTCGTGGGGCGCAGCGTGCAATGACGCACCAAGGCCTGCTGGGCCAATGCTGTACAATCACCCATCGCACAGCCCCAAAGAGCAACCATGCCCACCATCCAAAGCAGCATCCCGCGCCGCGCGACCGGCAGCCCCGGCGGCGCGACGTGCATTGCAAGCACCATGTTCCTCCAACTCTAAACTCTGACGCCGCCAACTCGTCATTAACACACACACACCAAAAAGAAGAAAAAAAAAATGAAAAAAAATTAATTTTTAATGTCGTGGTGTGTGAATTTCGGAATTTCATCACATGAACATCTGAGATGGATAATGCCTTTCTATGAACTGTTCAGACCGTGTATACGAGGCGACGTCTGTGATCCGCGCGAGCCTCACAGCATGTCCCCGGTTCCTTAGTCTTGGGATGCCATTATTGACCCTGAATTGCCCGTTATTCGGCTGGATCAAACTGACGATTGGTGAAATTTAAGATTCAAGCGTGCACACTTGAATTTCCGCCCACGTGTTAATGTGGTGACCACCATCATCAGCAGATGCAGCTGGCGGCACCATGGGCATGGGCTGTTCCTTCGTCGAGTCATGCATAATCCCTTTCAAGTGTCTTCAGAGATGAACATCTGTCTCCTTTTGTTTGAAGAATGGGCACAGCCACTGGCTGGCGTGGACGGGTTGCACAAGCAAGTATCTTGTGCAAGGATTGATTGGAGTCTTGAGTCTCTTATCAAATCATTGGCTTTGGGGTTGAGCAGATAAAAAGTCGTACAGGACCCTCGTCCTTCCAGCGCACAAGCTGGCTGCCACTCAGTGCCAAGCCCAGGCTGTGCGCACGCTGATCATACAGAAGATCACACCTAAATGACAAGTCAGCGGAAACGCCTCCTTCTGGCCATCTTTGGGCCAATCAGGTTCTACTTGCGCATGCGCTGGGCAAGGCCGTGCAAATTCTCAATGAGGCGGGGCATGAGGGCAGATTCCGAAGACACCATCTGATTGCGAAAGTCGTAAATGGCTTGCTCATCGTCCAATTCGAGCCGAAAGCGCTCGCGGACCTACGACACGCAAGCCCAGAGAAGTTAGAGAAGCATGTATGTTTGGCACACACAAGTGCAGTCTCTGCTTCTGGTGAAACAATGCCGCACAAGGCAAAAAAGGGCAAAGGCGAGTGTGAGTTGATGGAGCCAACCTTGGCAACCGCTCGGTCACGCTCGATGGCAATATCCTGAATGGTGCTGTCCACCATAAGCGCAAAGAGGTTGAGGATCAGGTTGGCATGCTTTCGCAGAATAAGGTAGCCCATGTAGCAGTGTTGTCTGAGAAGAATGGTAGCACGTCAAGGTTCGCGATCCAGCGTAAGGCAGTCGCACGCGCAGAGCCAAGCATTGGTGAGAGGCAGAGGCAGGATCAAGTACTCAAACAGAAGCTGGGCAAGAAAAAAAAAAAAAAAAACCAAACAGGGTCATCCGGGCGGAACAAGCTTTTCGTACCGGAAGACGCCTGTCTCTTCGCCGTCCGGGCCTCCCATGGCATCAACCATTTCCTACAGAGTCGGCAAGAACGTGAAGCGGCTGCGTCCGTGTATTGACGATGTACACGAGCAGGCGCCATCTCTCAAAGGGTAAAAGAAGCCCACACTTGAAGCAAAATGGGGGTAGAAGGCAGAAAGCAATCAATGATACCTTTGTGATCTTCATAGGCGGTGGCATGGGTTTGGGGTCTCGGCCCAAAATGAAGCCATAGTCCACATGGATCAGATGACCCTCTGAGGTGATCATCAAATTATCGAGATGTCGGTCACCAACGCCCAACAAATATGTAACCACGCAGTAGCCTAAGAATACCATCCCCCACGTCATCAGGTCGTGGCGAGTCGAGCATTGGCAGCGGCCGCCACGCGAAGAGGCGCCCAAATTGCAGTTTTACACAAGCAAAGGTGCGGACCCACCGGCACAACTGCGAACGTAGTTGTCCATGGCTTGACGAGAAATGCCAAGCGGACCCTTGGGGTCAGGATGCTGCTTTTGCAAGTATTTCTACGTTCAAGGTCCCGGCAAAACCATCATCAGGTCAGACGCTTGGATCCGACACCCGCAGACCCGCCGCGAATTTTGGATAAGTCAGACGCTGCATTGCTACCCAACCTTGATACTGCGGTCATTGGACAGAACGCTTGCCACTGCCTCAGCATTGACTCTTTGGAGCATGCCAATCTCGCTGTTGGCAGCTAGGCACTTGTAGGGCACGAGTCGCAGGTCAAGATTCTCCTGCTTGAGCAAACGGTCCATCAACTGAATAACCTGAAGCACAAGTTGATCCTGAGGAGTGGGGTCGGGTCACAGCAATCCATCAGCCCAGTGAGATGAGCCAGAGCACAGACACCACCGGCGGCGGGCTTTGCTTTGTAGATTGAACTGGCTGCATGGTGACATACCTGGCGCAAGTCATCACCGTTCTTGAAGATGATGCCATAGTCACCCATGGACGTCTCAAGCGTCAAGCCCAGGGGCTGCAGAGCACTCTATAAACGCGTCAGCAAGGCCAAACGCGCGCCCACGAGGTGAGCTAGTCTAGCTACAGCTTATGGATCGCAAGAGAATTGAATCATGGCAGTTTGGGCGCTAAGACCTTGAAGATTCTGGCAGATCTGGCGTTGATACTCTTGATGCGGACGCCTAGTCAGACACACGGGTCAGTCAAGATCAGCAGGCTTGGTCTGATTCCCCTGCACTGCTTTGTGTGCTTACTAGGGTCCATAGGAAAGGGAAGGTCGTGAAGTTGTTGCCATTTGGGACTGCTCAAGATGCGCTGCAGCTCGTCAACCTACATCGTTGGATGCCAAGCAGGTTAACGGGCACTGGAGCATGGAATGACAGAAGGCAGCTTCAACTTGAGATGAACCTACCTTCTTTGGGCGATCTAGCTTCATTCCCTTGAGCTCAGCTGAGAGATCCTCCAGGTCTGACCAACAAGCCAGCGCATGCGACGGGCCGTGAACACGCCATGGCAAACAACCCCACAAAAACTTCGCAACAGCACGAAAACATGAAAATGATGATGGGGTGACCAGCAAGGCAAGATGTCGTCATGTACCAGCAAAAAACTGTGCCCCCGACATGATTTCAGACCAGATGACGGGCGCGCGTTGGGCAATATAGCTGTGACGTAGCCCAAGTTGCGACATTAGCCAAAGCCGCTGGGGATACACTTTTGTCGGTACAGCCAGGCAGCAGGAGCAGCTCTGAGCGACCAAACGTACGCTTGGTAGTTGTCGGAGAAAACCTGATAAATGGCAGCGTAGCTGGAGACGGTGTCAAAGGCCTCGACCCGCAAGAACCAGTACAGCTGCGTGGCCAAGGCCGCATTGCTACTGGCTCGCCAGGCCAAGAACTCGAAGAGCGTATCAGGAGCTGAGCAGGCGGTCAAGCATCACAACGTTGAACAAGGGCGAAGCATGAGAGATGAAGGGTGGGTCAGCTCTTGTAAAAGAAAACACATTCATAATAGACTCAACAAGCGAAGGGCGGGCGCTCCGGACCGGGTTCGGCAAGTTCAGGAGGTACGGCGTTGTCGTTGCTGGTACCAGGCTGCAATGCACCTGAAGAGCCATCCCCTGCGGTTGGGGGGTTGGCTTTGGCGCGGCTACTAATGCTGGCCGGCCCGCTGATGCGGGTGTCTTCTGGATCATACTTGAGTGCCTGCACAAGCTGAAGGAGATACAAAGATAACTCTTCATTGCTTGCCTGGTCAAAGACGCACCAAAGAAAAAAAAAAAAAATGAGCGAAAAGAGATGCGGAAGCATCGGGTCAAGGCATGTGAGCTGGCTGGTGTTTCAAATGTCAAGTGGTCACCGAAGTGTACCTCATGGAGCCGTTTAACAGCATACGCGCGGGGAATCGGGGAGCGAAAGTCCTTGCCCAAGAGCTCAAGAGCCGTGGCAACATCAATCCGTGCCCACGTGTCGAGAAGCTCTGCCACGTTTTCCGTATCCTCCTGGCAGACATGGAGCAGGCCCCGATGAGCTTTAAGTCTCTTGTGGCCGAGGGAATGAAGGCAAAAGATGCATAACGGACCTTGGTCTGCCAATTGATGGACTTGAGAACTTTGGACAGAGCTGTGCCGTTGCGGCTGAGGTAGTAGCGAAAGCGCCTAAGCACATCGTACGACAAATAAAAGCCTCGTGAGCCAGAAGAAGACGAGCAATGACTCGCTTGCAGCTCTACCGTTGCTCTATCAAAGTCGGTGACGCATCTCGAGCGACGACGAACCCACCAAAGCAAACCCTTCTCTTCGCCACTAAGCTCATCCGTGGGTGACTTCATGATCATTTCTGCAAGGCGATCTCGGGCTGCCGGGTTGGGTTTGTCGTTGCGCTCATACACGTGCTGCTCACTTGATCCCATCTGGAGGTGGTGCATTCCTTCAACCTAGCAGTTGGGTGCAGACAAAAGCGGAAAACCATGAGCAAGGGCGGGTTTGACAGGGCTGGACAAGCCAACGCGATGGGGATGTCAAGATTTTGGTTTTTTTTTAAAAAAAAAAAAAACTAAAAAAAGGAGGCCCGAGGCAGCGTACGAGATTGGAATCTTCGTAAATTTCAGGATCCAAGGCTTTGAACTGTGGCTCTGTGGCAGATGGTTGGATCAAACGTGTGAGAACAAGGACCGCAATGCGTGATATGTAACGAGTGGTGTGAGACGTGTGTGTGGTGAGCAGTGAGGGTCGCCGGGCAAGCTACGGAGTTCACGCTTGGGAACCAACCTTTCACAAAGTTGGAAGTGCGGTCAGCAAAGACGATATTCTTGCGAAACCAGGCAAAGGACACATCCAAGAAGAGCGTGTGGGGTGATTCGGCCTGGGCCAGCTGATGATTTCACAACATGCGAGGTCACGGATAGGAAGGGTATTTCAACGGCAGCAAATGTGTGTGTCAGTGAGACCGACGACTTGTCACAGGATGTGAGTTGCAGGATTGCATCTTTGTGGTCGTTGGCGCACCGTGAGCATCTTGTCGAGTTGAATGCCCATCAGCTCATCGAGCCACGGGACTTGGGGGAGGAAGCCTTGCCAGTAGTCTTGCAAGCGCTGCATTGATGGGCCAGAAGCAAGCACCCGCGCAAACAGCAAATCGTCAAGGAATAATGCGCTGGACAGGCTGCCGTCGAGGGCCACGGGTCATGATCGATATGAGGCAAGAGTATGGCAGGCACGTCTTCTCACCCTTTGAAGGGCTTGCAGTGGGGTTCCCTCACGACTTGAATCGCCATTGGTCAGTTCGGGGCCGATCGGGGATTGCTGTTGCTCGAGGCGCAGTGTTACCTTGCCCATGCGCAGGAGGCTCTTGTCATCAAACAGGCGAAGAATGGCACCTCCGAGATAGTGGATGTCACCCGGGCCAGAGAGCTCGTACACGTTGAGAACGAGCGTGGCATCCAGGGTTAGATCAGCCACAGTCAGGGGCAAGGCGATGGTTTCTAAAAGGGTTGTGCACAACGAGATTGAGCCGCGCGTCGCTGTGACAATGTCATCTAGGCAGGACTCGCGTGCGGCAAGTAGACAAGCGGCCCTGGGGTCAAAGGGCGGGGCATACCGTCCCACACCGGGTCGTCGGTAAAAGTGCGATAGGAAGTCGTGACCGGCATGCAGAGGGGTTCATCGCCCCCAAAAAGATAGGCCTCAACCACGGGGTCTGTGAATCCGATGATAACACGCCAAGAGACAGGTGAGCGGTCCGGGCAGAAGCTGGCCCGGCGGCTGAGCAGTACGAGGGCTGGGGCCGGACCGTTGAAGGACTTGGCAGCGAGCTGAAACGCTTGGGCAGCATCGTTCAGGATGGGATCGTTGCCTGGATCGCGAATTCCGTAGAGGGATTTGCTGCGCGCACAAGCCAGAGACAGTGAGGAGCTTTGCTATCGTAGATGTGGAGCAAGAGGTTGATGCAAACATGATGGGAGCATACATCTTGAAGCGGAAGACTTCATGGGTCAAGTCACAGGAGCAAACAAACTGTAGGGCATCAGCTCCACGCGAGGCAGGTGCTACGGGCTGGCGCGTGGCCATGGCGTGTTTCAAGGCTAGCTTGAAGAGCCGTGGGCATCCAGCAACGGCGAATCACGAGGACGGCACGACCGGACTGGGTCGAATCGCAACGTCCCCGCGCAGCGATTTCCCCTCGACGGCCTACAGCTGCGCACCACTCAAACACGCATGTATACTCTACTGTCCCAGCAGACGATGATGCAGAAGCCCAAATTGTCGTCGGAGAGCAGGAAGCAAGGGGGGGAGGAAGGAGGAGGAAGCAAGGGGGAGGAAGGAGGAGGAGGAACGAGTCGCGGGCGTCGTGCTGTTGTGCGGTGACGCGACCGTCGTACGGCAGCCCCGACACCAGTGATGAGGCTTTCCGTTCGCTCGGAAAAGGGATGTTGTGAATTGCTATTGACAACATATATACAGAAAAAAACAACACATGTAGATGTATAGGCGTGCCAACTTTGGCGCAGGAATGGCAGCGCCTGTACCTGATGGCCGCTTGCGCTGGTGGTCTGCAGACCGGGGGGACTGCCCTCGGTGAAACTCAAGAGGCGGTGTGGTTTTGCTCTGCTCGGCGGGCACGTCTTATCATACGGCCGCGACCAGCGCTTGTGATCGATCTCTGGCACCAGCTCCGCATCATAAATCCATCGCTGCCACCGCTGCACTTTGGACAAACACCAACCTCCCAAACCCCCTCATCATCTACATCAACCTTATCTGACAATAACGTATACGTACTAGCATATATGAAACGACCTTCAACAAGTCTGAAAAACACTACATGTGGTGATTTGTTGCCCCGCGTGCCCTCCCTCTCTCCCTCTCTCTCTCTCTCTCTCTCACTCTCTCTCTCTCAGATTTCGAGCTCTGGGCTGGAAGCGGAGTTGATCTTCACCTGAGCCCTGGCAGTCAATGTGTGTGGTACGTCGAATCGCGTGTTCGTGTTCGGTGGCATGTGTGAGGGGCCTGGTGTGTGAGTGTGGATGTGCCTTCAATCAGGGAAGACGGGCTGGGGGGAATGCGTTCTGTGTGTGTGTGTGGGTGGGTAAGGGTGATCATCACGCGTCCGCCGCTCGTCACCACCTTCGTAACGGGGTGTTGTGCTCGATCAAGACAAGACGTGGTCTCCGTCTTCTCCCGCCCCCTTTTTGCGTGCATTTGGCTCATTGTGCATATGCTGCATCCCCCCCCCCCCCCCTGCCGCGCGCCTCCTGACGTTACAGCAACAATTGTTCTGATTCATAGCATCATCCCTTTGAGCTTGTGAGACCCTTGACCCTTGCCCTTGCGTGCTCGACTTGCCCATCCACTTGCCTCACTCCATGCAGCACCTAGCTTGGGCGCCGTACGGCACAGCCCACTAGGATGAGCTCCTGGTCAACTTGGCCTTTTTTTCTGCAGCTTTTTGTAGTTTGGGTGGCGTACAATGGCATCCAGGTTGCCCTGCAGGCTGCCTTTGGTCGCCGTTACCGCTCCTTTCTTGAGGGCTGTGGCCTTAGCCTCGGGTCCTTTGGCTTTCGCTGGCATACTTCTCGGGCCGATCGCCTAGCCGTCTTCATCTCACGATGGGGCGTCAACTTTTGGCGCCATTGGTTCGCGGTGGGCGGTCATGTCAGCGTGGCCATTATGGTTCTTGCCATTCTCCTCGTCTTCTATAACCTCGGCTCTCTGCTGATCGCTGTTCTCCACGCGGCCCTCGTTCAGTCGACTCGTGGCTTTTCTCGCCGTCTCAGCGAAGTCGACCCTAACAATTACAGCGTCACCGGCAGCTCCGCGGGAGCACCGTCCACCGCACATCACCCGCCGAGCACAGAGGGGCTGGGGCATGAGCCAGTCATGATGGTCGTCCCCCTTATTCCCGGCGTCAACCTGCCCGTGAGCCATTTGGGCTACCTCATCGTTGCCGTGTTTATCAACGCCGTCCTTCACGAAATCGGTCACGCCGTGGCGGCGCGCTGTCAGGCCGTTTTTGTGCGCAGTGGCGGCGCCTTCTTCACCGTGGTCTATCCGGGAGCCTATGTCGAGCTCGACACGGAGCACCTTCAAAACTGCACCCCATTTCAACAGCTTCAAATTGCCGGCGCAGGCATATGGCACAACGTGATCCTCACACTCAGTGCCGCGCTCTTACTCATCATCTTTCCTGGTTCGTTGGCCTGACTTTCTGAGCCTCCTTACTCATACTCGCGGGCAGCTTTCACCTTTCTTCTCATGGCCGTGTCATCTTCTTTGGCCCATGTTTCTGCGTGCAGTGGTGATGAGCTGTTGCTACTCCCACCACAATGGAGTGGCCGTCATTTCCGTGCATCCACAGTCTCCGCTCTATGGCAGCGTCAGACCGGGTGACGTACTTCTTCGTGTTGGTGCGTGTTTCCTTGGCATCCCCGTTTACAAACAGCAGCACCGGTGCTTTGCTTGCAACACCACACCTTGGCCTGACAAACACCCCCCATGTGCTGCGTTCATTCTGTTGCAGATGGTGACTGCGTTACAGAGACCATTGCGGACTGGAACGAGTGTCTGAGGAATGTCTTTGTGAGTAATGACAAATTTGATTCTGGCCCTCTCTGATGCCGAATGAGCCACAGCCGTATCCTCACCATTTCGCTTCCATCTTCACCTTGGCTGGGGGTATCCACAGCATCAATGGGACGACATGCGCCGACCAGGTCTCTGTGTATCCGAGCTGGCTCTGCAGCCGGCGCCGGGAGATACAGTTATGATTCATCACCCGGGCAACGACTATGTGCGTGGTGACATTCGCGCTGTTCAACGCCTTGCCTTGTCTCTGGCCATCTTCTGCACTCATCAAAGCTGCTGCGTGACCACTCTGGGCAGGCCCAACCTCTAGAGTGTTGTGCCCCTGACTTGGAGAACAGCAGCTCCCAGTACGTGGTCCTTGCCCGCACCTCTGTTGTCCTGCATTGTTGCTGCATAGGTGTATATCGCGTCTTCTGTTTCAACTCATGGCCTTGCCTGGTTCGACCGCGGCCACAGCTTGTGTTTTACGCACGCCGCTCTCGAGATGCGCAACCGTTTTCACAATTTCAGCTGTCTGCCTGCCCGCCAGGTAACCTTGCATGCACTCAAACAAATGACAGTGTTTTTTTTTTCCCCTGTCTAACTTTGCGCTCACATGAGCCGGGTTTCGTTTTGTGTGTGGGATTTTTCTGCAATTTGCTCCCCTAAACTTTCTTTTGGCCTTGAAATCAGGTGTCAGAGGACGCCACGGCACGTTGTGTGCAGGACAGTGAATGCGAGCAGTCAGAAGTGTGCTTGCATAGCACCATTGAATCAGCGCAAACGTATGGACTGTGGATGCACCGTGCTTGATGCGTTGTCGGGAGGTGGCTCTTCTCATCCACCACATGTGGTATCACGGATTCGTCTCCAATTGCAGACGGTTTATCAGGCTCGACCGGTTTGGAAGTCGACCCGTGCTATGGCTCGGCTCTGTGCAGGACCTTGCTCGGTTAGTTGGGGGCGACTGGCTGTACTGTCCTCTTATTTTTCCTTGGCTACTCTTTGTTGATGATGGCGCTCATGTGGTTGGACCCGATGTTTTTGAACACGGCCATGCCCCAGGTCGTTGGTCTTGTCCGATTACGTTCCCCGAGCAGGCTATAGTCTTCGCATGCCTCTTGTCCTGCGCACCTTTTTGCAGTACATGGTGATGGTGCGTACCAGCAGCTTGTGCGCTCTTTCCCTCTGGCAGGGCTTTTGTTGTGGTCGTTGTTGTTGTTGTTGCCTTTAAGTGCTGACGACTTGCACGCTGGGCCATCTCTCCTATGGGGCTATACCCCTTAGATTTCACCGAGTCTAGCCTTGGTGAACGCCCTGCCCTGCATCCAGTTTGATGGCGAGGTACGCGCCATGGGCAGGCTTGTTGACAGGGCGAGAGAAAAATTGTTTACCAGCGCCCGTGTGCACAAGCATCCGACGGCTGGGTCTCACGTCCTGCTGCTGTGGTGTCCAGCTCGTTCTCAACCAGGCCATGACGCTCTTGCTATCATCGAGTCGCTTTGACGAGGAGCGCCGTGTGTTCCTTGTGCATGCCATTGTGCTGCTCATGACCGCGGCTAGTGCGCTGCTGCTGGTTTGCAGCTTGATATGGCAGCTGGTCGTGACGTGATCTGCAAGCTCAGGTCACACACATGCGCACTGCTTGAACTGGACACCTTTTGGCGGGTGCCGATTGTCGTTTGAGCTGTGCTGGTTGCGTCTGCCTGTTAACTTATATAGTTTTGATTGTTTATTCACGAGAGGTATGAGAAAGAGTTAGAGAGAGAGAGAGAGAGGAGGAGGAGGAGAGAGCTCGTGAGCTTGTATGGGGCGTGTGCCTGCCTTTGTCCTAGACTTGGAAGTTTGCCTCAACTCGAGCTTGGTGGCAAACTTTAATTCGTGGGGTTTTTTAGAGTCTTTTGTTACTGTTTCGCTAGGTTGTTCTTGTCTTGTGTGTCTGATTGCTGCGAGTGTTCATGGCTGCCAAGCTTGGCTTTGAAAAAAATGTGTCGTTCTTCCATGCCCACTGCGTGGGGTTGGGGTTTGAGCAAAGTAAGTGTGTCATGCCTGCACCACTCGTGCTGCGGCGCCTGTGTGGTGTGTGGTGCCCTTTTGATGAGGTCTCAAAGAGTTTATAATTGATGACACTGAAAAGCATCTGACATCTCGGGAATGACACACACACACACACACACACACACACACACACACACACACACACACACACACACACACACACACACACACACACACACACACACACACAAGTTTTCTTCGATTGGTTGCCTTTTGGCTTTTCTCTTCGTTTGGCAGTCTTTGGCGACGTACGTACGTACGTGAGGTCAACGGGGTTGGAGAGCAGGTGCGCGGGCAATGGGCGAGGCAGGGGGGTGGTGGTGATGGTGGTGTGAAGGGTTGAGACTTTTGGCAACCTCACAGCAAGCTAAACCGTCGAAATGGATGGCTGCTGCTTTGTTTTTTCATGGGGCTTTTTGCGCACGGTGACGACACAGGATGGACAAGGAAGACCGGCTGAGCAAGGCCGAGGCACGTGTTCCGCTCATTGAGAGCGGCGAGGCCTCGGTCAACGGAACACTCGAAGATGAAGCTCTCAGCACCAGTGTGGTTGATAAACATCCCTCCAAGACCAAGTGAGTCAAGACCAGGGTGACGGCGTTTGAAGATTTTACCCATTGAGTGATGGAATGCTTTGATATGGCAGCGGGGCCCACCAGGGGGGACAGCTGGATACGTTTGCCTCATTTCAAATCCTGCCTAGCCGTCTTGGACACGGGTTGGCCGTGGGTGGCATGCTATTGCTGTGCTCATGACGGTGTTGCTCATGCTTGTGCCCTCAGCTTTTTCGAGACAAACGTCAACTTTCTCAAGGGCAACATTGGCGCCGGGTTTCTCAGCCTCCCCTTTGCTTTTGCACATGCGGGTTATGCTGTACGTCCCATTGCCTGCATTCTCAGCGCACAATACAACATTTTGAGGCGATTACAACGGCGCAGTTGCGGGTTCCACCGATCACCGGGCAAAGCCTTTGCATCTGAGCCAAAGACGCTCGCTGGGCAGGAACCGGTGCACATACTCACTGGGAATGTCGGTCTGTGATACGTTGGTGTGTCGTTTACGGCGCAGGGGTCAATCATCTACCTCCTCTTAATCGCCCTGATCGCCGTGCATTGCATGCACATGTTGGTCAAGGTGAAGCAGCACCTGGCCGATCAGGGCTCGACGGGATACCTCAGCTACGCTGATGTGGTACGCGCCTCGTTTGCCAGTTTCTTCCCACTCTGGTAGATATAGACAAAAAATGTGAATAGTTCTCACACATGAAAACTTACCTTTTCGGGGTGCCTTCTATAGGCCGAGCGCACAATTGGCCGCTACGGTATCTATCTGGTCAACTTTGCCCTGCTCATCACTCAGTTTGGCTTCTGCTTGGTGTACATTCTCTTTATTGCGGACCATCTCAACGAGGTTTGTTCGAGTCGAGCTTGACCCCGCACCTTTATCTCTTGTCCTGGGCCTGTCTTTTGGCCTGCCTACCCCGGTTCGGACGCCACGTTTCCGTGCTCCATCATCTGACCTCAACTGTCATGGGCTCTCACAGTTGGCGAGCTCAATCAGCGTGCCGGCATATGCCCTGATTGTGTTGCCGGGCGCCATTCTGTTGACCTGGATCCGTGACTTCCGAACCATCGCCCCAACGTCAATCGTGGCCACACTCTGCCTCATCTTTAGTTTCATCGTCATCTTTGGTGTGTATGCGATCCCGCCCATCTTGTACATCAGCTTGCGCTGTTTGTAGCATGCCATGGTCTTTCTTGTTTTGAGTTGTTCTACCACACGAATCTCATGAATGCTGCGTTTTCGTCTGGCTTGTGTGCGGCTGGAATCGCTGTGCCTGTCTGTACCTGTGCCTGTACCTGTGCGTGTGCGTGTGCCCGTGCTGAATGCAGAGTTTGATATCTCGCACTTGAACAAGTCGGTGCAGGCGGATCCAACATGCCACAATAGTGCAGCCAACCAAAGTGCGAGCAACCACACGGTTGTGGGCAATGCTACGACCGATGCACCAGCTGCCGACTTCCATTGCCTCATGGCTCCGGAAGCCGTGGCCTTTATGAGCGTGTCGCAGCTCCCTATCTTCTTTGGCAACTCAATTTTTGCCTTTGAGAGCATCGGCCTTGTTCTTCCCATGGAGAACTCCATGTAAGCGCCAGCAGCATGCCTCCGTGTGTGTGTGGGGGTGGGGGTGGGGGGCTTTTGAAAGACCACGTGCGACGCCGTTTCTGCTCGTCATTGATGTCTCGCGGCGCGTACTGCCTTGACTGACGGCAGGGCGGAACCGGAACGATTTGCGACGGTCATCAACATTGGCATGAGCGTGGTGGTGATTCTTTACGTGTCGTTTGGAGCATTGGGTTACATGGTTTTTGGGGATGCCGTGCAGGGATCCATCACCCTGAATCTTCCGGATACGCCCATTTTCGACTCGGTGAAGATTGCGCTGTGCATTGCCCTGTTTCAGAGCATTGCCATCCAATTTTTCCCCGCCATCAATGTCCTCGAGCGTGCCTACATGCCAGTGTGAGTTTCAGCGTTGGCCGACCACATGGACGCGTTTGAAGTATCACCCGCTTTGTTTCATCTCCTGAGGGTCACCTCTAGTCGTTGCGGTTGCTTGTGGCTCATTTTGGTCATGTGTCGCGCATAGTGTGGAGCGCAATGTCAGGTCCAGGCTGCAGACACCGGTTCAGCTGGGGATTCGGTCCATCATCATGTGCATCTGTGGTTAGTTTTGCGGCCAAAATCAACGCAACAGCAAGTGTGGGGAGGCGAAAGTCAGACTTCTTGACTCCCACCTCTCAGGATGCCCACGGCGCTGTGGTGTGTCACTTCTTAAGTCTCACGTCTCACTTTGGACTTCTTTTTTGGTGTTTAGCTGGTTTGGCCATTGGTATCCCCAAGCTCGGTTTGGTCATCTCTCTGATTGGTCGGTTTCGATTCGGGAAGCTTCATCGCAGCAATGTGTGGGATGGTTGTGTCACCCTTTGGTGATTGTGCAGAAAGCGTAAAGGTGATTGACAAAAAATATGCAATCTTTAACCCATGTAGGATCTCTGGGTGCGGCGCTTCTGGCCTTGATTTTCCCACCTCTCATGCATATGCGAACCTTTTGGCACGAAATGGGGCCAGTGGTCAAGAGCAAGGACATTTTCATTACGTTCTTTGGTGTTGTTGGTATGTGCGCCAGCGCCAGCTGCCAGTCGCAGATGGGCTACTTTACGATGCACAATCGCTGGACCTGTGGCTCATGCATGGTTGCGGCCTTTCACGTCTAGGTTGTATTGCGGGAACCTTTGTCAGTATCCAGTCGCTGGCGAGTTGAGCTGCTGGCGCCGGATCTCGTTTGGTGTTTCTTGCCTCGGGAAGCCAACGTAGAGATAGTGTTGAGTTTTTTTTTTTCTCCGTATGGCGGTACTCCTTCACATGGGGAGGTCTAGGTGCGCGCAGTGCGCACTGAGGTCTTGAATGGTCAATGGACCTTGCGACATGAACTGGGGTTGGGGTTTGAGTGCATGATCCCCACACCCCGACCGAGCCAATCGATTCATCTGCATCAGAATACCAGTGGTTGCTTTTGCTTTGTTAAGAAGACCTGAGCAAAGCGGAAGAAGATGCTTTGGTGATTGTGGTCGCAGCGAGGCCAAGCATTTGTGTGCACACGCATGCGGCGCCTAAGGCAAATGATTGATCTAAAATTTGATGTGGGACAAGTCCATCTCGATCAATCAAGGCAAGGTGAGAGCCCGATGCCAGTGCTTTGGGGTTGGATAGCAAAGGCCGTGCACGTGGGCCGATTGCTTCTTGAAGCAGAGGATCATTGCTTCCGATAGTGGCTGTTTGCAAAAATGCTTCGTCCAGAGGGACGGCGTGATCGGCCGAAGGGAAGTTGCCAGCGGATGGTGTGCGCGAGTCGCCACGTCAGCTCTGGGAAGAGGGCAATAGATGGCTGTAGTGGGAGGCGGAAAGGGGTAAGACACGGGCACGTGTGTGGCGTGATGGGGACGGCGAGTCATGGGTTGTGTGCTCCATGAAGCCGTCGTGACACTGCCGTTTTGTGTGCGCGTGTGGCTGGAGGTTTTGGAGCCTTCCAATGTCGCAATCCAATGTCGCAATCGATGTCGCAATCCTTGCCTTCGTCATAGCAACAAAGTGTGACCTTAATCACACTAGAGGACGTTGTATCGCATTTGACAAATTTTTAAGGCCAAAATGATAGGAGAGTATGTTGTAATCTCAACCTCGAACAATGCATGATTGCTTCACCCAGAACCCATTCTCGTCGGGCCAGTGTGACAAAGCACACACACCACCTTCACACGCCACACCAACGATGTCGCAATCACCCCACCGATTACCCAATCTGCCACGCAGCCAAGCGACCACAAACAAAAGACCGCATCTGTCGGTGTGGTAAAGGTAAAGCAACTCGTCGACTAACCTCCTCACTCACCTCTCCTTCTTCTATGTGGAGCTGGAGTGCTTCCGTCTGGCAGTGGCAATTTCTTATCACTGTGCACTGGTTACAAAGGAGCTATTGGTACGTCAAGCCAGTGAGATCCCCCCCCCCCCCCCCCACCCTAGTAAAGGGAACGTGCCCGCAGTCCCCAGTGGTGGTGCCCGCGTCACTCCCCCGTGCCACGCGCGCACCCTTCCTCCTCCTCGTCTCTGCTTTGAAAACTCATCACCACCACGACTACCAATGCCATTTGGCTCCGCATCTAGGTCCCTTCTTTCGCTGCCTCTTTCTCTTCTTTCCCCTCCAACCAAACCACCAGGTAAAGGCACTGCAGCAGTACTTGTACTACAACGGCTCCTTCGCACGATCTTCCTTCCCTTCCACCTCCTCCCGCTCTCTCTTTCTTTGGGCGTTGATCGATCCCGAGAAGTATTTTTCTCTTTTCCCCCTCCACCATCTTGAAGCACGGGCTGGATCCCTCCAAGTCCAGTCTCACCTCCATTCTTGCCTCTCACACCCATCGATACACCACTGCCATTACAATGCCTCCCGCAGCCATGCCCCAAGAGGACGTCGTCCTGCACAATGTGCCCATCAGCGTCACTGGCGCGGCCCGCATGGAGCAGAAGCTTGAGGACAAGCCTTACGGCGATCGCCCCATCTCTGGTATGTCATCCATCTTGACCGTTTCCCGCACTCTCGTGCCACGTCCCAACGTACACGACGAACGGTTTTCCCCCCTTGCCTTTTCCCCTTGCCTTTCCCCCCTTCACCCTCATGATCTCGCCTGTTTGGCTCCACGTGCCATGATTTGCAGCCGTGTCTGTGAACCCCTCTTCCCATGGCCTCGACACGTTGGGCATCGGCAACACGCTCGAGGAGCACTGGAACCTGCCCTCGGCGGCTCTCTACGAGCACGCCATTCAGCGCGGTGAGGGCCGCATCGTCCACCTTGGCCCCCTCTGCGTCCGCACTGGCAAGCACACGGGTCGTGCCGCTGGCGACAAGTACTTTGTCAAGGAGCCCGGAAGCGAGGAGCACATTGCCTGGGGTGGCGGCAACCAGGAGATGTCCGAGCAGAACTTTGAGTGGCTCTACCGCAAGGCCACCGCCTACTACCAGAACCGCTCCGTCTACGTCATGGACGTCAAGGCTGGCCATGACAGCAAGAACTGCCTCCCCGCCCGCGTTGTCACCGAGACGGCCTGGCATGCCCTCTTCGTTCGCACCATGTTCATCCGTCCCGAGGACGAGGAACTGGGCGACCACGTGCCCCAGTTTACCGTGCTCCACGTGCCCGGTATGAAGGCCAACCCCGCCGAGGATGGCACCAAGTCAGAGACCTTTATCGCTCTTCACATGACCCGCCGCGTCGCCATTATCGGTGGCACCTTTTACGCTGGTGAGGTCAAGAAGTGCATCTTTACCGCCTGCAACTACTACTTTCCCCTCCGAGGCGTGCTCACCATGCACGCCGCCGCCAACATGGGCAAGGAGGGCGACGTTGCCGTCTTCTTTGGCCTCTCTGGCACTGGCAAGACGACCCTGTCGGCGGATCCGGAACGTGACATTATCGGTGACGACGAGCACTGCTGGAGCGATGACACCGTCTCCAACATTGAGGGCGGCTGCTACGCCAAGGTCATCCGCCTGAGCAAGGAGGCTGAACCCGATATCTGGCGCACCACCCGCCAGTTTGGCACCATCATTGAGAACGTCGTGATGAACCCTGTCACGCGTCGCCTGGATTTGAGCGATGGCAGCATCACTGAGAACACTCGTGCGGCCTACCCGCTCCATTTCATCAAGAACCGTCGCGAGGACGGTCTTGGTGGCATCCCCACCAACGTCGTCATGCTCACATGCGATGCCTTTGGCGTGCTGCCCCCCATCAGCAAGCTCACCGCGCACCAGGCCTCATTCTGGTTCCTCTCTGGCTACACTGCCAAGGTTGCCGGCACGGAGCTGGGCGTCAAGGAGCCCCAGGCCACCTTCTCGGCCTGCTTCGGTCTGCCCTTCATGCCCCTGCGTCCCACCGTCTACGCAAAGATGCTGCGCGAGAAAATCGAGAAGCACAACGTCCACGTCTGGCTTCTCAACACCGGCTGGACCGGTGGTGCCTACGGCGAGGGCAAGCGCTTCAGCATTCAGATGACTCGCAAGCTTCTTTCCTCGGCCCTCAACGGCCACCTCACTCAGGTCGAATACACCACCGACTCCATCTTCAACCTCTCGTTCCCCAAGTCTTGCGAGGGCGTTGAGTCTGAGCTGCTTGACCCCCGCAACACCTGGTCGGACAAGGCTGCCTATGATAAGCAGGCCAAGTCCCTGGCTGCTGCCTGCGTCAAGGCGTTCAAGCCCTACGAGTCCCTCGTGGACCCGGCCGTGTTGGCTTCTGGTCCCAAGGCCGAGTAAGCTCCCTTGAGCCGAACTCCATCGTTTAAGGTTGCGACCCAACCCAGGCGTGCCGCTGGTTATGGCAACGCCTGATGTCTCAGTTTTTTTTTTTTTTTTGTTGTTGTTTCATTGACTCTGCGTTGCGACCAATTCAATGGTCGTTACGTTCTTTCCCGGCGTGCCGATTTGTCTTTCTGCCGGTTCTCTGTTTGTCTATTCCCCTCCTCCGCGCGGTGCGTGACAACCAACCTTCTCATTGGCTGTAGTGCTGCTTGCAACCTGCAAGCGTGCACAGCATCGAGAACCTTCAAAGAGCTTTTTTTTTTTAAAAATCATGAAATTGATATCCAGATTCCCATTTTTAGCCACAATCACGCGGGTCAAAGATATTGTGATACAGAAGACGGGCAGGGAGGGTCTGATGAAGCGCGCACTGGCAAGAGCGAGTTCAGGGCGCAGTGGAGGAGGGCAGGGCTGCAAGCCCTTGCGGGAAAAACTCAGACTCGGTGAGGAAGCGCAGGCCCACGCGCTGGGCAAAGGCCTTGTCGGAATCAGAATGATCCCGGGGCCGACCAGCGGCATCACCGACATAGAAACTGTCACTCAAATCAGGCTCACACGCGTTGAGCTGGCGCAGCATACGCCACATGCCTGCATCCGGCTTACGATACTGGTCCTTGAGGAGCGAGCACAGAACCTAAGGAGGGTGCATTGCACAACAAACGGGGGTCGCGTGAGAAGGGGGGGTACGTTGGGTTTGGGTAATTCATACGGCCAAGCAGCTTGATGTGCTGAATACTGGCTGAAACGAGCTGAAAACAGCCAGTTCTCCCAAACAACGGCCAGACCAACCACAAGGGGCATGTCTAGCCGACTGCAAAACTCGTCCAGACGCGTGGTTTTCTTGACAAGGTTCATCTCAATGGGCTCCCGTTTCTTGAAGCGCGCCAGAGACTCGTTGGTAATGATTGCAATTTGGTATCCTGCCGCATGGCATTCCTGCAAGACTCGCGGTACTTCAGGCACGCGCAAGCTCCAGGCCTTGGGGTCGCGATTGGCAACACTAGTGTGCACGAGGCAGCCATCAAAGTCAAAGGCGGCCACACGTGCGTTGGTGGTAGGGGGTGCACCACCAAAGAGCTTGCATAGGACTGAGTCTTGATAGCAGTGCCAGCCGGGGCGAAGTGGGAGCTGAAACCCGTGCAGCCGCAAATAGGTCGTCGTCCGACCAAGAGCATCCAGGGCCACGGACGTCGACTGCTTGGGGCGCTTTGCAGCCGAGTCGGAAGTTGCGGTATTTGTGCTGGTGGACGCGAGGCGCTTCTGCGATCCCGTGGCAGACTGGGAGCTGCGCTGCGTGGAGGTTCGGCGATTGAAGAGCACTTCGAAGCAATACCGCCCTGGAAGCATGCAAAGAGTATCGCCATGCGAGAGTTGGTAGGCAATGTTTCTTTTGGCTGGCGCGTTATTGACATAGCCCGCGGTGCGACCCATCTAGCGAGTGGCGCGCGCAGAAAAGGTGAGGTGGTGAGGGTGCGTATGGTGTCTAGGGTGTGACGGGGTACACGCTTCATCAAGCCTTCTGCGCAGGTGCGAGCGGGAGCAATGAATCTGCAGCAGCTACCATTTTGCAGTAGGCCAGCATTTTGGTCTCGTCGATCCACACTCGCACTGTGGGCATTGGAGCGAGCGAATCGAATCAAAATTGCGTCAACAAGAGAGCGTGCGGCGATGCGTTGACCTGTGGCCAAAAGCTGAGCTTGCCAAGTTTGGTTGTATACTTACCGTGCTGGCGGCTGCAGCGCGTGTCGCGCACGTCCGTCTCCGGCGAGCGGCCAAGCACAACCTACAGCAGTGCAAACGTGGCCTATTAGCCCGGACAGGGAGAGAGGGAGCGGGAGGCGGGGGGAGGAGGAGGGAGAGAGACGGAAAGACGGGCACCACGGGTGCTCGGAATGGCTTCACGTGGATCACACGCCATAGACCAATAGGGACGTTGACCAACCTCGGGCGAAGCGTGGGAAAGAACTTGGTCCGGACACCCAGACCAGAGCCCTGATCGCACCGCCCGCAGCGTTACTGTAGCTGGAAAGGGCATGGGTCCGTGTGGCGATACCGTTACAAAGTTGGCGCTACCTGTTCCTTCACCCCACCCAGCTCAACTGCCTCCAGCAAAGAGTCCTCAATCGCATTCAAACCCACCCAGCGCAGCACTCCATCCCCATCCAACCAACAGCCACCACCACCCACCCCCCTCCTTGCCCTCGTCCCCGCCCCCCCCTCAAGTGTCAGTCAAACAGCAAAACAGTCACTGCGTGTGTGTGTTGTGTATGTGTGTGTGTGTGTGTGGGACGATGCGGTTCAAGGCGTCTCGTAAAATCTGACAAATGTGATGTGATTCGTGTGGTGTGTGGTTGTTGTTGTTGTGTTGTTGTTGTTGTTGTTGTGATCTTAACCAGTTCTGGCTCTTGCATGCGACACGCGCTTTTGTGTGTGTTTCTGTGACTGTCTCTTCTCTCTCTCTGTCTCTCTGTCTCTGTCTCTGTCTCTGTCTCTCTGTCTCTGTCTCTGTCTCTGTCTCTGTCTCTGTCTCTGTCTCTGTCTCTGTCTCTGTCTCTGTCTCTGTCTCTGTCTCTGTCTCTGTCTCTCTGTCTCTGTCTCTGTCTCTGTCTCTCTGTCTCTGTCTCTGTCTCTGTCTCTCTGTCTCTGTCTCTGTCTCTGTCTCTGTCTCCGTCTCTGTCTCTGTCTCCGTCTCTGTCTCTGTCTCTGTCTCTGTCTCTGTCTCTGTCTCTGTCTCTGTCTCTGTCTCTCTGTCTCTGTCTCTGTCTCTGTCTCTGTCTCCGTCTCTGTCTCTGTCTCCGTCTCTGTCTCTGTCTCTGTCTCTGTCTCTGTCTCTGTCTCTGTCTCTGTCTCTGTCTCTGTCTCTGTCTCTGTCTCTGTCTCTGTCTCTGTCTCTGTCTCTGTCTCTGTCTCTGTCTCTCTGTGTCTTGCTCTGCCTAATTTCATGGGCAGGGCTCGGTTGGAGAAGGGAACGGTTGATTGAGTGATTGAGCCTGGGTGTGATTGTGGGAGTGGAGGAAACAGCGTAAGGATGGCGATGCGATGGGCAGTGGCCGCGATGCGGCAGGTGCGGCAGGTGCGGGGGGTTGGATTGGCCGGGATCGGGATGCAGCGGGGCCTGCACGTTTTGACGCGTCAAGTGTCGCCCAGCTTTGCGCAGGCGCTGCAGGCGCAGCCAGCGCGGTTGGATGTCCAGGCCTGCATGGAGGAGCACGAGCAGTATCTGGATTTGATGCGTGCTGTACCCGATGTCGAGGTGTTGGAGGTACATGCGGATGCCGATTGCCCAGACTGTGTCTTTATTGAGGACATTGTTGTCCACTGCCAGGGCACGACAATCGTGACCAATCCGGGCAGTCGCAGTCGCCGTCCCGAGGCCGTCTCCTTTCTAGACTGGCTCACGCTCCAACCAGCAGAGCTGCGTGCAATCCTCGGCCGTCTCTTGGTCATGCCCAACGATGACGGGGCAACCCTTGATGGTGGAGATGTCTTGCAGGTTCGATCCAACCTGCTGTTTCGGAGCTCGATCGCCAGGCGCACACATGTGATGGCTTGGTCGATCCACTCACGCTTCATTCTCAATTGCCATGTGCGACCAGATTGAGGATCATGTCTTTGTCGGGCAGTCGGCACGATCCAATGTGGGTGGCCTGGAGTTTTTACAGGCTGCGCTGCCGGGGATGGTGGTTGTCCCGGTCAAGGTGCCCTCCTCTACGCTGCACCTCAAATCATTGATCACGGCCACCACCAACGGACTGGTTGCACACCAAAGCGAAGCGGGCGAGGAAGTGGCGCGAGAGGTGTCCCACCACGTTCCCCACCTCCCCGTATACTTTACCCCCTCGCTGGCGTCAGCCAACGTGGTGCAGCTCGGGAGCAGCCTGCTTGTCAACCCAATGACACCAGAAGATTATCACGTGCTCAGCGAGCTGGCCGAGCATGGCAGCTCTCAGTTGTATCTGCGTACCCTGCACACACCCGAAGTCAACAAGGCCGATGGTGCTCTGACTTGCTGCTCTGTCATCATCTCTTGAAGCCACTCGGCCACCCCGAACACAAGAAAGCTGACGAGGATCGAAGTGTCGGCAAGAACTTTGGAAAAGTCCGGGACAAGTCATCAGCAGCCCTGGCAACTTGCGACGCTTTTTCTCTGTCTCTCCACACCGGGCTTGGCCCGTGCGCTGCCTGCTTGTTCTGGCTAATCCTTGAGTAGTTCGAATTTGGCTATCGCACTTGTTCGTGTTCACGCCCGCCATTCTTACCATCTTTGCTTAAGCAGCAAACCAATCGACCTCGATGCAAGAAAGCGCGCCTGGAGAGTTCTCTCCCCCCTTCGTGCACCGGCGAGTCCAGTCCAACGAGTCCAGTCCAACCCTTCAGATCGCGATCGCGGCTCCGACACAGATTTTTCAGGTTCAGCTGATGTCAGACGTTATTGTCAGACAAAGAGGAGGAACAATAGAATGGGAAAGAGAGTGTTGACGTTGACGAGTTGTTGGAGGACACACACATATGCAAACGCAGAGAGCTAGTGGGCCTGAATCGCCCTGCCTGGATCTGCATCCCTCTCAACGTTGCCTTTGTTGAGTCTGTATCTCTGACTTTTTAGACTAGTTCTCTCATTCTCTCTTGTTAATGTGGATTTTCTGTAAAGCTTCTTGAGCTTGCCCTCATCAACTCTCCGACTCTCTGCTTCTTGCTTCTTCATCACGATCCATCTCTGACACCGGGTGCATTCTCTCTCTCTCTCTCTCGCGGTTTTGATCAGACGGGCGCTGGCTGCTAGCTACTCGGGCTCCTGTGGCAGTGAGTGGGCGACGACGGCAGAGTGAGGGCACGTCGTGGTGGTGGCTTCAAGCAACTGGTACATCGTTGCGGTTCGTGAGCCGTCAGCATGCTCGACTTGTTTACCATCTTCCATCAGGGTGGCGTGGTGCTTTGGAGCTACCAGGACAGCTCCGCTGCGCTGCGCGGCAATGCCATCAACGGGCTGATCCAGGAGCGACTCATCGAGGTACGGAGCTGAGCAAGCCTGGTCTGGGCAGTTGGTTTCGCCTACAATCAAGCAGTGGCGCTGCACCCTACCACACCGCTCACCGACTACTTCTTTTTGCTTCGGTGTGCTGCTTTTAGGGTCGAGGTGACTCCACCGAGGCCTTTTTGTACAACAACCAGCAATATGTCGAGTATCGCGTCGACAATACCCACTCGCTCATCTTTGCGGTACGCTTGTGCTACGCTACGTAGTCTTGTGCCCGACCAGCTCAGCCTGCTGCATGCGTCTCATGCACAACGACCGCAGGCTGTCTATAGCAAAGTTGTGCAGGCACAAACCACCTATGTCCCTGTACTCTTGCAAGGCGTTCAGCGAAACTTTCTCAAACTGTTGCAAGGTTCGCTTCAAGAGAGCCCTGCTTTGTGAAGCCCTCTTGTCTGTTTGTCTGCCCGCTACTGTTGGGCTGCCCGCTACAGCGGAGGAAGCAGAGGGTAGGCAAGGGCGGGAAGGGCTTGGACGTCAACCCACTCGATTTTGCTTTGAAGCCGCACTCAGACGGAGCCCCTTGCATAACGCCCGAAAGCAGACAAAGACAGCTTATATGCCGACTACGGCTCGTTTGACGAGACCTTTGGCAAGATTTATGCAGCAGCACAAGCTCAGGCTGTCGAGCAGGCACGGCAAGATCGCTCACGCCGCCTTTCAACTGGCCCCAACGGTACTTCTGCGATCAGCGGAACGGACACAGAGCATGAGACGGACGAGTCTGATGAAGGCGAGCACGGGGTCGAGCACGATGACGACCGCGATGATTCAGACCCATCCCATCAAATGAACGGGGACGAACACGATGCGCATGACGAGGCGACTGACGACGCAGACAAGCAAGCGCGACGCGATCGCATCATTCAGGTGGGCACCTTGCACGTTCGCCCCCGTGATTTCCTGAGGGCATCCACGAGACATAACGCGTGCCGGGCTCGAGTAGGCGCGCAGCCGCGGCGGCAACAAGGGGCGTACCTCAAAAAATAGCAGCAAGAGCTCCACCCCGAAGCGCCGACAAGACGACAAGCCCAAGAAGGTAGGTCAACAAACGCTCAACCAGCAGGCACACGGGGTGTGCTCTTTGCTCCAACTGCTTGCCAGGCCGCCGCGCAACTGGATGTTCCTGTCTGATGCACGGTGCTAATATGTTAGGCCCAACGCTTGGATTACACGTCTGGGCCTCGCCCCAGCACGGGGGCAATCTCCGAGGCCGAGCGTCGCAAATACGTACGTTCTCTTCCACCTCTGAAGCGTGTCATGGTGTGCCACCTACCTCACGGCGGGCTCGGGCCTCAAGTTTGCTGGGCATTTGGCCAGTTTGCGCGGCCCGACCGCTCAGTCGCACCAGCTTGGGCCCCTCATCGTGCGTTGCTTCGCGGGGATTTCTTATACAGCAAGATCAAGCGGCGCAGATGGCTCAGGGTATGTCGGCGGTGCAGTTTGAGGGTGCCGACCTCTTGCTTGGCGATGGCGAGGAGGATGAGGCAGCTGCGGCAGCCGGAGGGCGTGGCATGTTCTCCTTCTTCAGCTCGCTGACGGGTAGCACCAAGCTCACTCGAGAGGCGTTGGCACCGGTGATGGCCAAGATGCGCCTTCACCTCATTGAGAAGAATGTGGCACAAAATATCGCGGAAAAGGTCGGTTCCCACTTCAATCCAAACCGCTCAACCCAGATCTCGGCTGGGCATTATTTTTGATCATGTGCCTTGCTTTCCGCTCTCCGGCAAAACACATGTAGCTGTGCGAGAGCGTGGAGGAGCAGCTGGTGGGCACCGAGAAATCAAGCTTTAGCAGTATTGCCACTGTGGTTCGACAGGCCATCTCTGATGCCCTCACGCGCATTCTCACGCCCAAACGACAAGTCAACATTCTCCGCGACGTGCGTGAGGCACAACGTCAGCAACGCCCCTATGTCATCACGTTTTGTGGTGTAAACGGTACGAGCTCCCCAAACTTTCACCGCACATCTTCACGCCGTGGTCATTTTATGGCCATGTATGACTCGGTTTCTTCCTGACTTGCCTCACCCAAACACATGACGTGGTGTTTGTCTTGACAATCTGGCATAGGCGTGGGCAAGTCCACCAACCTGTCAAAGATTGCTTTTTGGCTGCTCAGCAACAACATGCGCGTGCTTATTGCCGCATGCGATACGTTCCGCTCGGGTGCCGTGGAGCAGCTCAAGACCCACTGCACCAAGCTGCGTAACATGTTGCAGCAAGACGATCAGCAAGCCCCCATTGTCAGCATCTTCGATCAAGGTTATGGCAAAGACGATGCGGGCGTGGCGGCGCTGGCCATCAGCTTGGCCAAAACCGAGGGCTACGATGTCGTGCTGGTCGACACAGCTGGTCGCATGCAAGATAACGAGCCGCTCATGCGCTCACTGACCAAGGTATGATGTGGTACCCGCTCTGCCACAGTCGTCAGCACACGTTGCGTCTCACAACCTCAGTGTTGTGACCACAACGCCCATATTCATGCGCACCTTCTCCCCTCTCTCTCCTATCCAGCTGATCAAACATAACAAGCCAGACCTGGTTCTTTTTGTGGGTGAAGCGCTTGTGGGCAACGAAGCCGTCGATCAACTGACAAAGTTTAATAAGGTAAAGCACTGGGCGAAGCCGCATTGACCGGAAGAACGCAGCGCCCGCGCCTGGATGTCACATTTGTTCAAACTCATCCATACGCGTCCTCTAAACCAGGCATTGCAAGACTTTTCCGAATCGTCTCAGCCCCGCACACTTGATGGCATCGTGCTCAGTAAATTCGACACGGTTGACGACAAGGTGCGTTGGCCGCTTCGCACAGCAGTGGGCTGAGAGCGTTGTGACTGGTTCTTGAGGCCGAGCATCTTGACCTATCAGCCTGCTCACACCTTGATGCTTTCAATGCCTTTGACGCCTGGTAGGTGGGTTCGGCCATCTCCATGACCTACATTACCGGCCAGCCCATCGTGTTTGTGGGCACCGGGCAAGATTACTATGACCTCAAGACGCTTAATGTTGAGTCGGTTGTCCAAGCGTTGCTCAAGTAGTCCCACCCGCTTCCATTTCTTCTTCTTTTTTTTTTCAGATCAAGATGGCCCTTACTTTTGGCCAGCCTTTTCAAAGATGCTCGCCGCACGCGCTAGGCATCAGAGGGTTACTTCCAAATGCATTTTCTGACTCCACCTTGGTTCTCTCACTTGTCAATCCAATTTGTCGTGGGGACAGAAAGGGAGCACAGACGGGGCCAGGTAAGACCCAGGAAAGAAAGTTAACAAAGAGGAGAATAAGACACAGCCAGCTCGCACACCCGCTGAAAGCACGCGCACATGAGCCCCATCCAGCAGGATCGGCCCGTCGTGCGCCCCTGCAAGTGAAGCGAAAGAGGAAAGGCAGGGCAACACGGCAACAACACCTGCCACAGAAAGAGAAAGAAAGAAAAGTCCTAGACATTGGTCAAGCGCCGACCACTCTGTGGGTCACACGTAGCTATGTGCGCACGAATGCAAATGGCGGCAGCTAGATTGACGGGGGGCTGGGGCTCAAGGCGCGGGAGCCAAAGAAAAGGTAAAAGGTGTGACACAGCTTGGGCCATGTGCCCATGTCAACACCGCATACGCCTGGCCGTTGTCCGTCTCTGTTGAGCAACCAGCTTGTTCATTTACTTGCGCTTGGAGTGCTGCATCAGCCACTTGAGGGTGATTTCTGTCAGAGCGAGTGGCGTCGACCAAGACAAGAATGAGTGGGCAGTGTAGACCCGCAACGGGTGAGGAGCCAACAGCAGAAGAGCGGGTGCACGCTTGTACCAATGTTGATCTTATTCTTGCACGAGATGGCGTAGCAGCAGACTTCACGGTCTCCAATCTTTTTCAGTTCGCTGTAAGCGAGTGAATGGCGCGGATGGGGTTTACGGAAAAGAGCAGAGGAAAAAAAAAAAAAAAAAGGTGAGGCAAGGCAAGGTCCAAGCCGTGGGGGGTGAGAGTGTCTGCAGACGTACAGGGCTTCGACGAGCTGTTCAGCGGCAAAGGCCTTGGGAAGGTCGCATTTGTTGCCAAGGACCAAGATGGGTGTGCCAGCCAGCTGGGGCTTCTCCAGGAGGGTATGCAGTTCAATTTTGGCACCCTCCATCTTGCTCTCGTCGGCGGCATCCACCATGTACACGATGGCTTGCACGCCACGGCAATAACGCTCCCACATGCTACGGAAGCGAGGCTGGCCTCCAATATCCCAAAGCTAACAGCGCACGGTGTTCTCCGTCAGAGACAGGACCAGGGCCGGCGGATGGTGTGCGCTCCAGAAGAAGAAGAAAAAACGCCTCCAGAAATGACGGCACTGAGTCATGCGATTGTCTTGGCGGGACAAACCTTGATTGTGACGTTGCCCTTTGTGACTTTACGCATGTTGAACCCGACAGTCGGAATCATGTCCTCTGTAAAGTTGCCCGACTGTACAAGTAGCCCTCCAAGGTCCATGAACAGGTGCGCCCGCGCGGCGCCAGCGACAGAACGAGATAAGACGCACCGCAATGACATTGACAAAGGTGGTCTTGCCCGAGTTTTGAAGACCGACCAGCGTCAACTCCATCTCCTCCTTCCAGAACAGGCTCTTCAGCCACTCTGAATAGAATGGAGTTGGGCGAAATGAGCATTCCTCTGGCTGGACTGACAGGCGGGGAGGCAAGGCTGGGCTGGAACGCACCAATAAACTTGTCCATCCATCCGAACATGGTGGCGGTGGGAAAATGGACAACGTAAAACGCAAAGACGCAAGGTTACTCAGCTGACAAGAAGAGTAGCAGCGAAAAGAGCACGCAACCGTGAGAGTGGCGATGCCATGGGGGTCTGGGCTGAGCAAGCAGTGCCATTTGCAAAAGCAGTCGGCGACGAGATGGCGTGGGGCGTGCCACGTCGCTGGTCCCACGCCGGAGATCGCAGACTCCTTGACCATGTTACTGGCCCAGCTATCCAAGCAGCTGCTCAAACTTATCAGATCCATTCATACATACCCAGTGGCACAGCCGTGTGCTGCTCCGAATCGAGCCGCGCAAAAGGGCCTCCAACGACCACCGCTGCCGTTTCAAATCGATCGCTGAGAGAGCGAGAGAGAGATTTTTCTTTCAACCGCAAGCAAATACACACAACTCTGCGCAATTCTGTATCAAAGAAGACATAAAAGCAACGAACAACCTTATTCATGTTTCCACAAGAGCAGGCAGACTTGATGCTGACAATGGCCTAAAAGGAGTTTATAACGATAATTTTAAAGAAGATGCAGTTTGCTTAATAGTTACAGGCTTAGTTGTAGTTGTTAATCAAACAGTTATCGTTGTTGATGTTTTGGGCCAGCCATTTTCCCTGATCTCCAGGTTTGTGTGTGTGTGTGTGTGTGTGTGTGTGTGTGTCGGATCGGATCGTGGTGGGGGAAGTTGGAGCTCAGTGGACTGACATGTGAGCGTAGCTGGGATCGTGAGATGGCGTTGAAGGCGGGGAAGGATGTTGTTGAGACCTCGTTGCTCATTGGCTGGTCTGGTGTATTGGTAGGAGACGGCAGAGTCGAAACAGATCTGAGTTTGCCGCACATGGTGCCATGGAGCGGACGCTGCTCAGCTTGCTTTTGGTAGTGGCCATCGTGTCACCCGCCCACGCTTTCCGGTACGGTAGCTGCTTTGGAATGCACCTTCTGTTTCCCAGAAAAAGACGCTATCCGATCAGGGGCCATCGGCCTCCTTGTGCCAATGACACTGACACTCCACTTGAACGTGTGATTACCCAATAGAAATCACTATCGGCAACATGGCCGACACGCCTTTACCAGCTCCGCAATCGATGTATGTCTGTGCCGCTCACCAAGAGACAAAGAGGCGAGGTCGATCTGGTTCAACTGCGTTGGCCTCTTCACTCACTGCCTCAATCTGAAAGGATATGATTCCCAAGCCCCTTTCGACGACCAACAGCATCCGCGGCTCGCCCATGCCTGGGGAGTATGTGGTCACCGACTATGGTGGTGCGTAAAGGTGGCGCTTGCTCGAGTTGCGCACCGTGTTCAGCCATGTTTGGCTGGGCAATGGCTCGTGAACAGCAAGAAAGAATGCGCGCGCGCTTTGATTGAGCTGTCTCACGCCCGGTGTATTTGCTTTGCCAGCGGTGGGCGACAACTCGACGGACAACACGGCCGCCTTTGCCAAGGCGTTGGCCGCAGCCAACGACACTGCGGGCGGCATTGTGTTTGTGCCACCAGGCTCGTATCGCTTTACTGGCCAGCTTGTCATTCCTACGGCCGTCACCCTGCAGGGATCCTTTACCACTGTGCCCAGTCACGACGCCAAAGCTGGTCAGATCCATCGGTTGAGCACTCTCTTCCGATCTCGCAAGCAGTCATGCTAAACTGATCTGATCATCTTATGTTCAAACTTAGGTCACTATCCAGTTGATGGGACGGTACTGATTCCGCTGGCGGATCGCAACAATGAAGCGGGCAAGCCCTTCATCACGGTTGGCCGTGACAGTACTCTGGCCGGTGTGGTGATTTGGCACGTGGAGCAGGGCCGCTTTGAGCCGCCGGTGCCTTACCCCTTTGCCGTAGCACTGGTCGACGAGAATGCCGCTGTCAAGGACGTTGAAATTCTGAATTCCTGGAATGGCATCTCGGCAGTGGCTGCTCACCGTCATTACATTGCACGCATTCAGGTATCGGCCCCTTAATGCGCAGTTCGAGCGTGTCGTGATGATGAATGTTATTCAAATACATGGGCTATTTGGGTCGCTCTACATCAAATGCACCACTTGCTCATCTCGTGGGCGCATGCCAGGGGCAACCCATCAACATTGGTGTATACATTGACGAGACTTATGATATTGGCCGCATCGAGGTACGGTGATGCTGGCCCATGCTTCGCACCCGACGCTTTGCCAACGTGTGACGGTTCTTCGCGCCGGCGTGCCACGGGCGATAGGATGTGCACTTCAATCCCTGGTGGAGCAGCGACGTCAACTTTATGTACTGGCAGACCACGTTTGGTCGATCCTTTGTGATGGGGCGCAGCGACTGGGAATATGTTTTCAATACGTTTAGCTTTGCCTGTGGGTCACGAAAAAATCGCCATGGCTTGGTTCAGGGACTCTTTGGCTATACTCAAGCTGACCCGCGGTCATCGCCGCTCTGCCTGTGTGAACTTGCGTGCTGCACTGTCAGACGCCATTGGCTACCACTTTGTGGAGACTTCAACGGGAAGCATGAATGGCAACTTTCTGGGCATTGGTACCGACTATGCGTGCAATGCCTCGGTCCAGGTGGACGCGAGCCAGTTGGCGGGTCTGCTCATTACCAACGGCGAGTTTACGGCCTTCCACAACAGTCAATTTGCTCCCAATTCGACTGCTGGTACGTTGGCGCAAGCGCTGGAGCAGCACCCACAGAGACTGGACCTGATTGCCTTTGATGCATGCGGTGCGTGTTTGGTGTGCAGATAACACGCAAGTGGTGGTGGGCAAGGACAACACGGGCCCCGTCAACTTTGTCGATTGCTCCTTCTGGGTACGTGGGATGACCACCAATGGCCACCCAACATCCCTGCCATTGCCGTTGGTGTTGGACTCATACCCAGGTGGCTTAGGGTCCGGCCAACCACATTGCTCGCCTGGCAGGTAACGGCGTCACCACCTTCAACTCGTGCGAATTCAACGGTTGGGATTGTACGTTTCAACTGTCGCCTCTGCGAGCGGCCGTCGGTGCCATCAACCATTCCCACCCATGCTGCTTGCCCCCCCTCACCCCGGTCTATTCGGTGGAGCAGATCTCAACACCAACCAGTCGGCCATCTATGCTTCTGGTGGCACGCTCATCGTGCAAGTGAGTTTTGGACTTTCCCTAACAAACCGCTGCCCACCGCTTGCTATGGGCTATGGGCTGGCCTCGTCTCATCCATGCTCGCAATAGGGTACCAACTTCAACGAGAACAAGCCTCAAGTGGAGTTGGAGGCAACCGTTGACAAGGTCATCTTCCTGGGTAATGTCGGCGTCGGTTCGGAAAACATCATCAACCATGGCGTCAAGCAAGTCCAGAGCGGTTTCAACGCCTTTGATTGAGCTGCCCCTGACGGCTTCGGTTTTGTTTTTGCCGTATTGCAAGCGAGCCAAATCAACATCCACTCACTCCTTTCGTTTACTATCATTCTCATGATAAATTTGCTCGTCATGACAAGATTGCTCCAAACTTGAAAAGGCGTTGTTAAGGCACTCAACACTTCAAATTTTTTTTTTCTTGTTCTCTCTCTCTCTCTCTCTCTGTTTTTTTTTTTTTTTTCCCGATTTGAGCGAGAAAACGGCAGCCGGTGGTGTCGACGAGTGTTTCCTACATCATCATCATCCAGACCAAGTCGGCTGTAACCAGAGAGCGTAGATATCAACAAGCTTGTGGGGCGTCAAGAGGCACGGCAGCACGACCCCGAGCGTGTGCGAGAAATGAAGAATGTCATGGTCGCCAGCTGCTGCTGACGCCGGTGACAACCTCGATCGCTCCTTGCCCATCCATTACGACGAAGCATTTGCCGTCGAGGGCCCTGAAGAAGACATTCCTACGGAAGCTTCAGCTAATAGCCCCAGCCCCATTCCTGAACCTCGTACGTTAAACGTGAAGGCGTTGATCTTTTTATCGTGCGATCGTTTTAAGATCTGGCTGCACCGAACTTGCGTGCCTCTCACCTTGAAACCTCTTCTTGGCCCCTTGTTCACAGCCGCGTCCACGACTCAGCGCAGCGGTCTGCAGTTTGCGCCGGGTGATACGCCCCCGCAATCTCCAGAAATGAGTGATCCCATGTATGGCAACGAGGCCGAGGAGCCCAGCTTCACCGAAACTGGCAGCCTCAGCGGCTCCAGCGACGATGAAGGCGATGGCCTTGCTGGCCTGCGTGTCGAGGGCGCTTATGACCCCAAGGACTATGAGGGCCTCCAGGTCAAGCCCGAGGTGAAAGAGCTTTTCCAGTTTGTCACAAAGTGCGTCGCGAATGCATGCCCCTCTCAGTTTGGCTGCTGCCCGATGAACACTGTTAGTGTTGGTTGGAGGTGATCAATCTGCAACTTATGACGGCAAACATTGTACGCCGACCTTCTCCCCTGTGCTTGGTAGCTATACACCCGAGACGACAGAGCTGGACACAAAGCTCCGCCCTTTCATTCCAGATTACATCCCCGCAGTCGGCGATATTGATGCGTTCATCAAGGTTCGAGTCTATTCAACTTTCAAACCCGTGTCGTTGATGTTGGCAGCCCATTTCCTTCCTTCCCCTTGCTATTTTTTTAATTCCTCATCACACACTTGTCTGCTCTCTGTCGCATAGATCCCACGCCCGGATGGACAACCTACGGTCCTGGGCTTGGAGGTCGTTGACGAGCCCTGTGCTGCCCAGTCCAATTCAACAGTGCTTGATCTTCACCTCCGCACCATCGCCAAGACCACGGCTGCCAAGGCCGTAAAGCGCAACACAGTGGCCGATGCCGAGAACAACAACAAAGCCATCGAAGACTGGATTGAGAGCATTGCCCAGGTGCATCGCGACAAGCAACCCCAAACAGTCCACTACACGAGCCGCATGCCCGATATCGAATCGCTGATGCAAGAATGGCCCGAAGGCGTCGAGCGCGTTCTCGACAACGTTCAGCTCCCTTCTGCTGACCTCAACGTGGACATCAAGGAATACGCTGATATCGTCTGCAGTGCGTTCTCGTGCCCGGTCCTCCCCAGGCTTGATGTTCGCTGTTGTCTTTTGACCATGAAGCTGGGTACTGTGCAAATACACCGCTCGTGACTTGCTCATTTTGCGGTTTTCTGGCATCGGTTTGGGCCCCATCATCTCTGTTTGCTTGAGCAGCAATGTTCGATATCCCGACGCAAAAGTCTAGGATCCAGGCACTTCACTTATTGTTCACCCTCTTTGCCGAATTTCGCAACTCGCAACACTTTGCCAACCCCGAAGACGAGGAAGCGGCGACGGCGAGCAACGACGTGGGCGAGGACCGACTCGAGCTTTGAACACGGTAATAATTTGACTTGGTGCAAGCGCCCTTGTGTGCGCGTTTTCGGTCGCGACGTGTCAACTATGTACCGTTCCTTTTGTTCTATCAGCTGAGCAGGCAGATGTTTGTGTTCAGGATTGTCAATTACATGCCAAATATTAGCTGTCGCATTTTGGCTGCGTGGGGATGTTCTTTTTGGTCCATCAGCCGGGTAGTGTGCGTGGCATCATGATACGACTGCAGCGCAACCCCTCAAAAGGCGCAGATAGCATGATATTATTATGAGTATTAGACACTGAGTTCCGCCAAGCCCTTTTGTGCAATGACTTGTCGAAGCAGATCAATGGCTTCCGTGTGACCTATGTGCCGCCAAACTGTGAGTGCAGGTGGGGCCAGGTGGGGCAAGGCGTTCAGGACCGTCGTTGGCTGACCAATGATCGCGGCAAGATCATGCGCGGTTCGGCCGCGGTTGTTGCGCACAAAAGGGGCGGCACCGGCATCGAGCAGGATTTTGAGGCAGGGGTTGTTGACTACCAATGTCGCGTTGGGGCATCAAGGGAGTAGGAAGCGATGGCTGGTGAGAATAGGGATGGCCAGAACAAGCGTTCCACAGCCCCATCGGATGGTACGCACCACGCATCACGGCAAACATCAGAGGGGTGTACTATGCACCAACCGGGTTAATGGGAGAACCATGTTCGTGAGTGGCGGTGTGTGAGCCAAGTCACAAGTGGGGCCGCGAGTGCATGGACCAACCTCATTGCTTGGCAGGGAGGCATTGACATCAGCACCGGCTTCGAGGAGCAGTCGGCAGCAGAGTCCATGCCCATAGTAACAGGTGATGGCGAGTGCCGTCAGGCCATCCTGACAACCAGCACAACACCCGAGCACCCGGACCCTTCATCAGCGGTCAACACAAATACTGGCATCATTGTCAATGGGCCTGAGTGACACCCACGTACCGCATAGACATGGTTCGGGTCGATGGTGCCAAACCGCAAGATGAGGCGTAGCTTGTCCGAATCACCTACGTACCTCACACCAGACATGAACCAGCTGAGAATGCGCTGCTGCTCCTCACGGATGACGTTTCTATGGAAAGTACGGGCATGTGGAGCCCTGCGGTCTTTGCGCAAGCTGTACCGGATTCGACTGCCGCACGCAAACGTCGTAGCTGAGGAGACGACGAGGGTGATGTCGTTGATGTTGATCGCAGTGCCATGGTGATGCGGTTGACGATCAGATCTCTCAGTGAATAGCCGCGCAGATGGCATGAAAATGGATGTCGACCTCAGGCGGAGATCTGAGACATAGACAAGCTCCATCAGTGCTTTGGTCTTGGTTCATTGTGTTGCACCAGCCTGGTGCGGCATCAGAGAGCGAGCAACTCAACACTCGGAGCTACTCCTGTTGGGGCGATCCCTATTGTCTTGTCTGTCTCCTCCTACCCAACGTCGATGCTTTTCACCTGTGCTAACCCTGACCGTTCCCCGCCCTCGCGCGCACTGTCACGCGGCTTGTGGAACATGATGCGTTTGCATTGCTGACTCATGTTCTCGCGCGTTCGCGTCTTTCTATTGCATCACACTCTTATACAAGCAATAAACAGAAAACTGAAAAATATTAAATTTTTCACATCATGTGTAAGAACGAAATGACGTTCGTTTTCCGGCCGCAATATTCATTCCCAAAGCTGCTGGTGCCTTGTTCGAGCAGCTAAGGCCTAACCCCAGGCTAATTCAAGCCCAAACCACGATCCAGTGTGTGAAGGGGCGGGCAGAGGGCCGGGGGGTAAGGGGGGTGGGGGAAGGGTAGTCGTCTTCGGTTGCTCATTCGGGGCCCTTCCAATCGCAACAGTTGCACAACCTTTCGCTTTTCTCTTTTGAGGTGAGCTCTGACATCTAGTACCTATGGCGACACTTGGTACCTATGGCGATGCTTGGTTTTTCCGTCTGGAACTAAAATTAGTTTGCACCTGCTTGACGTGGCATAGCGCTTGCTTGTCCTTGCTTGCGCTTGTCTTTTCCAATTTTCGCCACCGATCACGCTCGGCGCCGGAGGCGGCGCAACACTCCCTCGGTGCGACGAAGCGACAAGCTTGCGCGATCTCGTGGCCCACGACCACGGTCCCGCCGTGCCCGCTGACAGCCTGCGAACCATCGTGATGAAGATTCGCCGTTCCGGCAGTGATGGTAAGTTGTTGTGTGGCTTGGCGTCCGTCATCTTGTGGTCGCCGGCCTCACTGCCGCCCTTGCCATTACAGATGCTGGTGTGGATGTGATGTGTCTTGAGAGGGCCGGCACAGCCTTGGCAGGCGTTGAAGGATTGCGCGAGAGGCTCAAGGCCGAGGAAATGCGTCACGCAGAGACAAAGAAAGAGTTGAAGCTGCTGAAGCAGGAAATCAGCCAACAGAAGGACCGGATTTGCAAGCTCGAGGACACCGTCGAGCGCCTCCAGGGCACCATTGACGGGCTCAAGCAGGAGATGGCCGACATGAAGAAGACTCACAGTGAGGAGATGGCCGACATGAAGAAGACTCACAGCGAGGAGATGGCCGACATGAAGAAGACTTACAGCGAGGACATGGCCGACATGAAGAAGGCTCACAGCGAGGACATGGCCGACATGAAGAAGGCTCACAGCGAGGACATGGCCGACATGAAGAAGGCTCACAGCGAGGAGATGGCCGACATGAAGAAGACTTACAGCGAGGACATGGCCGACATGAAGAAGGCTCACAGCGAGGAGATGGCCGACATGAAGAAGGCTCACAGCGAGGACATGGCCGACATGAAGAAGACTCATAGCGAGGAGATGGACGAGATGAAGAGAGACCTCTACCTGAAGCTTGACGAGCAGCAGAGAGCACGAGAACAGGACAAGAGGATTCATCAGAGCGCTCGCGAGAAAGATCGCGCCCGGTTTGTGGCCGGTCAAGTCGCGCATGTCTTCATCAACCGTTTGGGTTGCAAGTTCTTGGGAGATGCTGCTTGGAAGAAGCAACGTCGCCATGTATCCAACCTGGATGAACTGTTGGAGATGATGGCCGAGAATGCGGCGCCACTCGAACAACTTTTGAAGGATAACTTTGGCGACTTGGATACGGAAGAGATCTGCGACGTCATTTACGAGGTCAAGGCGATGCGGAACCCTTGCGCCCATCCCGTGTGCCTTGATCCCGAGCACACTGACAATCAGTGCGAGTGTAACCCCGACCCGCAGACTTTGAAGGCTGCTGTCCTCAAAGCTGTTCAGAGTCGACAGAAGCGTATCATGTCTCTGATGGTTGATGTCAATGACAAGCTGGCGCGAGAGCGCCACGACGTGCGCCAGCTTGAAGTTTTATAATGATTTGGGTGGTTTGTGAAGGGCGGGGTGTCTTCGGTTGGTACTTTTGCCCCCCTAACTTGGATTGTTCGTAGAGCCGCTCAACAGCCGCAACGACCCTCCAGCCACAGAATGCCAGCACAAGACCCCGGTACACAAGATCTCTCACTTCTCTTTTTTTCTTTTCTGTCAACAGCGCCCACATACACAGCACACGAAAGTAGCGGCGATGCTGGCGAACAAGCTGCTGCTAGCCCCGTCTGCCGACTCCGTGAGTAACTGTTAACCCTGATCTGAGATGGAAATTGTTCCGATAAAATTGATAAGACATCTTGAATATGTATCAATGGATGTAAGCATTATTGTCAGCATTTCTGTGCCAATCGCGATCAGCCGTTCAGACAAACAGCGCCGGGCTCGGATTGCTTTTCCACGCGGGTGGGCGTGTTGGCCGTGCTGTTAAAGTTTTTTTTTGGGGGTATGGCGTGAGGGGAGGTGGACATGAGTAGGTGTTGTTGTGGTTGATGTCGGGAGCAGCGGCTGGTAGGCATCATGGCCACGGGGGCCGGTTTCGAGATAGCTCAGGCCAGCCTCCCTGAGCGGCTGAGCTGGAGTGTGCAAAGTGCAGCTCCCGAGCTGGTGATCCTGACCACGAGCAGCCCATACTCAGGCAATGCTACCTATGCCCAGCGTATTCGGTGCGGACTGAACCTGTGCTGGATTGGTCTGATGGAGCGCACAAGCATGACCATGTTCCATGTACTGACCTGCCTCTTGCATGTCATGTCATGCTCGCGCGCAAACCAGGACGTACTGCGAGAGCTTGTCTGTCCGCACGGCCATTTGGCATCATGACGACTTTTCCGATGAGAATGCATTAGTCAGCGCCCTGCGAGGCACACCCTGCCGTGGTCTCATTGGCATTCATGCCTACCGCAGCGGTCGACTTTTTTTGGAACGTGGTGCGCGCACGAGCTGGCGTTGCTGTCGCTGCGTGGGCAAGATGTTGTTTGAATGCCGATACCCACGCTCAAACTGGTGGTGCCCTGACCTCGAGTAGACTTTGCATTCCCCTTCGTGATTGTGCTGGGTGGAACAGATGCCAATCTCTTTGATCAGCCTGCGGAGCGGGACATCATCCAGCGGGTCCTTGCCTCGGCTCGGTATGTCGTGTGGCCGGCAGCACCCCAGCCTTGCTCTCAACACACGTGTTGGCGCAAACATCAACGTGCACATCCGTGGGATCATTATCTGGTAGGGCTGTGGTGGCCATGAGCGCCCCCCTCAAGGCGCGCATGCTTGAGCGCTATCCAACAACCTTGCCGCCCGCCATCACAGTCATTCCGCCTGGTACGTTCGCGAAGGCAAAACGATGACCCTTGCACGACCTGGTTACCACGGCCAATCGCAATTTCATCGCATGTTTGCCGGCCCAGCGGCTTCCATCTCCGACGAGGAGCTGGCAGGTTCACGCGCCACCCTTTTGACACGGGGCAGGTACCTCCTTCGTCAAATCTGTCATTGTGGTCCGTCCCACCCCGCCCCCCTTTTCGCCGGCATGGGCGGCAGTCATTTGCCCTCGTGCAGCTCATGGATGTCAACTGTGAACTTGTCGCTCTGGCTGCACTTTTCGGCGTCATGGACCGGGGTGGTGCGTGCCCATGTGCCTGCTTGCGTTTCGTGGATTCGCCCCGATTGGTCCACACCAACGTGGCTTTTTAGACGTGGCAGAGTCGGATCCTTTGGTCTTTCTCTTGCCAGCCGGGTTGCGTGCAGTCAAAGACGTGTTGCATTTGGGTGAGCTTGCGTCTTGGTTTTGCAAGAGCGGCTAGCTCACGCAGGCACGCCAGCTCATACGAATCTGCTTTCCCGGCCGCGAATTGCGTTCCGTCCTCAGCCCCGGCATTTGCGAGGGTACATGCGGTCCAGCCCTTGGCGCGTTTGGTAATTATCGGGCCAACCCTGGACCGCACGTATCGCGAGGAGGTTGAGGCCAAGCTTCCAACAGGGGCCCTGCTTGCGTCACCTGTGGCTCCGGTACGCTCTCCCTTTGCTGTGGCCAAGCATTAGACCCTGCGCAGAGTCTGGGATAGGTGAGCCGAGGGGTGCCTCATTGCGAGGAACTTGGTGTGTCAACCCTCATAGGCTGATTTGCATGCGATGATGGTGGCGAGTTGTGGCGTCCTCAACTCAAGTCTCAGCGAGGGCGTTTGTGGTACTCTGCTCGAAGCCATGCGCCTTGGATGCGTCTGCCTCGCACGCCGCAACGGTAGCAACGAGTACCTTGTTGAACATCAGGTTCGGAGATGGAGGGGGGGAAGAGAAGATGGCTTTGAGTGGGGTTCAGCGCGGGGTGGGTGAGGCGGAGCCACCGCTAATTGTGTAAGTGGCGCGCCCGATTCAGGTGACCGGACTGGTGTATGAGGCACCCAGTGAGGCTGAGAGTTGGATGCAGTATTTGCTTGGCAGCGATGGTGAGTGTTCTGCCCTCGCGAGCACCTCGTGGCCCTGTTTCCTTTCCTTTGGTGCCAACTGATGACGCAAAGTACATTTTTCTTGCTCATGCGGCAGGGGTCGAGACATTCGGCACGGCCGCCGCGTCCTTTGCTGAAAGGTAGGATTCGGATTTTTTATGTGTCGTCATGAAGTGGTCATGGGCAAGGAATAGCGCTGGCTTGATCATTGGGGTCAAGCAACATGTCAGGGGGCAAGAGTTGCTTGGTCGATTATGGTGGGAAATGAGTGCGTGTCCTCATGAATCGGCTGCTGGCGCGCCAATCAACAGGCATTATAGTCGAGCAGCGGAGGCAGAAGGATATCAGCGGATAGTGAAGCAGTTGTTGGCGCCGTTAGCTTAAAGGCTGCGAATGTTATATTTGAGAAAGAACAGGGGCGGGGCAGACGACTCGAGTCGTTTCCATCGCCGCGGCTCGGCAGGAATCATGGCCTTTCAGAACGGCCACTGAGTAATTACAAAAAGTTTGGGTCACGGCGCAACTTTGTTTTGGAGACTGGGCAAAAGGCTTGCACAAAAGAGCAAAAGGCGGGTGTTTTCAGGGCAAAGACTCGGACTTGATAGGGCGCTGTCCGGTAACGGTACTGTTGACCGGCTCGGATTTGAGTAGCTCGTCCTAATGTAGCACGACCGTGACACGTGGGCTGAGGGACCAAAGCGATGCATGGGGGCAGCAAAGGGGATGTTCATCGGGGCGGAAAATTGATGCGCGTACTGTGATGGAGGCAAGTCGAGCCACGTCTACGGAGTTTGGGGCGTCGCTCCAGAGGGCGCGGACGATTTGCCTTGGGGTCGGGTTGGGGGCCAGATGCAATTGTGTCGGCTCTTGAGCCTGTTGACAAGCGGCCTGTGGGTGGAAAAGGCAGGTCAACAAGGGGCGGGCACGTAAAGTGGGGGCCGCGGGGGTAGCAGTGTTCAGGCAAACAAGCTCCCCCACCTTGAGGCGGGTGTAGTCGGCTTGGAGCTGGTCGAGTTGTTGGCGCGAGCGCTCGATGCGGGGCTTCATGGCCTTTCGTGCGTCATTCACCTCTGCCAGGGTACCTTCACTATCCACATACAAGGTCATGGCCGCCTCACAGCACGTTTTAGCAAAGTCTTCCAAGGCACGATCGAGCCCTAAGGCATCGTCCGCCTTGACCACCTCCTTCACGATCGAGACGGCCGACTTTGGCTGCGACTGCCGTTTTGTGGTTTTCCCCATGATGCACGGCAGGCAAAATGTCAGAATGTCAGAATGTCAGACGTATCATTCATTCATTCATTCATTGATCCCTCCGAGTCTGACATGATGCTACCAGATGTTGTGTGAAATTCTGTATCGTTTGGATGAGAATTTTGGAGGAGAAACTACAAGGCTGCTGTTGCAAATGGCGGAGTAGCGGCACTCTCGAAAGACGACGACGACGCCTGGAAGCAAGAGGCCATGGCGGCGCTGGTCGTGGGGGCGAGGGTGGAGCGCACACGATGACGCTGGGTGGCTCATGATGATTTGGCGTGTATCGGTATTTGGTGAAGTAGCAGTGGCGTAGCGGTGGGGTGTTATTCAAAGCAAGGCCGGGCGAGAGAGAGAGAGAGAGAGAGAGAGAGAGACGGAGAGTCGTTTCAGGATTGATTCGGAGCTCACCCGTAAGAGGAAGCCAACAGCTATGGGCTGGGAAGCAAGCGCCGTACGTCGGCTAAACGTTTGGCGTCAGGCGCAGCGAGAACTGGTTCATGTGGTTTTTATTCTTATGGCTGTTGGAAGTTCCATCCAGGCAAACACCGCACCTTGAGCCGCGTCGCTTTAC